TTAAAATCTGGGGAACTGGTTGAGATTTTTACTATTAATTTTATTTATTTATTTAAGACTGGTTTTTTAATAACCTGTTTTTTTTTTGTCAAAGGGTTTTCATAAATTAAAAAATTATAAGAGTTTACAGAAGCAATCAAGAACTAACTAAATCCAGAGGAAAAAAGGGGGAATGACCAACAAACTGGTACAAGCATAGGGATGAATGGAAACGATAAAATTCATAACCACCATCAAACTCGGTTCTAGATGACTTTAAGAGGAAGCCATCCAACACTGAAGAATAGGTTCACCTAACCTAGAACCAAGCTGATGCATCGAGGTACATTTATCCTTAAGTGTAGATAATATCAGTGTTACCACTCTTGTTGGTGAAAGCGTGAGACCATCATGAAGACGTCAAGAGCCAATCCATGACCTGCTGCCATATGATAGGAGGAGAAGGGAGACGAAGCTTTTGGGTAACTAACCTCCAAACTTCTGCCGAGAAAGGGCAGACGAAAAACAAGTGGTCGCGAGACTCGTTTAAAGCTCCACAGAGGAGACACGTTATCTCAATATCCAATCCCCAAGAGGAGATACGATCCAAAGTCGGATCGCGGTTCAGGATGAATAAATAACTAAGTAGTAGTGGAGTGACGAGGAATGGCAGCTTTAATTTATTTCAGGATGAATAACTTGTTTTTAGCTTCAACGAAACAAGAACACAAGTTTTTTTATCGTAAAATCTTTGCATACATAATATTCTATCCACTAATCATTTGTGTATAAATACTTCCTTTTTTTACACTGCGTAAAGTATGTTTATATCTGTATAAATACTTTTTTTTACACTGCGTAAAGTGTGTTCTTGTTTTTGTAAATACTTTTTTCATATTCTTTAAGTTTCAGATTATAGTATATTGTTTTAGGATTGTTTCTTATTTCGAAACAAATATCATTGTTATTTTTAATACCACTTCTGCAGAACAATAATACCTTCTATAACCTCAAATTTAAATAATTAATCAATACCTAGAATTATAATACGTTGCACGGAATCGCTCAGATTGTTCCGATTCCCAATTCAGAATCCGAATCGAAATTAGAATCCATCGGAATCGTTGGAAAATCGTGATTCCAAAATTTTGTAGTTTGGAAACACTGAGGATATAGTATTCTTCGTGGTTGAAAGCGTTGCTGCAAACTTCGACTAAAATTATGGAAGAAAAAAATGTGTGTCATTGACAACTTATCTCACGTTACAATTTTGTTGGACTTAATATATTTCAAATCCATTGCATCACTATTGTTTTATTGCTCTTATTTTTTAATATCATTTAATTAGACTAATTGTTTGTTTAAAGAAAGAAATTAATGATAAACTTAATTATAAAAACCCTAATTATCTTAGACGGAGAAGAGATGAAACATTCTTATGAGGAAACTTACTATATTTTCTTTCTTTTTAGATTGTGAACTAAAGAAAGCAAAGTTTAAAATCCAAACCATAACTATTCATTTTTTTGTTTACTCAAAAGTTGTTTTTAGGGTTTGATGTAACTTTTGCAAAACAATACTTTTTATAACCTCAACCTAAAATAAATTAATATTTTTTTTAAAAATAAAAGAATTATTTAACCAATAAAAGCAAATCCTTACTCACATATATATGATATATCAATGAAAGCAAACCCTAACTCACATAGTTTCTTTCATGCAAAGTTAAGAAAATTAATATAGTTTTTTTCGTTGAGTATTCATCAAACGACTTATCATTGCCTGAATAATCTTTTCAATTTTTTCGGACATACTTTAAGCTGTAATACCGTGATGGTCCTAAAAGTCTAAAATCTAAGATCATGTTCAATGAAACAACTCTAAAGAGATGCTTAAGTATTATTTAATTATTTTTTGATATATGTTTCATAAGCGTCTCATAAGCAGCGGAGCTTAAAGCTCTTGTTTAAGCATCGATTTTTTTTATTGTATTTATTTAATTAATTTTTTTTAAAAAAACAGATAAGCACCCCTGTTAAGCGCTTCCGTTGAACATGCTCTAACATATCTAAATCCAAGAAATTTTACCCTTGTTACACACAAAATTCAAGAAATATGATTGTTGGCATATCAACATATCAATCATATATCAAACCGTTTTTTAATCATGCAATTCATCATAATCCTTCATCGTTTGGATCAACATGCGTTCTTTCGATATCTTGTTGGAAAATAATATTTCTTACATCTTAATGGGGGCCATCTTTCAAGAATGTAAGAGCAGCTTCTTCAATTCAGTATCATTTTATGTCGTCTCTCTTTACATATGTAGCCGGTTTTCTTTCAAGAGTCTGATCTTCTCTTATATTGTTTCGTCTTCGTACGCCCAAGTTGAAGAAGGACAAACGAAAGAAAACTCCAAACTTTCCAGGAAAAAAAAAAATTCTTTCATCACCAAATTTTGAACTAAAATTTTCAATGAAGTTATTATTCTGTCATGTTCGTATGCGATCAGCTTTAATAAAAAGTAGATGGGAACAATTTTTCATTAATATGTACAGTAATATTATACAGATTATATATAAAAAGTTGGTTCATGAATCAAATTACGAAGGTCCAGCATAGATAGGCAAAATCGAAATATTATTATTTTATATATATTATTTCAAATATGGTTTCAAATTAAACATAAGAGTGATAGTACAATATCTGATTTCACACGCTTTAAAGTGATTCAAGAGTCATAACCAATCTTTAGGACAAACTAAAGACTGAAACTTCTTTTACGGCCATGTTGTCTTTTGAGTCTCTTTAGCTCTTTTCCATATCCTTTGAACTGTTCGTATATGAATCGAAAACATCTCTGCTACCTCTTTTGTGGCACTTGCATTCAATCTTCCTAATACACTCCTATCCAGTAAAGCATCGTAGACTCTCTGTTTTTCTCGACTAGTTAAATTCTTGTGCCTTCTACGTATGACATTATTGGTTTCATTCGGTGCTGGTCCAAAATAGTAAAACACAATTAAATATTAAAAATGACTTTCTCCTGAAAAAAAAACAACAAATATATAATATATATATATATATATCTCGACATGTCCACATTCTTACGATTGTTCCATGCAACGATTTCAAAATATATTCTTTAAAAAAACGATTTCGAAATATCCAATAAATACGTCCAATATTCCTATAAGAATACCTTTATTCATTTTAAAGTATTTCATTGTTCATTATATGTTCGTTCTAAGAAAATTAATGTCGTTAGTTTTTTTTTTGATAAAAATATTAGGTTACACTGGATTTGGATTGAACAAACGTATAACTAATAAATAAACTAGAAGGTTTTACCACATCTAAAATTTATATATATATATATATATATATATATATATATATATATATATATATATATATAAGAAGAGAAGATAACGATTTGATTTACCTGGATCTCCAACTAAGTGATCTTCATTTTTCACATTTAGTTGGTCGACATGAGTATTAGGCTCTTTGGTCGGGTTCAAACTGTCATCTCCAATTTGAGAGTCATGATCATCATTACTCATTGGAATGGAGTTTAGATCAAACATGTGATTTTTCTTGTTTGGAGGTGAAACGTTTAAATCCAAATTATCCATGGATACTCTTGACAGTCCATCTTGTGTTTATCTATATATATGCACGCTAAGGTTTGGTACCCCTCTATTTTTCTTTTTTTGGTAGTCAACACTTCAAAAATATATTTAATTCATTCAAATATTTGTAATTAAAGATATACTTTTATTAACAAGCTACAAGATGTATGGATGGATATATAGAATAAAAAAATGAACATGAAATAATTTTTTAGAATTCAAAATCTAAATAATTTAAATTAGTAAGAGTATAACATATCAAACATAGAAATTAAAATAAAATTCTTAATTGGTGTGAAAAATCTTGAACGACATTTAATCTAAAAGACTAAAACATTAAACATAGATGACTCTATAGTCAATGATAGAAAAACGACTACCATATAATGTAAGGGATATATTTATGATTGAACATTTTTTTTAGTTTTTGAGTCAACTTTTGTATGACAGAGATTACTTTCCTACTTTTATTTGAGTCAATCGGAATTGGTTGACAGATTATTAAAGGAAATAACAGAAAAACAAATTTATTGAAATAAATAACTCATACTAAATTAAAAATATTATATATATAATAGAAAATTATTTATGACAAAATTTAAATTATTGACTGCTGAGTAATTATAAAACTACTAAAAATTTATAAACATTTTAATATTAAAATAATGAAAACAAAAATATAATTTTTTTTGTTTTATAAAATTGTGTTTATATGAAGAGATATTTTTGATGTAAAAAATATGAGTAATTATAAAATTAGTAAGTTTTTAAATTTTTTTTATAGTAGACGAACATAAATAAATAATAGAAATGATATTTTTCTGTTTTATAAAAGTGTCGTTTATTATAAACGATAATTTATATTTTATATTAGATAAATAAAAATAAAAATAATATTATTTTTCGTTTGTTAAATGTCGTTTATAACAAAAATAAATAGTTATAAAATTAGTAAATTTTATTAAAATTTTATATCAGACGAAGGAAAATATAAACATAAATTCTCTCCATCTTATTAAAAGTGTCATTTATTATAACAACTATATTATCGTAATTAAAAAAATAACTATACTGGTGTATAGGTTATTTTTTCTTTACAAAAAAAATATTTTTTCATTTTTATTTTACGTTTCAAAATTATTTCTTGTACTAATTTTTATTCAAAGTTAATAAATCTCTAATTTGATAATTATCTAGTGATATATCAGATAAATGTTCACTTGAAAGTTTTACAGTTGGTTATTGTATATTTGTGTATAGGAGTTTCACGTTCATAAGGATAAGACACATTCTGAAAGAAATGTTTAACGAGTTATCGGATCTAATGCCCATCCAATCCAAGTAATATTAATTAGAACCAAATTCAAGCTTTTGCTGCGAAAATTTTAAAAGTTGTCACCATTTCCCATTACACCCATTAAATGATCATACAACAATATGATTTTTCTGACTGCCTTCCGATTTAAATTAGATTCACGTAAAACAGCTATATACATTTTTTTTTCTTGTCGGTCTGAGCAACTTTCTGTTTGCTGTGTTCATTTTACAGACAGATTAACTTACTCTCCTTTTCACACTCCGACGATTGTGTTGTAAGTACCATAAACAGCAAAGAGCAACCCGCAAATCACAATGAACACATCAACGGATTTGCTCCACAAATTTAGCGATGGACCGAGCAGCGTGAGGTGATAAGAAGCCGGCAACACAAATGATATGAGTGCACACAGAGTACTTCCAACCAGAGATGCAAATGTGCCAAAGCCCGGCACTAATGACGCGATTGCTGCCAGTCCTACCACCAAAAGCGTCCTCGTGATCAAGATTACATATTTTGACACTGAAACTGTTTCGTTGCTGTACTGATGCTGCTGCTGATGATGATGATGCTTTTGAAGCCAATCAATCCTTTTCAGTTTCTGCTCTATGATCTCGTTAAGCGGATGTACCATGATGGGGAATGTAAACGTCAATCCCACACATAAGCCAATCTGTTTACACCAAAGAAAACCGAAAAAGATAAGTACTGTAATAGAGTTTCTATCATCTGAGATAAACTTTTTCACATGATCAAGAAACACCAAGATGCTAAAATGCTATAGAGCATAAAGACACTACATATACTCCATCAAACTAAAACAGATTTACAAGATTCAGAAGCGATTACGAGCTTTCAGAACTAAATTCCCAAGGAGAAATCATAAGCAAGAACAGAGCACATGAATCTAAAATCATAATGATGAAATACGAGAAACATAGGTTTAAGCATTAAATAAAGAATTTGCAATGACATAGTGTTTACCTGCACGGCAATGGCAGACCAATTCTTTGGGAGGTTAAGTGTGATGATATCCTTTGTTTCATCGCCGTAAGCCATATAACCGCAGAAACCGAACAACACGTAGACAAACGTAATCCCGGCAAGCACTTTAGCTAACAGCTTAGGGAAAGCTTCTCTCTCCTTCATAGAACCTTCAAGAGCCAACGTCATCGCAAAACCCTCAAAACAGAACACTGCAACTCCTCCAGCAAACGGTAAGCCTCCAATGGTAGACGAAATGGCTGTTCTGTCACCAAACGAGAAGTCTCCTTCGATCACCATCTCCACGTTTTCTTTCACAACGAAACACATTGCTATGATATTGCATATATCAGCAAAGATGCTGAAAGGCGAGAGAGCTGATAAAGAAGTGATCCAAGACAGTCCAGCCTCGATTGGAACCAGGATCAAGATGAAGGAGACCATACTTAATCCACATGATTTGAATATCGACGACATATTTCGGCCTATGAACACTAGATATGCTACTGATCCACCACATTGAGCAGTGAATATGAGGAATTCGGTTAGGTATCGACCTTTTGTTCCCATACATTTGAATCCTAAATCACCATATGTCTTTGATTCTTCTTTTCCTTCTTCCGATTCGAGCTTGTCTCTGCACTGAATCTGCATATATAATCAAAACCAATCCAGAAAACGCCGAAATTAGGTGGGATTGTGAATCGATCTCAGAAATCAAAAACATTGAGATTCCAGGAGATTAAGGAGGGGGAAGAAGGGAACTAACGAGGAGGAGCATGCAGTAATAGGTGGCGAATCCGACGATAATAACGCCGAGAGATCCGGCGAACCATCCGGCGACACGGAAAGCATAAGGGAGCCCAAGGACGCCTGTACCGACGATGGAGACGATAATGTTTCCGAGCGTCTGAAGAGCCGTGGTTCTGTCTCCGGTCGTTGTAGACGGCGGAGATTTTATCAGAGGAAGAGATGAATCGTCGTTCGCCGCCAGGTCCTTGATCGCCATCGCCGAGATTCACTCCTCTTGTTTTTTGTTTTTCTTCTATTTTTGTTTTTAAGGAGACGTACGATCTATTCCGCCGCAAATCGTGTCTCGGTATATCATGAACCCGCCAAAGATTTCTCCACGTGGCACACCAACGTCCCTTAAATCTGGCGCGTGCTTACACGCTGTCCGTCGATAGATCTCCGCAAATGAAACCAATCAATATCCGTTTATTTGTTTCTTTTCAATGCAATCTGACTTAATAATTGTAGAAGATGGCAAATTTATCTTATCTTGTGTCTTATTTTTTTTTTTCATTTATCTTGTCCTGTAATATTATCCAGAGTACATGGCCCACCGTTATAATATCTGCAAACCTGCAATAGTCGTGTACTTTACAAAGACTCATTGAATTCTTACATTTCTTACATGTTTTCTAGAGTTAATCTATTTTGCTTGGAAATTTTCTTACGTGTTATAGTTAAATTTGGTTTCCCAAAATTGAAAATCTTTTTCATCAAACAAGCGATATCAATGGTTTTTATTGGACAATGAATGACTAAATTCCAAAAAGTTTGTAATTTAGTTAAAGGAAGCACGAAGACAATGTGGGTGATAGACACAGCGAATGGCATGTATAAGCTTTCTTCTTGGTCCAACGGCTAAAGCACCCATATGCTTAAGCTTCTCCATTGTCAAATTCGCCATTTGAAACTTACTCATCCTCTGTCCTCTCAACATCCTCTCAAACTCTCTCCCCAATCCTATTGATCCAACCCATTCGTTTAATCCGCCAGCTTTCTCAACCTTCTTCTCCAGATTCACCACTCTAAGCTTCTCATTATCCATAACAACAGAGCTGCACATCACTTTAGGAAACCTCATGGTGGGCTTGTAACCTGTACGGCTCCTTTGAATCGCCAATCTTCTTTCCGGATCCATTCTACAATCTTGCAGTGATCTCCTTGGTCCTGGAGCTTTCCTGGTTGTGAGGTCCCGACCCGTTACTATCTCCGGTTTGTCTACTGAGGTGAAGTCAGGACATGCCTCAGGTTCCACAGCGTGAAAACCAGTTGTTTCGTGAGCATCCGCTACAAAGTCTCTCGGCTCAGCTTGTAACTGAGAAGTTGTAGCCTTCTGCGAAGTGCAATATTCAAGTACAGGAAGAGAAGGCTTCACTGTGTGAACAAGAGTAGCTTTGCGCGTCTCAGATCTTGACTCAGCATGTGACTGAGAAGTTGCAGGCTTCTGCAAAGTGCGATGTTCAGTTACTGGAAGAAAAGGCACCACAGTGTGAAAAAGAGTAGCTTTGGGCGTCTCCACTCTTAATCCAGTTTGTGATTGCGAAGTTGCAGGTTTCTTCACAGCGATCTGGATCTGTTCAGCTACCGGAAGAGACGGAACCATTGTGTGAACAAGAGACTTTTGGTGCCTATTTGCTCTTAACTCAACTTGTAACTTAGAAGTTTCAGGCTTTTGACGAATGAAATGCTCAGGTGGAGGAAGAGGAGTAGTTTCATGCATATCCGCAATTACGTCTCTTAACTCAGCTTGTGATTGAGAAGTTGCAGACTTTTGCAAAATAAAATGCTCAGGTGGAGGAAGAGAAGGCGCCATTGTGTGAGCAGGAGCAGTTTGATGTATATCCGCAATTACGTCTTTTAACTCAGCTTGTGATTGAAAAGTTGCAGGCTTCTGCAGTATGAATTGTTCAGGTAGAGGAAGAGAAGGCACCACAGCGTGAACATGAGTAGTTTCTTGAGTATCAGCAACAAAGTCTCTCAGCTCGGATTGTGATTGAGAAGTTGCAGGCTTTTCCGCAGTGAAAGGTTCAGGAAGAGGAAGAGAAGGCAATACAATGATGACTCGCTGCTTTTTAACAAAAATCCAACCGTCTTCTTCACCATCAAAACCCAACTTGGAAGGACCAATCTTGATTGGTTCCAACTGTTTCGGCCTTTGCCTCGCCATTAAACCTGAGATTTCAACAACAGTAAGCTCAAGGGGAACCAAGCAGTCTCTTATCTTTTTCATAACAACACAAGAAGAAATATTTGCAACAAAAAATTTGTCATGAATCACAAGGAAACCATAGAGAACTCATATGCTTTAAAAGACATGATAACGAAAATAACGTCAACAAGCCAGAGAAATCAGAGAAAAGGCAGAACAGATATTTATTGAATCCATTTTAGAACAAATAAGAGTAGTAGCACAATTTAATGAAAGGGGGATTAAGAAATTACAATCGAACCAAAGATTTGCCCAGTAAATTAGCGACGCATGAAAGAAAGAAACAAACCCTAATTCGAGAAATTGGGGATGAAGTCCGCCGCTTTCCGACACCCAGAAGCGCATGTAATAAAGCTTTTAAGGGAAATGTCAACGAGTCTTTACCTTTTTGAGTTTCTTCTGGGAGTGACGATGACTCTCGTTGAGCTTTCTCTCTCTCTGATCGGAAAGAGCAGATCTTTTTATTAGATTTTTATTCTTGTTGTATTTTGATATTCTCCAAATCAATTAAACTTATAATTTAATGCAATTTTGTTCATAAGACGAGGTTAAAAGTAGCCAAGACAATCCAAAAAACTGTGAGTGGTCTAAAGCAAAATTTCATGTTTGCAACAAACAAATCAAATCCTATGTATTAACAAGGCAATTGCTTTTGATTTCAATCACATATTTACTTAAATCTAAAAGAATGTCCTCGTTGATTTGGAGATAAATGAAGTTTTACAAATCCACAAAATTTACTTATAGGTTTACAGAAGAACGGATAAATGAGGAGTATAAAAAACCGAAACTATATAACGAAGCAAACAGAAGCTGTAAGTAAGCAGAAACAGAACAATCAAAAGAGAAAACGTTCATAAACGTGTGAGAGTTTGTATGAATGTACCCATTATCCAATATGGCAATATCCTCTACTATAAAAAGAAAAAAGCATCTGAGAATATTATTAATAGAGATCTCTAAAATTCTTGTGTAAAATCAAAGATTATGCCGCCATTTTTTTCTTTTTTCTTAACAGGTAAAGACACGTCAGCTAAATAAAATCTTAGCCGTTAATCTCAACCCAAATGACCTCATCCTGAACGTTCATTCAGCATCGTCTCCTCGTTTCTACCAAAAATAACTTCTTTTGACTAAACATTGGCACACGAGACGAGAACACACACACAGAAAGATTACTCCTTGAAGGAAAAAACCCTTCACCGATTAATTTAGAAAAACAACCATAAAATCAATAAACCAGAAAATTATCAACCTTTTTACATAATTTGATTAATTATTCCGAATATTTTTCATTTTTAATTTACGCTTTGATTTTTTGGTTTCATTCTTCCGTTTTCTGGAGAATTATTCCCTGGAAACAGAAAATCTCGAGATTAGCTTTTACATTCCCTCCAGTTCCTGAGTCGCCAGAGAGGTAAGGCTTCGTTTTCGGATTCATCTTCTCTCTATCTCCATTGTGATATTGCGATTCGTGGATTGAAGTTTTGAGGATCTAATTGCTAGAAATGTGTGGTTATCGCAGAGAATTGGCTTCACCTTTCATTGTCATCCCCACAAGGCTGCAGCGGTTGTTTCGATTTCTTCTAATGATGCATCGCATGCAACAACCTCTAGGGCTTAGTGCGATTTAGGTCTCTCCCTGTTAGCTCTAGTTTCGATTTTCCCGGATAGTTTGTGAGAGAATCTTTGGATATAATCTCAGATGGAATTAGGAACGGTCTCTCCGTCCGGAGATCATATCAAATGTTGTGACTGTGGATGCGATTGTTCTCCAGATTCCTGGATTCGATCTGTGAAGAGACGACACGAGGAATTAGAGAGCCAGAAACGTTTCTCTATACCGGAGCTGGACGGCTTAGAGCTGCTTTCTAATCCCAAAGTCCATATCGAGAACGAAATTGAATTACTTCGCGAGACTGTTACCAGCCAACAGCAATCGATTCAGGAACTGTATGACGAACTCGAGAAAGAGCGGAATGCTTCATCATCAGCTGCTTATGAAACATTGGCTGTGATGCAGAGGTTGCAGAACGAAAAGGCTGAGCTTCAGATGGAACTCAGGCAATATAAGCTTTACGCCGAGGAAAAAATGGAACATGACCAGCAAGAGATCTTGGCATTGGAAGATCTCGTCTATCAAAGGGAGCAGACGATTCTGGCTCTTACTTGTGAAACTCAGGTTTATAAGCATAGGATGATGAGTTACGGGCTCACCGAGGCAGAAGCTGATGGTGACAGGAGCTTGCTTAGTCGTAACCCGAGCATCGATTCTGTATTTGACCCTCCTACAAATGACTACCCTCCATTGAAGTGCAATATCAATGAGAACCAAGATCCTCTGCAGGCTGATATCTACGTTGCAGATGATGAAAACTACCCACCAGCTGATTCGCCTCATGGGAGAGAGCATTTGAAGACGTTGGATCTAAGAATCAGCCAGATGGAGACAAGTCCTAGCTTTACTCAGTTGGATGGTGAGTTCCCGAGAGCGACAGGGCGGGATGTTTCAGAAACGTTAGTGGCTGGTCAGAGTCCTAGGCGTCAAAGACATTTTAGGAGGATTTCCACCGCTAGCTCAAGTTCACATTTGGGAGCATCTAAAGAAGTTAGACCTGATGTTTTTGTTGATTCCCCGAGGTTCGAAAGCAAAGTGGAAAATGTCTCATATACAGAGACTTGTGGTAAAGATGACTCATCGGATATAGGAGATGACATGAGCGATAGAGTTTATACCATTGACTCTGTCCATCACAGTGTGTCTCATAGTGGTGTAACTGAAGAGAAGCTTGAGGCTGAAACTTCCGATGGCAATTCGGTTTTCCCGAGAGAACAAAAGGATCTTGGTGATCCTCCTGATATAACGAAACTCTACATGAGGCTTCAAGCACTGGAAGCTGACAGGGAATCAATGAAACAGGCGTTTCTGTCTATGAGGACCGAAAACGCTCAAGCGGTACTGTTGAAAGAAATTGCTCTTCATTTATCAAAGGAAGTCGTCCCTCAACGAAGGTTGCCTTTACGGAAAGCATCCATTGCCGGGCCATTGACTTTTACGCCAGTCTTTAAGGTGATTTTGCTCTCTTAGTCCTAAACTTTTTGGGTTGTTATGATTCTTTACAGCACAACTTTTACTGGTAGGGAGCAACTTGTTCTAAAGCTTAGTCTTGTGTTTGCTACTGTATCTCACTCTCTGACTTGTTCCTTTGATTATTATCCTTATGCAGTGGATCACATCTTTTGTTTCCTGGAGAAGAAAGGCTCGTCGAAGCAAGTAAGTAGTCTGTCTCAAAATTTTGTTAGTTTCGGTTTCGCATATCTTATTGCACGAGAAAATCCTTGTAAAAACGTTGAACCAAAAATTAGAATCATCTCCTCCTTAGATATTCCAAACACAGAAACAGTGTTTCGCTTAATAGTTGGAAGTTAATGTTGGTATATAAGGAGCTGCTTTTGATACTAACACTCGTCTGTGTTCTAATGGAAATGAACAGGTACATGTTTGGGATGTCAGCAAATAACATCGGCCTGCAAATGGTTCTGGAAAAGGTCCCTCGTTCACGGAAATGGCGATGTCTCAGGAGCACGCAAGTGTGAAACAGACATAATCCTTTCAAGCAAAACGAAATCACTATCCTGACTTTAGAATTTCAAGCACATCATTGTCAAATACACTGATGAGTTGGATTTTTAAAAGTGTTGCCCAGAGTTTAAAACAAAAAATTGTGCGCCTTTCTCCAATTCCAACTGGGTCCTCTTTCTTGGGTTTCAGAGAAAATGTTTGTCCTATGCGTTTTTTTTTTCATTCTGTTTTCCCCAATATTTCTCAACTGTTTGTATAAAGAATGGGGTTGAAGAATGATTTGTAACTGAGTGGCTATACAATCTTTGTATGGCTTCTAAGATTTAGTTGTTTAATTGGTTTTTCCATATTCTGGAGGTCCATTTGATCATCATAATCTAGAAGTTGGGCTGCCATAATAACGAAAAAAAGAAAAGAAAAAAAAACTGTCGATCTCTGACATATATAGTTAGGAAGAACAAGATTGAATGTTCTACTTGTACCTTATAGAAGTCAGTCATATATGATGCGTACATATACCAGACAAAGCCATAAGGCTTAATATATTTAGGAAATGGACTTTTACGTCGTAGAAAACTAAAACTCCTATATATATTTGTTGACCTTAAAGTGAAACAAATATAAAACTACCTTCCCAAATATACCCAATCAGAAAGAACAAAATTTTAATTTCTTATCCTATATAAAATTGGGCATAAAATTTCAACTTTACTCCCGTACTTTAATATAAAAAAATTTAGCGATTTAAACATGTTAATAACCTAAAGAAATGAAAGTAGGAGAGAGCTTATATAAGAAAAAAATTGTAATATAAACTTATTTCATGCATGATTAATGAACTCATTGACATACAAAATATACACGTTATGTGTTTGATAGTGAAATGTTCTAAGTCTAATCACATACATTAGTGGAATTCAAAGCGAAGACCAGTCGACAAAAAGTCTGTCTAAGTAAACGCAGCCGCCACCTCTTACCTCCACCACTTATTTACTTCTTCATCTTCTTCATCTTTTTTTCTCCCTAATATTCTCGAGCTTCATCATCATTCTGTAATATACACGCATCTTTAATTATATTTAAAAAAAAAAAAAATCAAATGGATCAAGAAGAGGAGGAGATCGAGGTCCCTAAGTACTTTCTCTGTCCAATCTCACTAGAGATTATGAAAGATCCAGTCACAGCCGTTTCAGGCATAACTTATGACCGTCAAAGCATCGTAAAGTGGCTCGAGAAGGTCCCTTCTTGTCCCGTGACGAAGCTGCCTCTTCCTATAGACTCCGGTCTTACGCCTAACCATATGCTTCGCCGTCTGATCCAACACTGGTGCGTCGAGAACGCGACACGCGGCGTTGTCAGAATCCCTACGCCTAGAGCTCCTCCGGGGAAGCCTAACGTCATCGAGGAGATCAAGAATCTCGAAAAGTTTGGAGAAGAAGGTATTATCGGGTCGGGATTTTAAATAATCCGGTTTGGTCCGATTCGTTTTGTGTATTCGGTTTTGTGTGGCATAACTTTATGTTTGGTTTTGGTCCTTTTGGTTTTAAAAAAAGTATCAAAAACTGTAAGTATTTAATTACAAGAAAATTTAAATATGTTTCTCTATCGGTTCAGTTGGACGTACTTAAGTTCGGTTCGGTTTGTTTATTTAATACCGATCGTCTAAGATTAACATTTGGTTCGGTTTAAATTGGACAGCCTTAGGAAGAGAAGATACGTTGAAGAAGCTTGAAGTTTTGGCTATGGAGGGAGAGGGAAATAGGAGACTAATGTGTGAAGAAGGCGTGCATAGGTATTTGATCTTGTTCGTAGTCAAGTGTACGTGCGAAGAAGAAGAAGAGGAGGGGCGACGTCGTTTCAAAGAGCGGCTAGATGAGTCTCTGCGTCTTCTTCACTTGATCGGTGTTCCATTAAACGACGCAAGAACAATCTTGATCGAAAACGATCGAATCTTGGAATCTTTAACTTGTGTTTTACACCAACAAGACTTCCTCAACAAGGCGTACACAATTGTGCTGTTGAGGAACCTAACGGAAAATACTTCCTCTCACATCGTCGAGAGATTGAATCCCGAGGTTTTCAAAGGGATCATAGGTTTTCTCAAGGATGTAGCGAGTAGTTTCAATCGCATAAACCCTAGCGTGAGAGACACGGTACAATCATCAAACTCTAGCGTGAGACGTAAGGAACCATCAAAACTTGATCATAGATTGGTTATTAAACAAGCTCTGACTGCAGCGCTGATGATTCTTCTAGAGACCTCATCGTGGAGCCGGAACCGAACGATCCTTGTGGATCTCGGTGCAGTTTCCGAACTCATCGAACTCGAAATAAGCACAACCGGAGAGAAGAGAACTACAGAACTCGTGTTGGGAGTTTTGTCACGTTTATGTTGTTGCGCGGACGGTAGAGCTGAGATTCTTGCCCATAGAGGCGGGATTGCGATTGTAACAAAGCGGATATTAGGGGTTTCAACTGCAGCAGACGATAGAGCGCTCTCTATCCTAAGCACAGTGTCCAAATTCTCGCCGCAAAACGCAGTTGTGGAAGAGATGGTTTGCGTTGGGACGGTGGAGAAGCTTTGTTCCGTTCTAAGAGTGAACTGTGGTTTGAGCTTGAAGGAAAAAGCGAAAGAGATACTTAGAGATCATTTTGATGAGTGGAAGAAGTTTCCATGCATTGATGTAACTCTACTTACTAAGCTTCTAAGCTCTTCACCCAAAGATCTACTACTCACCGAGTCTAACTCAGAAGTTGGTGTTTAGCTTCTTTTTTTCCCCTGTAACTCAAATTAAGTATTTAATCTGCTGGACCCTCGAAACATATTTAAGTATGCATTTAATAAGAATTTAGAGCAATTTTTCTGCTATCATCAATATGATGATTGTATAAAATAGTTACAGATACATCACCAATTGAATTTTGTTACAGTGATTCATCCTCGTCATGATCCTGATTAAGCAAATAAAATTTCTTTAAGTGTACCAAAAACCACACTGAAATTTCACTTCCACAAATTGTATGGACGCCCAAACGGTATTCTAATTCAACAAACACAAACCCAACACTAGCTTTTTGATTTCAAGATCAAAATTCAACAAAACTAAAGTTTAGACAAGAAGAAGAAACCCACATGTTTGCCATTAAGAGAAAAAAACTTATCGCCTTCGCATACCACGGCCACGACCTCCACCGCGTCCTCTCCCCATAGCACCTGCGGCAGCTTCTCCTTGTGCGCTCTCAGACTGCATTTATTTAGATACAAATATCAATACAATCATATACACACACATTATCAAAACATACAAGAGTAAAGGAGGGCAAATGTTATTTACTTTAGGGTTCTTCACGGTTTCGTCCACACTAAGAATAAGGCAGGCTGCTTCAGTCGCAGCGTTTATAGCATTAATCTGCCACAACATAGGTAACCAACCCATCATCAATAAAGCTTTGCGTGATAGAGATATTCACACAAAATAGAACATTCCCAAGTCGACATTTTCATAACTGACAAAAGTCACATGAAGGAAAAATAGAGTAAAAGTTTATAGAATCTTGCCATACCTTCACAACTGCTGGTTCCCAGACGAAGTTAGCGTATGAATCTGCTATTCCACCAGTGTTAATGTCCACTCCATAAGAAGCTCCTTCACCTGTTAGAGCACAGATATGATCGCATGATAGAATGAGATTACGCCGCCTATCAAAAGATTACTACATGAAGCCTGTGATAGTAATAGAAGGCTCACCGCTTTGCATGGCGTGTTTTTGTCTTAATTTGTTCAGGACATCAGTTGCATCGAATCCAGCATTGTCGCATAATTGTCGTGGAATAACCTGTCGTACCACCGCAATTAGTGCAAATTCAAATCTTTAAGGCACAAAAACAAAGTATCCAAGCCAACCAAAAGTGTACCTCCAGGGCCTTTGCGTACGAGTTGATGAAAAGCTGAGACTTCCCAGCAATTGTTCGTGAATGCTGCCTCAGGTACTTGCTAATCTCCATCTACAACAAGGAGCAGTCACTTTCATTGTCGATGGTATGGACCTATGTACAAAATTTAAGAACTGAACCACGGTGGATGGAAGATACTCACATCTATAGCTCCACCTCCAGGAACAACAGTTGAGTTCTTCACAGCCCTTCTCACGATCATAATCGCATCATGTAAACTCCGCTCAGCTTCTTCAATAAACTGCCATAACATTTCAAAGGAAGTCATATATATATATATGCTGATTTTTTTTGTTTTCATGAAGTCTCCAGTATTTGATGTATACCTGATCAGCTCCACCACGGAGGACAATAGTTGCTGTACGTCCTGAAGGGCAGCCACTGAAGATGTTAAACCTCTCTCCACCAACTTGTTTTTCCTCGAATATTTCACAAGTTCCGAGAACCTGCAGAACATTAAAACCAATATCTGATTCAAAGGAACATAATCAACAGGTCACTGAAAGCTTGTAAGCATATCCAAATAGCAAGCAAAAAAAAAAATCATTTTTCACTAGCCTCGGTTATTATATTGTTAACACTTGTCTGAACTGTTCCTCCAGCTGCAGCAGCCACGCGATTAAGATCTTCCTCTGCTACACGGCCAGCGCAGAAAATATCACGATCTGCAAAATACTGCAAAAAAGGCAAACAGTCTTCAGTCAAATGAGTAAACACAGTCAAGCACTCTTGATTGATACGAAAATGAAACAACAAGATGCAAGGTACAGTTCTGAACAATATTGATTGAAAAGAGCAATGAATACTCATAGGTTTCTAAGGAAATATAATATCTTAATACACTGACAAATGGTAACTTTTAATTGCAACTTTGAAGTGTTGCACATGCATAATAGTCTTACACTTGCACGACCATTACCAACTACTGTAATCATGCCTCAAAGATGTCGAATGGTTTCTTACGAAATAAGATAAACGTCAATATCCAACCTGACAATGCAGGGAAAACATCCTTTGGTAGATGAAACCAAAAAATAAAACATAGGAAATCAACAAACCTGAGTCGCTAGATCACCAATAGCCAAGCGAGAAAGAACAACTTTAGCTCCACTTTCGACACACTTGTCTAGCTTGTCATAAATGATATTCCATTCTGCATCAACTATTGACTGGTACTGCGATGGATCTGACAGTCTGTTAACAAATGGGAGGAGCCAAGTCAAACAAGGCCAAAAGATTAATTGAAAGGAAAAATTTAACATAAAGAGCCAGAATTTCAACCTAATCTCAGCGTTTTCCTTCTCAGATTTCAACTCCAATTCGATGTTAAGCAGGAGAATTTTCGGATTAACAAACTTCTTTGGCTGTTGTTCGAAACCCGCGTACGAGAATGTCTTTTTGAAAGCTACACCATCAACTAGGAAAGAGTCTCGCATATTACCACCAGGAACCTGCATGGCAAACCATGACATTAGCTTAGAAGAATCTTGAACCTGGCTCTAAAGCACAAGTTAAGACAATCTTTATAGATGTGAATCATTTGGACTCTGTAGCACTATGCCCATTACTTCCCCAAATTTATTTAGAATTTGGAAATGAAATGCAGCGAACAGAGGAGGAATGTAGCAGACAGGCCAGTTGTGGTACATGATTGCAACTACAAAAATACTAAAACTGCTATCCTATTGGATTTTGCAAATCCATTAATGGGCAGAATTTAAGCCGCACGGTAAACAGAACATAACACAAGTAACTTAACACCCAATGCAAGGCCAATTTCTAAATAAACCTTTTCAGGATACTAAAGTATGAAACAAAAAATCAATACCAATGGAAAGAAAAGGAAGTCTTACCTTTTTGATCCCAATCAGATTTAGCCTGTCGTCATTCCCAATCGCCATAACAGCATCAACAACCATTGTAGAAAAAAACTCCTTTTCTCCACCAATAAGCTTAGAGGAAAGGGTGGTAGCAGCACATTTAGCCAACAAACCTTTCTTTTCCTCAACACTCTTCCCCTCAATGCTAACAGCGAGTTCTTTGACCTTCTCAATTGCCTAAATCGATAAAAATTGGTGATTAGAGCCACAGAAAATCAAAAACTTGCTGTTAAACTAACAAGAAGAAAATACAAACCAAAGTGCTTGCGGTGCGGTAACTTCTAATCAAATTCTGGGAGTGAACACCATCCTCGATAAATGGCTTGGCCTCCTTCAAAAACTCTGCTGCAAGAAGAACAACAGTGGTTGTCCCATCGCCGACCTAACCAACAAAAGCAGCAGCAGATAATTCAGAGTACATGAAACTCAATAATAAAGCATTCTAAGATCTGCATAGTGGATGACACTTCTAAATACAAGCACTGAAGATCCATAACGCGATCGGTGTCCAGCTCAATAAGCAATCAAAAATCCACATTCAAAAATTGTATTGGGATATTCTTTGAAAACCGAGATTGGGCCAAAAATTGAAAGCAAACAGTACCTCGGAATCTTGTGATTTGGCGATATCGACGAGGATCTTAGCGGCAGGATGGACAATGTCGAGAAGCTTCATGATGGTAGCACCGTCGTTGGAAATGGTGACGGATCCCTTATCGTCGTGGATGAGCTTGTCCATCCCTCGTGGCCCGAGCGTAGTCCGAACCACATCGCCAACCGCCGTGCAAGCGTTGATGTTGCTCACTAGCTGCGCTTTGCCCTGAGAAGTGTCCGTACCTTCCTTGAGCAGTATGATTTGCGGTTGCTACTCCCGGAAACCAACCAAAGTCAGTCAGTGTCAGAACAATAAATATATGCAAAGAGAGTGTAGATTACAACTTACCATCATCGACGCCATTGTAGATGCGTGAAAGAGCTACGGAGAAAAGGGAGAAATGGGAGTGAAGAGAGAGAGAGAGAGTTAGGGTTTAGTTTTAGTTAGGTCTCTTGTGTTCGTTCATATAGGAGCGACGAGATCGAGTAATGATTTTAGATGGACCGGCCGGTCGAACCGATGAAACTGCAACAACTTAGCGGATTATCCGATTCAGATTCATTTCACTTTTGGAACCCGGCATTTGTAACCCGATTTCAGAAACAGAAAAAAAAAAGACCCCATGAAATATAATTGTTTCTATTAAGACCATAGAAGAATCTAAAAGAACAATGCGAATATTTGTGATATGTTAACATAAATATGCAAAAAAGGATAAGCGAGGACTAAGGATTGGACAAATTAATTGAAGGGACTCGAAACAAAACACCAATATTTTATTAACGTTCATAGTAAAAAAATATATATTCTAAATCAATCGAACATTAGTTTTCCTTGGTTGTATATTAAAATGAGAGCTCAACTTCGGACACATTTACCAAGATAGGTTGTCTAATTTACTTTGCCTTAAGGTGTTAGTTGCAAACAATTACATTTTTTAGTTGACATTTAGTAGCAACAATATACATATATCTCTTAAGCTCCATCCAACTTATACACTGAAATAACTGAACTTGTATACAAAAGACATTGATTCTGTAATTATTGTAAAATGGTTTAAGTAGAAACTCATAAATCATAAACGCTAATTTTATCGGCCAAAGGTTGAAGTCGCTTCTTCTTCTCCATTGGAGGAGACGTGAGTCTGAGTTTCTGATTACTTGGGCCTCAATTCTGGCCAACGTTGAAAATTGGTTTCATTGATCTGGGCATTTAGGCTTCCGAGATTAGTTGGGAGTTCGCTTGAAAAACTGGGCCTAAGGGCATCTTGTATTTTTGTCGGCAAAGACATCTTGTATAGTTTTTTTTTTTTTTACATTTTCATGAAACTTCAATAGAAAAATCAGTTAATCAAAAGGAAAAACATTTCATCGTTTTGGTGTTTTACTTCAATGTTTTTTATCCTAGAATGCCATTTCTAGTTTTGCTCCTTTTTGTTTTTAATTAATACGAACTGAGAAAACTTTCCCACCAATCAGGTTAAGGTGTACTACACTACGAATAAACTTACATTAATTTGATATTGTTAGATTAATTCATCAAATATATACAGGTGCTTGTCGATTATATGTATAAGCAAAGGTAATTAGTGCGTCTTTCTAGTTTTTACCCAACGTAGACGCCACACGCTTTCACTATCAGCTTTCCTTCTCCGCCATCGTTACTTACTCAGAAGCTTCCAAGTCAACTATGGAGACTTCCTTCTTAGTCTTCTCTCTCCTCTCTTTGATTGACCTCTTCTCCTAAACCTTTTGGACTTTTCGTCTCTCTCTCTATATACCTTCTTCCGTCGTTCAATAAACCGTGTCATTGAATCAGTACGACTTTCTTCTTTCCTTATTAAGTATTTCCGTTGATCGATTCCGATCTTAATTTCTCTCTCTCCCTCCCTCTCTCTATATTTTTGATTTTGCGATGAACGATCTGTTTTCCAGCTCATTCTCTCGCTTCCGCAGCGAACCATCCCCTCGCCGAGACGGCGCCGGAGGCGGCGGCGGAGTTCAGATGGCTCACCCAGCGGGATCAACCGGCGGTGTGAACCTCGACAAGTTCTTCGAAGACGTGGAATCTGTGAAAGAGGAGTTGAAGGAGCTAGATCGGCTCAACGAAACACTCCAATCGTGTCACGAGCAGAGCAAGACGCTTCACAATGCCAAAGCCGTCAAGGATCTCCGCTCCAAGATGGACGCTGACGTCGGAGTTGCTCTGAAGAAGGCGAAGATGATCAAGGTTAAACTCGAAGCTCTCGATCGCTCCAATGCCGCTAATCGGAGCCTCCCTGGTTGTGGACCCGGATCCTCCTCCGATCGAACCCGGACGTCTGTCCTCAATGGTCTGAGGAAGAAATTGAAGGATTCCATGGACAGTTTCAACCGCTTGAGGGAGCTTATCTCGTCCGAGTATAGAGAAACTGTACAGAGGAGGTACTTCACCGTCACCGGCGAGAATCCTGATGAGGGAACCCTAGATCGACTCATTTCTACTGGTTAGTTCAATCGTTTATTCCACTTGGTCCTTTGCAATTTACTATATGAAGAACCAGAATTCAACTACTGCAATCATCGTCGAAGTTATACATAGTTTAGTGTTCAAGATGAATGCTCTTTGAGTTTAGTTGGATGCTAATGGATTAACACATGATGAACAATTCGTTGCCTATTAGTTTCAGGATACTGATTCAAGCCTTCTTTGCTCTCATTGATCTTTCAGCATTCATAACTTAATCAGAACTATAGCTTCAGATTTTGCTTTTGTATTCAGAATCTACCAAACCAGAACAGATTACGAAGAACAGTAACTTCACATATTGCATTAGATTATGAACATTGATTTGTAGCAGAAGTACATCATTAGTTGCTTAGACCTGGAACTGAAAAGAAGCTTGATCTCAGAAAACTTAGACATGTTCGTAGATGAGTGGTGTGTAACAAACATTTGGGGGTTTTTTTCCACTGTTTTGTTGCAGGAGAAAGTGAGAGATTCTTGCAGAAAGCTATACAAGAACAAGGAAGAGGAAGGGTCTTAGACACCATTAACGAGATCCAAGAAAGGCATGACGCGGTTAAAGACATTGAAAAGAACCTTAAGGAGCTTCACCAGGTGTTTCTAGACATGGCTGTGCTGGTCGAGCACCAGGGAGCTCAGCTGGATGACATAGAGAGCCACGTGGGCCGAGCCAGCTCCTTTATCAGAGGCGGTACTGACCAGCTACAAACCGCTCGAGTTTACCAGAAGAACACCCGTAAATGGACATGTTACGCTATTATCATTCTCATCATCATCATAATTGTTGTGGTTCTTGTTGTTGTTAAACCATGGGAGAGCAACGGAGGTGGCGGTGGTGGAGGAGGAGGAAATCAGCCAAATTCAGGTCAAGGGACACCACCAAGTCCTCCTCAGGCAAGGCGTCTTCTATTGCGTTGAAGTGAGTTTCGAAATTTGCAAATATATTCTTTGTTTGGAAAACCTTTAATCAAACCAGCTTTGTGTTTCTATTTTCTACGGCTGGCTATGTTGTTGATCGCCCTTTTATATGATTTTTGTGGAAGAATTTAAAAATTTGGCTTAGATGAGAAAATTAATAGACAATTCTCTTTGTATCTATATCTTTGTTGCGATATGACTTCTTTTTTTTTCCTTTTTTATGTGATTTCACGGTTTAACGTTCTTGTTTTATTTGGTTGAAGTATTTGAGCATTTGGAACCTAACGAGGTATCAATCGCTAACACACACAAAAAAACTAATTAGTCTTTTCATTTAATTATCCTTTTGGTAGCAAACAAAATGTGGGTGTATTTTGTAATGAAGTTTGTGAATTAAAATAAGACTATTGCTTCTTACATCTTTTTGATTTCATATCTTAACTATTGTTTGATAATATTTGTAAAAGCATTTTGTGAGGAGCTAATCTGAATTCATGAACAAACAAAAGTAAACTGAAACACAATAGAACACATGAAACAAATAATCGTTTTCTTTTGAATGTCATCAAACACACACTCATAAAAGACAAATAAGAGTTGCATAATGTTATTTTATCCAATCTTCTTATAGAAAATGTAAAACATACATTTCATCCAAGTTAAGACAATTTAACAATTTGGTAAATTTTCTGATTTAGGATTTATGTATAGATGTTATAGTAAAAAAAAAAAAGGAGATCGATTAGGGTTGCTAAAAAACGAGAAACACAAAGTAATGGTTTGAGTGCTTAATTATAAAAAATTACCATGTCAAACCAAAGCTAAATTGGTTCCGCCTTTAATATATCAAAATATGGTTTAGTTAATTTGATGTCTAAATCATATTGTGTTAATACAAAAATAAAAAAGTAAACACGGGTATCATCTAGTTAAAATGATAATAGCAATTATGAGAGATTCTTTCGCTATATAATACATTCTCAAGAAATTACAGAAAAGTATAAAACCAAAATAAGATAAATTAACTGATCTTCAAGATTATGCAATATTTATTAGCTAGGTAATGGACGAAAGTGTGGATATCGTACCTACACAAGTAAAACAAAGCAAAACCAACATATTTATAATTTAAACGTATTTAAACTTATTTAGAATTTAAGATACTATAACTTACAAGTCACACTGTGAAATTATGTTAAAAACACTTATAACTATAACTATAAATAGTAGACTAACGTGCGCTATTAGAATGTTTTCTACAAAAATAAAAAATAAAGAATGATATTGGTTGTATACGTTAAAATCAACTCCGTTAGATTTATTGAGTTTAAATCTATATTTAATACTATCAAATATTTCATTGCGAATATATTTTTTATTATTGGTACATGTGTAATTAAGTTAAATGTTTTTAACGTAATTTTTTTGAAGTAAAAAATATATGGGTTTAGTACTATCAAATACATAATAATAATTTTAAAAAAGATTGAATCTATACATTATTAATAGAAAAAATATTTTACTTAACAAGTGTGCTTAATAAAAAATATAACTCTTGTTATATAGGATTGACTAATTTTAAATTCGTATGAACTTCTATTTATTTTTTGTATAATTAGTATATTGATGAAGCCCATCGAGGGCAAATACAATAGTACAAGTTTATAGGGCCTTATAAGTTTTTAGCCCAACCCATACAAGAGACACTTTACAACGTGACACTGACACATCATCACCACACGTTAGTTACCATTGAAACTTGTCCTCGGATAATTTCGTATGATAAAATGACTTCTTTTTTTGTCGTTGATAATGTTATTTCTATCAGTCTTATTTTCTTTCAACCAATTTTAGATCTTCTAAATTTAAAAGTTTTTTTTAAAAGATAAAAGACTTTACAAAGTCAAAGAATCTAATGTTATGTGGAACCTAACATAAGACAATAGATATCATCAATAAATGGCTAAAAAAACCCACACTTCTCCTTCACTCGTTTCCATTTCGGTGTTGTTTCGGAGAAAAAATAAAAACAATAAACATTGTAAATGTAACTACAATAAATGAATGAGGATCGTCGAAATAAAATAATTATGATTGTCAAATGGATCACCAGAATATGGAAAACCCAATAAAACAATTAAACTCTAACTCGTGTGGTCTTTGGTTACGCAAAACAACAAGCCGTTGCAGTGAAACACTTTAGATATATCTCGATTTGGTTGAGCTTAGCTATCTGTTTTATAGATATTAGACGACCATCAATATTATTATTAGAGCCCTCGTCTTCCTCACGTATTCCGTTGAGATCGAATCTCAAGGAACAAACTCTATAATCCGACATCATGAATCCCATAAACTGCCTTGCTGCTACTGCTTTACCAACAATCTCATGTTTTGATAAACCGTTCCATTGTTTGCATGTACATCTTACTTCTCCAACAGATGTAATCGGAACTTTAGAGAATATCTCTCCGACCAATTCTCGGGAAATATCAGAAATCGTTGTCATTGTTTGAAACAGATCGAGAAATTAGGGTTCTTTAACTTTTCATGCTTGCCTACTCGCTTATATATATACATTAGGTTACATATATTATATATATATCACACACAAGACAGAGTCTTCCCCTCCAAAAAAAAAACTATTTCTGTGTGGCTTTCAATTATTTTCTTTTTCTTTAATTCCAGATAAATTAAAATGTGGTTTCTGATCTGAGTCACACATGAAACTGAAAGTAATTAAAGTAACTACATATGTCATATGTGTATATATAACTACTATGAAGTCGAATAAAAAGTATAATTGTTGATTTGTCAATGTTATATACACGCCAATCAAGCGCACTGATATTAAATTTACCGCTTGACATACTAGTCAAATCCACTAGTATTAAATTTGCCGTACGACTACACCGCAGCAATCATGAAATTGCTTAAACCATAATTATTAAACTGAACATTTTACTCCATAAATACATTTGGTTTAATTATAGCTTCCTAATCGTCCTGACCGACTCTTATCATCAAAATATCATGCATCCATGGTGGTCCTAAGCTCCTCGAATTGCGTCCCTATTGGATGCATCGGTGGATTGCGAAGAGGAGGATGCTGCACAAAATCTAGTCTCTTCCTTAAATGCATGATCTTATCCTTTGAGAAAGAGAGCAACTCATCGATCTCATTCAAATTACGATCACCACTTAGTTGCACCATGACCTGATCGATCACATTATTCATGTTCTTCTGCTGATAAACCCTCCTTGTCTTCTCCTTCAGGTATGACTACAGAGTCATCTCATTCTTCTTCTTCTTCTCCAACTCCGGTAAGGCAAAGAATTCGTCTAGGAGATCACGAGCGCCTCAACAGATGGCCACACCAGTGGCTCAGCGTCGTTAGGGCTGAACATGATCAGACAGCCTTCACATCACACAATATGGTTAGTTCTCTTACCTTATTCACTAACCAAGTAACCAGCTCCTTTTCTTCAAACTTGTTGCACTTGAGTTTTCATTCGCCACCCATGCAAGTTTTACCTTTTTTTTCTTGTCATCATCACTCTTGATTTTGATCACTCTTTTTCTTAGTTTTATTTGTTTTGTTGGGTGTGTGAGAAGATGTATTGCACTTGTGGGTCTATTTAAATATGGTTAAAACATAGAGATAAGGTGTAGTTTAGTTAAAAATAAATAACGCACGAAAATAAAATTTACAGTTTAAAAATATACTATTCTTTATTATTTTTTTTCAAAACAATAATACCGTTTTATAATCACGATGTAAAATGAAAATATCAAAATAGACAGTATTTAAATTTCATTTAAATGAAAGTGACGTAAATCCAAAAGTCAGATGTTTGTAGGATCGTATAGAAGTTATAATTTGCTATTTACTTCGCCTGAAAATTGCCAAAACAATGGTTATATTTAATCTGGTAACAAAACAATTCTGATGAAACGCATGAGTGAGATAATAGTACGTGATATCATTGTTCAAAAGAATCTTGAAATGGTGTAGTCAACATTTAGTTTCCAAATGTTTTGATGCACAAAGGGAAATGATAGGTCAATAAAATTATATGCATTACAGAACAATGAATTAAATCATAAATTCAGTGTATTGACTATGACCACAGATTTACATTATTCTTCCATATATTTGGAGAGAAGTTCTTTTCAAATATATGGAATTTTTTTTTTAAAACGAAAATGATTCAATTTATTTTCAGTCTGTTTTGAAGTTGATTAAGTTCCTTTTGATATTTGAAAGATAACTATTTGAACCATATTAATGTATATTTTCAATTTTTGGATTAATATTTTTATCTCGGTTTATATCAAATAGATTCAGATTTATATAGAGAAAATTCTATAAACAAATTTTAACTAAATTTTGATAAACTTTTAAATTTTAATATGATAATAATAATTATCCACCTGAAACTCAATGAAAAGTATTCAAACTAAAAAATTACTTCGCATTTAATATATATGATACGATAATAAATGTTCAGTACTATTCAAACAAATAGTATTCAACTTTACATCTTTACAGATCCTTGATTATCTCTTTGTTTCAACTCTGCTTAAATAAACCCCCAATTGCAATATTTTTCTTCACACAACCAACAAAAAAACTAAAACTCATAAAGAGAGAGGTCAAAATCTAAGAGTGTTCATGACAAGGAAAAAGATAAGACTTGCATGGGTGGAGAATGAAAACTCAAGAGCAGTAAGTTTGAAGAAAAGAAGGTTAGGCTTAGTGAAAAAGGTAAGAGAACTAACCATATTGTGTGATGTAAAGGCTTGTATGATCTTGTTCAGCCCAGATGAGGTCGAACCAATGGTGTGGCCATCTGTTGCGGCGGCCCGTGATCTCCTAGACGAATTTTCTGCCTTACCGGACGTCGTGAAGAAGAAGAAAGAGACTAGTCTCGAGTCATACCTCAAGGAGAAGACAAGGAAGATTCATGAGAAATTGAAGAAGAGTCACAAGAAGAACACGGAGTATGTGATTAATCAGCTGATGATGCAACTACGTCGTGGTCGGGAAATTGCTGATCTTGACTTGAGTGAGATCTATGGGTTGTTATCTTTCTCAAAGGATAAGATCATGCATTTTAGAAAGAGGCTAAATCTCGTGCAGCGTCCTCCTCTTCGCGAGCCACCGATGTATCCATTTGAGGCGCAATCCGAGGAGCTTAGGACTACCGCAAATGATATTTTCACCATAAGAGGCGGTCAATACAATGAGGGGGCTATGAACATTGATGAAGCAGCCAAAAGGATTAGCATTGGCACTGTAAGGGAGAATCAAAGTCATTATTTGATGGATCAATGGATTTTCCCATCTTCTGAACCGCCTATCCCTCAAGGCCACCAGCAAATCGGGATGGGAGTGGCATCTTACAACGCAAATCCAGTCACTACTAGATGTTATCTTGCGTACCAAGGAAGCAGTAGCATCAGAAACCCTAATTTGGAGATGGAGCCGATTGGTCCACCAGCGACGACCTTCCATGGTTTGGTTGGGTCAGTCTCACAACCATTACAGCTTAATCATAACATGAACAATAATCCAATCATGGCTATGAGTCAACCAAGGCAATACCCTTTTGATAGCATGAGCCGTCAGCTCGGAGTGAAAGAGGAAGGGAGCAACATTAACAATGGAGATTCACAATTTCACTGGAGTAGCAACACGATGACGACCAACGATGGTCTCCATCAAGAGCCACCACCACCGAATGAAGCAACCGCCGGCGAAGGCAATGTTGATGCGACGTCGTTTGATGTCAATAGGGTTTGGCCGGGAAATAACAGTCATCATTTCTAGAATTTTAGTTAGTGTTGTGTTCAAGTCTTGTTCGAATCTCTTGGAAGTGTGTTTGTTTACCTTTTATCTTGTCATTTTTATTTTTACAAATAGTCGTTGGTTATTTCGTTGAGTTAATTCAACCGAGTTCTCTTTGATAAAACTCAGAACCTTGTTATTTCTTAAAATAAATTATCATTTTTATTAATCTCTTTATATTTTAAAACAACCAGACTTTTAGTTTAGAAAAGCTTTGAATATTAAAACTTCGAAACGGTGATTTGGTTTGGCTAATTTGAAATCTTATATATATATACTAATAAAAGTTGAAGCTAAATGCATCTAAGAGTGTCCACGTAAGATTTAAGAAATCAATTTAATTGGTCCACATCAACATTCAAAAATAAGGAAAATTTACATATTTCAAAAATAAGGAAAATTTACATATTGTAATATTATTGCTGAAAAAAGAAAATAAGAAAGTGTCCACATAAGATTTAAAAAATCAATTTTATTGGTTCACATCAACATTCAAAATTAAGGAAAATTTACAAATTGTAATATTATTGCTGAAAAAAGAAATTAAGAAAGTTTATTGGTCCTATAATTTTTTTATTAGTCTACCTCAACATTGAGAATTGAAAATTTTCAAAATTCTATTATTGTTTTTAAAATAAAGAAATTATATATAAAATTCATAATTAATTTGAGCCAAAAAAGTAAACATAATTGATATCCAAACTTAGATTTATATGAAATCAAATACGAAAACCAACATGATGAAATTCCTCAAGTTATTAATTACAGAAACCAAAAAGATTTAATTGGGGAAAAATGTTCTTCCTAATAATAAAACACTAAAATAAATAATATTAAAATAGGAAATTTTTAATGTAAATTAGATATCTACACACATATATTTAGAGACTTTTACATTAGCATCCAATTTTTTGTCACATAATTATAATAATTTTTAAGTTTTTTTTCCTATGTGTGCAACCATGTAAAATAAACAAAAACAAAAGATAGAGTAAGGTTTCACTAAAAAATAGTCATTACAACGTAAAAGAACTAACTTGACTAAACTATATGTTTAACTATTAGCTAAATTACAAAGAATATAAAAAATATAAATAAAGCCACTACAAGAACAAACTTGACTAAACTATATGTTTAATTATTAGCTAAATTATAAAAAATATGAAAGGAGATTTAAACAAAGGCACTACAAGCCGCTTTTATATTGAAAAAAAAATCGCAAAATCTCCAAAGTTTGGCCACAAATTTGAGAAGAATGATAAATTTCAAGCAATCCAAGAAACATGTCAAGTGATTGATACTCGACATTTTTGAAAAACCAAGCACTAAAATAGAAAAAAGAACATAGCGGAGGAGACTGAAGTATCTGAGGAAAATTTTTGAAATGACATAACATCTGAATGGGTTTTAACAACCCAACATGAACCACAAAAGTAACAATTAGCTGAGCAAACAGCATCCGAATACATTCGGTAAGCCTTGAAACAAAGATGAGAGGCTAAAATCACTTGCCGCAACAAACCTCTTCTAAGATTTTCCAGTTTTGATTTCTAAATCTATTACTAATAAAAGTTAAAACTATATGTCTCTAAGAATGTCCATATATGATTTAAAAGTTTAATTCTATTAGTCCACATCAATATTTAAAATTTAGGAAATTTTTAAATTTTTAAATTATATTGTTAACAAAAAAATATATTTAAAGAAAAATAAAAGTTAAAGCTATATGCCTCTAAGGACATCCACATAAGATTTAAAAGGTCAATTTTATTATCCACATCAATAACTAAAATTAATTTTTTTCTAAATTATAAACATTATTGATACTAAATAATATAGGAAAAATTGTTAATTAAAATTATTCTATTATTAATGATAGCTAAAGCTATATTATTTTCAGAGCATCCACAACAGCATTTAAAATTTTATTTTTATTCGTATATATTAAAATTATAAATTAAAAAGTTTTATAATTCTATTATTATGATTAAAAAAACATATGAAAAAATAAAGAAATCTCTATTATAAAAAAAAAACAACATGATATTAAAATCTCCATTACCAATGTTTAAATCACAAATTTAATTTATTATCTATAAAAAAAGATATGCTACTTATACAAGTTTAAGTTACTTGATTTTAAAGGTTTTCATGTAGAATTTTAAATAACTAAAACTTATGATGTATATTCATCTAATTTTTTCACATATGCAAAACATATTATCAAAATATGTAATATTTTTTTCTCATGTAATATATTTTTGCAAAAATGATCAAAAAATTTACATTTTATATATCCAATTTGGAATTCAATATATTAATGTATGAGTTCTTAGTTTTGAGTTGTTTGATTTGTTTTATTTTTATAAATTTGTATGTAATAAATTGTACTGGTTTTGTCTACTTAATTACAATTAGAAGTTAGAATGAATATGATGAAACTAAATATACTCATACAAAAATTATTAAAATAAATAAATATAATAGATTCATTGAAAAAACAGACATAACAAGAATAAAAATGAAGAAGATGAAAAAACAATTTCATTCTCATTAGAAGAGATGACATATAATCACTGAAAACTTATTTAAAAATTTACACTACCAATTGACATAAATATATTTATTCACAAATTTTGTGTGATTTTATTCATTTCATATTCGATTATTGTTTTGGTATCAAATTTAAAATTATTATTAATCTCAAAGGAAATATTTTATTTATTAGTTTATTTTTTAAATTAATATATCAAAATAAAAATAATATTTGTTAAAAAAGAGAAGAAAAGATGAAATTTTAAATTTTATTTTTAAAGAACATATATATAATTAAAATAAAAGTGAAAATGATGGAAAAAAAATATCTTCTTAATTTAAAGAAGTGAATGTATAATATTTTATTATTATGTTAATACTATGTGTAAAAAGTAACATTTGATTAATTTGTAAAAATTTTAGTTGGTTTTGGTATATTAATTTATAAATGTTTGACCAAAACAAAACCGTTAAAACATCACAATTTACATAAAAATTATTAGATCAATACTATAATATTTTAATATATGATTAAAACATTATTATATATAATTTATATCTTAATAAATATAATTAATTGCATATAATTTTTATTAACAAAATAACCACGCGTATCGTGGGCGCAAAATCTAGTTTCATTTAAAGATTAGAAAAATCATAGTTCGCCAAAGTAATGTATTAACAAAAATAAGCAATTCCAAAATTGAGCTTATTGACTAAATAAACAAAATGGAGTATATCATTGTAGCATTAATGACAACGACCATAATTTTATTTATCCTCACATATATTCTTTTGGTTAATGACTTGATGGTCTTCTCTCGGGTATTTGGACATACATTCAATTTTTGACTTCAAAAAGCGCCAAAATAACTAATTAATAAAAATTAAATAACGCACCAAAATAATTGTTCAACAAAAGTAAAAGATCCACCAAATTTTTAAATTGACTAAATAACTAAAATAAATTACCCGCCAAATTTTGAAATTGACTAAATAGCAAATATACGTCAAATTTATTTTGGCACGTTATTTATTTTTCACACATCCAAAAGAACTTTAAATTTCATTCTATCTCTCTATTTCAACCTTTATAAATAAACCAGCAAGTCCAATATTTTTCCCCACTCCCAACAAAAGTAAAACTCAAAAAGAGAGTGAAACCAAATAAATAAAAAATTGATCATGCCAAGAAAAAAGATTAGACTTACATTGGTGGCGAATGAAAACAAAAGAGCAACAAGCTTGAGGAAAAGGAAGCTAGGGCTGGTGAAGAAGGTAAGAGAGCTAACCATACTGTGTGATGTAAAGGCTTGTCTGATCATCTTCAGCCCGAACGACGCTGAGCCAATGGTGTGGCCATCTGTTGAGGCGGCTCGTGATCTCCTAGACGATTATTTTGCCTTACCAGAATTCGAGAAGAAGCAGAACGAGACGACCCTTGAGTCATACCTAAAGGAGAAGACAAGGAAGGTTCATGAGCAACTGACGGAGATCAAGAAGAAGAACACGGAGCAAGTGATAGACCAGTTGATGGTGCAGCTAAGCAGTGGTCGTAGAATGGATGATCTTAACTTGAGTGAGATTTATCAATTGCTTTCTTTCTTAAAGGGTGCGATAATGAATTTTAGGAAGAGGCTCAGTTTCTTGCAGCAACCTCCTCTTTATGATCCACCCATGCATCCATTTGAGACGCAATCCGAGGAGCTAATTAGGACCAACGCGAATGATGTTTTCATGGTGGGAAGCGGTCAGGATTATGAGAGAGCTGAAAATACTGATGAAGGAGACAAAGTGCTTAGCATTGGTACTGTAAGGGAAAATCAAAGTTATTACTTGATGGATAAATGGGTTTGAGACTGAAAGAATGAAGAAATCAACTTTCAATTTATATAGATTTGATTTTATAAATTAAAAAAATATTATATAGATTTGAGACTGAAAGAATGAAGAAATCAACTTTCAATTTATATCTGACTATTTAGTTCATGAAAAAGTTACAAGCCAAGTAATAAAATACAGGATATATAGCATAAATCATGCGAGCAAGAGACCAAGAATTAAAACAAACAAAGCAGGCGAGAAATAATACAAAATTACAAAAGTAGCAACACGCAAAGGAGTAAGAAGCTCATCAGAAGAGGTTTTTGAATTGGCTGCTTAGAGAACCCTTTAGATTAGAGTAGAGGCCATAAAGTGAGTACTGCTTCAGATTTGCAACCTCATACCACGAATTCAACGCAGTGTAGTGCTTATCCGTGCCTGAAAACGCCAACTGGATCCCCAAGCTGCAATCTACTTGTCCTCCTCGGTTCTTGCAGTTTTGGGTTTTGATTGCGCATTCTTCTTTGTTGAGGCACACGAATTTCGCATCTCCAGAACATTTGGAGCATCCGTCTTTCTTCCAGAACAAGTTCTCAAGCCTGCCCTTCTGGAACTCAAGAACCCTGCAATTCAACCCAAGATATGAAGATAATACCACAAAAATAAAGATTACAGACGAGTAGAGAGATGTATATTGCAAAACTGCAAAAATGAAATTTAGATTGGTGTGAGAAGGGTTTATGAGCTTATCCAATTACAAGGGTGAAGCTTGTGACGATGTGATCGTTGTCTGCAACCATAATTGGAACTGATCTTGCTGCATATTTTGCACCAGCGAATGCTACCATATATCCCTTTGAAGAATCCTGGAATCAAAAAGTAACATGACCAGTATCATCATAAAAACCGGTAATTTGATAAAGCTAATACACACATTCAAGACCCCTACTTCTGAGCAAAAACGATGATTTAGTCATTTTCATATTATGTATGGCAATGAAGCTACTAGATCACTTTTGCCAGAGATATCTACACTGGAACTCTCATGACATCCCCTAATTCTTCAGAAAATGGGACTATGAATCTATGGAGTGAAAGGAATCTGACATGCCAAATCTCTGTTTTCAACCTCTGATCTCACTGAAACAACAAATGCAGAAAGGAACCAGACCTTCCAAGAAAACAATTTAGATCCAAAACCTTTGTTACAGTCGGGAAAATGGATTCTACCATGAAAGAGATGTCGACCGATAACTTAGCAGCCAGATAACTACGGAAAACTTAAAAACAGAGCAAAGTTACCAACTTTCTAAGCCGAGATTTTGACAAGTCAACAAACTACACTAATCTGGGAAGATAATTCCGATCGAATCGAAGATCTATATGAAATTTAACTAGGATGGACCTTATCCTTTCTATGATCAAAAACCCTGCAATCGAAACCCTAATTCCCAAAGATGGATCAGAGATGAGAACAAACCGGTCGGAAACTGGAGGAGCTGGAGGAGGTATTGATGGTAAGGAGGGTGATCTCATCGACTTTAGGTCTGAATACGGCGAGCTCAGAGTTGCCGTTGAGCGAGAGGCGGCGACGATCGCAGGGAGAGTACTGAACGCGAACGGAACGATTGGTGCCAAAGAAAGAATCTCTTGCCGCGAAGGCAATGCCGAAAGTGAATCCATCGCCGATCGCGACAGTAGAATCTGAACAGGGAGAGTAAACTCGATTGTCGTCGCCGGCCTCCGTCAAGGATGACGTCAGCGCCACCGCGAAGAGGAAACAAATGAGGAGGAATCTAGCCATCTGTCAAAAGTCAAAAATACAAAAGCTCTTCTGAACTTCTCCCTCCGATTCATTAGGATGTGTCTCAAATAAGCCTTTTAAGCTATGGGCCTAACCTCATAAGGCCCATAGCAAAATTTTGTTAATATTTTCTTCATTTTTTTGACATGTTTATACAGTACATTGAAAAAGCTACATTTTTTAGGTGTCAATGCGGGTCATTTTCAACAATAATTAACATAGATATCATAATACCGAGTCTGAAGCTTGATGATTCTCTAGAACTAATTTATTTTTACGAACTAAATATCTTGGTTTTAGATTGGATTTCGTGTTGGAAAATAGAAGGTTCGTTGAACTAGGAAATTTTTATTTCCCCAAGAAAAATAATTGTCAATTGTGTGCTGTATTATTAAATAGCGTCAAATCTGAGCTGGCAAATCCAACTATGTTTTGGTGCCAATTGCTAACTACAAATTGAATTGTAAATAAATAAATAAATAAAAAACCCCACCTAACAGTTTGTTCACTGCTAATCCTATGTGCTTAATCACAACATTATAGATCTACGATGAAATCTAAGCCGTCTATTTTCAGGAATCAGGGACTTGACTAAATGGACGGCTAATATATCTCCGACATTCCTTGTGAAATGAGAATCCCGATTCCGTATCCCTGTTCTGTCTCTTGCTTGTTTAGTCTCCTCTTCCTCAATCATCATCTAAAACTCAAAAAATCTCTTCTTTTTGCGGCTTTTGCTCCGAGAATCAACCAATCATGTCCAAATTTTCGAGATTTTCTATCGCTCTCTCTTATTTTCTCTTCGTCTCAACGATTACTGGAGCCACTGATGTCAAGTACTGCGGTATGTGTGGTCCTTACGGATGCTCCTAAAAGAGTTACCTGGGTTCTTTGTTGATTCGTGATTGCCAATTGTTTCTTAGTGTTTTGATCGAGTTCGCTATATTGTTTTCGATAGAATTGAGATCGTTCTATTGCCGCTTTTTTCGAAGGATCCAGTTACTGCGTTGAAATTCGATTTCCTTAAGATGGTTTTCATTTTTGACTCCTAATTGAGTTGAAATTCGATTTTATCGAGATGGTTTTGACTTTGATCCTTGTTGCGTTGAAATTACTGGAAAAAAAAACCTGGAATCTTGATCTGGTTATGTGTTTGGTTGCAGATAATAACGCAGAGTATGAAGTAAAGGTCCAAGGGGTTGATATATCGCCATATCCTATAGCTAGAGGCGAGCCAGCCACTTTCAGCATCTCTGCTAACACAGGTATGCTTGATTTCTTGTTGTAACATTTTGTTGAAGATTTGGGATTTCACATTCATAATCTATGACACACATACATTTGCTTGCTCCATCCTTCTGGTGTGTTAGAAGTTGTTATCAATGTTCCAACTTGTTTGTGTTCTCAGAATGATCTTTTTTGTTTACGCTTGTTCTTACTTCTAGTTGTTCTTAAGAAAGTGGAACGATTTAAATGGAGTTACTTTGTTATGATGAATTTTGTTTTCTTTCTAATTTGGGTTTGCTTTGTTTATATGAAGACACGGTGATCTCAAGCGGAAAGTTGGTGATCGAAGTTTCATACTTTGGATGGCATATTCATTCTGAGACACATGAGCTTTGTGATGAGACTAAATGTCCCGTGGCGATTGGAGATTTCTTGGTTGCGCACTCTCAAGTTCTACCTGGATATACTCCTCCTGTAAGTTCATTGATTTTCTTAGTCGTCGATACTTCTTTTTCATTGATTAGTTCGAAGCATTTTGGATTTATTGACATGCTGATGCATTAGGCTCATATTGAATTTGATGTTTTCCGCTAGCATTCAGAACATATGGCCCAGTCTAATCGAATCTGTTTAGTCGACTAAGTAAAGTAGAGTGAGAGAAAGGTTTAGCTTTTGTATATGATAGCCGATAATGCGTACATGTGGATAAATGGATGGAGTGAAGAAGTTGAACCTTGTATTTGTCAAGATTGCTTAATATGATCATCAGTTATATACTGTACATTTTGTTTTACCAACTGCTTTTGAGGACCAGTCTAATCCTTTTATTTCTCATAGGGTTCATACTCACTTAAAATGAAGATGCTTGATGGGCACAAGAAGCAGTTAACATGCATCAAATTCTCATTTGAGATTGGCTTTGGATCATCCGTGGCCGATATTTAGAGAGATTTGCTGCTCCCTGGAATATACCATGGAATAACTCCATTTGCTTTGTATAAAAAAAAACAACACCCTTTTCTTTTTTTACCAAAATTGTTGATCAAAAACCATTCGAAAATTCTCATTCTTGTTCTCATGTTGGACTATTTATGAAAAAAAAAAAACAAATTTAGATAAGTCACTGGCATCGTTAGAAAATCATTAATGACTCTAACTAGAAAAGATTAGCTTTTCATACCTTCATTATAGCAGAAATATGTTAAGTCTCATGCTTTGTTTTTGGACAAATTTGGACTGAAGTTGGGTAAATTAAAGTTCCATTTTTCTTTGTCTCTCTAATTGTGGTACATTATAAGACAATGACCCATCAGTAGAAAAGCCCTTCGAAAGCTAACCCACAAAGTAGCTTTTGTTTTTTGTTCACTTACCCACTAAGAGCATGTCCATTAAACAATTCGTCTTTAGAGTTTTTAAGAATATTAAATTAATTAATGAACAGTGGTCGATAATTTATTAAATTGATAGAGAGAAAATGAGTTTCATTTCTTTTATGTATTATATTGATGAAGAGAAAAAATGGTGGACAATTTATGGTCCATATTTGGAGAAAGAACCAATCTCAATTGTTTTTTAATCGAATACCAATAAGCACTTTACACCTGTTTGAACAAACTTTGTATGGATTGCTCCTTAAAATCCTTCTCCAAAGATCGTTTGTTATGTATTTGGCATTTTTTATTTATTTTTTATCCAATAATTGCTAACAAACCCAATACTAAACCTTTTAAAAAACTCTAATGGACCTGGTCTACGTAGCTAAATGCTACCAAAATCCAGTCTCATCTTTTGCCATTCTTGATAAGGTTTTTTACCCTTCCTTTTCGCAGTGTGTGACTCACGTGGGGGTCTAGACACGTGTCATTCGCTGGCCAGGCTTTTATTTTAACTCGCGCAGTACCATCCTCTCTCTCTTCCGACGGAACTCAGAAACAGTTTTGTCTCTCCGTTGACTACATCATCGCCCTTCTCCCAGCGAAATCTCAAGGTTTGTTTACCTCTTTGTTCTGTTTTTGTTTTGTGTTCGGATTTAAGTTATTTTGTTTTCTCTTCTGCATATGAAAAGATCTTATTGGTTGACTATGATATTGTTTATGCTCCAAGCTAATGGATCTGTGATGTTTTGTCAATGAATGTGTAAATTTTGTTAGACGACATGGCCAAGTTTGATGGGCCAGGGTTTACGATGGTTGATGGTTCATGGGTCCAGACCAAAGCCATTGATGTTGGATCATCAACCGATATCTCACCTTACCTTTCCCTTATCTTAGAAGATTCTGTCTGGAATGGGAACCGATCCATTATCTTCGATGTCTATTGGGATGTTGAATCTGTGGACACAAAGTCTGAATGGCGTCTATGCTCAGTGAAGCTAAGTACCAAGAACTTATGTCTCTTCCTTCGCCTTCCAAACCCGTTCCATGACAATCTCAAGGATCTTTACCGCTTCTTTGCTTCCAAATTCGTCACCTTCGTTGGTGTCCAGATTCAACAAGACCTCGTTTTGCTCAAAAAGAATCATGGTATAGTGATCAGAAGCTCCTTGGAGATTGGGAAACTAGCGGCTATAGCTCGAGGAACTCCGATAGTTGAGTTCCTTGGAACCAGAGAATTAGCTCATAAGATTCTTTGGTATGATATGAGCCGGCTTGATTCGATTCAGTCCAAGTGGGATGAGGCAGGAGCTAACGATCGTCTTGAAGCTGCGGCTATTGAAGGTTGGCTTATTTTCAATGTCTACGATCAATTGCAGCAGTGATTTTTTTTTTGTCTTTGATCAAATGGCTTTGTGAGATTGATTGATCGGTCCCATTTGTGCATTTTTTTATCTGTTTGTTGTTGCAATGAGTGAAGAATAATAATGTCTGAAATTCTGAATAAACCATGACAGGAAGTGTTTTTGTTTCTTTCTCAAAAGATTTGATATTTTTGGCACAATGCCATTACAAAACTGGTTATTAAACCAAATCGAAAGTCTTAAAATCGAATACGACCAAAAAAAAATGAACAGGGAAAACGAATGGCAAACTCCAAGTCAGACTAATAATTAGCTAATTAGGAAAAAAAAAAAAGAGATAGATATAAACCAGCAAAGATGGAAAATTAGATACAAACTGATTAAACATAGCTAAAACTTTAAAAGAGTTAACTCTTCTAAATCACATTCACAAGCTAGCTGAAGCTACACAGAGAGTTACAAAACTTACAAGAACCTCAAACAAAACGTTAGCTTCTCTCTGCCTAACTCTTCAGACCGCAATTTCTGCGTCTGTAGTCATCTTTGTGTAATGAAACTCAATCTGTAAACGGTGATGAACAGGCGCGGTCGAGGCTAATCCTTTCTTGATATCCTCTTGCAATTCTCTGATCGGTATTGCGGCCAAGAAACTCTTAATATACTCTTTACATGACTCCTTCCCTCTACACACAATCTCTGATTTTGAGTCCTCCGGTTCTGATCCCTCTGTTTGAAGATTCTTGTGGATGATGGTTTTATCGTCGAATTTCAAAATGTAAGCTTGATCACAACCCTCGTAAAGCCTTTCTCCAAGTGTGTCAATGATATAGTAAGCTTCCTTTTCAACTTTCAGGACAAAGAAGTGATCATTCCAACTCACAATATAAACGCATGGCGGCGAGTTATCATCATCATCATCATCATCATCATCATCATCATCATTCTCGCCATTCGCCGAGCTTTCCTCAAGACTAATAATCTCATCCCAGATACTATCAAATGACATTGCGCCTTGCAGAAACTCGAATCTTCCCTCGTTGATCATCCCGTCAGGATGGAAAAACCCGATAAAGGATTTCTCAGGGACGACAGTTAAAGGCCGGATCTTTGCTTGTAACACGGTGTCGAGATCGAAATGCTTGTCGGGGAATTTCTGCATGTATGTTTCGTTTCCGCAGAGGTTTCTCCACTCCAAAGAACCTTCTCTGATCAAACTATCGAACTGAGACTTGATCGGCATGAGATCACCGTTCTTCTGAAACCAATCCGCAACAACCGCTACAAGAGCTGTGCAGGCACTCTCACCCGCTGCTCGCTCGCTTCTCTGATCGATGGAAGCAAGAAAGACATTTGTCTGAAGCTTCATGTGTCCGTCTCGGCTTGTCACTTCTTTTTCCTCCCAACTTCCAATCGCAAAACTGTCTTCTCCAAACTCCGAGAAAGAAGTTCTCGGATTAGCAGTTGAATCTTCATCTCCTTTGCTCCTCTGCAAATAAAAATATGCAAAAAAGAAAACTTGAAACACCGAAATGTCAAGATTTGAACCCTGTACCAAAAGGTCTTAACATCACTAATAAGAACTTACACCAAAAGGAAAATGAGCTTCATCTGAGCTAAGTTGCCTCCGATCATAATCAATGTCATCTCCACCTTCTTCTCCATTATCCTTCTTTAACAAAGGCTCTCCTTTGGATTTAGGCGACCTAAAGCTCAGTTTCCGCTTTCTCCACGGCAAAATGCTACGCCGTGGAAGAAGTGATGTCTCGTATACCAAACCAGCAGCGGAATCTTCGGCGTCTGAGCAACCTCCTCCTACGTCCGATTTCCTGTGGCTATAATAAATCCAATCTTCATCTTCTTCAGTGATTTTTGTGCCACAGTTCAACGAACTTCCCACACCATTTGCATAAGACAAAGGTCCATAGGAGAAAGATTTTCTCATACTCATCAAATCTTCTTTGCCTTCATCAAAATCTTCCTCGAAATCGTCGAGCGATTCTGATGATTCAAAGCTTGAGAACCTGCCTTCTTCCTCTCGGCAAGCCTTCTTGGCTTTCCTCGTAGAAACAAACTCTGTGAAAATCTTGACTTTCCTGAGACCAGCTTTAATTGCAGAGACATCATCCTTCTCAGTTGGGTGAGTTTCAATAGGCTGTTGTGGAGATGGAGTCGGGACAGGCACAACAGCGGTTTGTGCCACAGTGTCCGAGGTTTCTGGAGTGGTTCTAAGCTCAAGCAGGCTCAATGACACCTAAAGAAGAGGGGCATTCCAAAGATCAAACAACCAATATGGAGCCAACAAAGTAGAGAAGTAACGAAGAGAAAATGGCCATACAAAGAGTAATGGATGTGGCTCGGAGGTAGCACAAGCAGAGAGCGTGAGAGGAATGTTTAGTTCGAATTCTTTTTGATCGGTCACACGCGCATATTCAGCAAGATTCAAAAATGCTGTTCCAACAAGAGGAGATTTAGTCTTCTGCCCTTGCTTCATTCCCTGGAATCAAAATCAAAATCATAATCAATCAATTAGAACCAACATACAGAACAAAGAATCTATAACAATTTGAATGTAACAGCAGAGAATCTCAACCTCAACAATAACCGGAACCAAGAATCTCATTTTAATAAAACAGAGAACAATGTTGAGACAATAATGGGGAAAAAAGTCTCTTGCTTTGATCATCCAGCTAGGGTACCATAGGGTCTTGTAGAATCTAAAGCCTAGTTAAGCATTTCCCAAGTTCAACATACGAATCTAGCTAGACCCTGGTGATTTCAAATCTTATCTACTAAAGAATAACCGACCAATTAAATTTCTTTTTAATGCTTACATTGGTGAAGACAGAGAAAGCAATCTCCCAAGGATAAAACAAAGTGTCTTCCTTGTAACAAGTGAGAGAGCATAAGCTCTGAAACTCTTCGTCTTCCCATGAAACGACGTCGCTTTCTCCCACAGCTTCCTTAGTGAAGTTCCTCTTCACCGTCCTTCTCAGAGATCCCAATGTCGCCTTAGGTCCTTTCCAGCGAATCTCGACCGTCAATCTCTCGTTCTCCGGTGCACTCTCCCGCACCAGATCCCAACCCTCCAGCCTCCTCACCGATAGCTTCACCTCGTATTTCCTCGTTACTAGCGGCGGCCATGGCCGCCACTTCATCATCTTCACCACCATTTCTTTTTATCTCTTTTCTTTTTCACGCAAATTGAAATTTGGAGTCTTCAAGAACAAATTAAACAAAAAAAAAAAGACGAAGAGACGTAAGAAAAACTCGTTCTTTCTAGTAGTTGGGAAATTTGGGGAAGCCTAGAATCTAGAAAACAAGGGTTCCTTGTTTAGCTTCAATCTATTTTACTTGTTAATTAGATCAATGCCCAGAAATAGAAAGCAAAAATTAGACCCAGAAATCTTTTTAGGATGGGGTTCTTGGGAAAGTTAGCTTGAGAGAGATCAAAAAGGTATAAACAAGAGGAAAATTAGAAGCTAAAATTAACTTGAAATTAGCTTCTCTGCTAAAGATGCAAAAAAGTATAGTGGGAGGAGAGAAGAAAAACGATAGAGAAAGAGAGAGAGAGAAAGTGGGCACACACACAACACAGCACAAGCGTGTAGACAGAGAGAGACAACGAAGAAAGTAAAAAGAAAGATCCGAACTTCACAGATCTGTCCCTCTCTCTCTCTAACGATAGGAGCAGTACTAGCTGATAAAACAACAAACCGGTGTTAAATGTGTGAATTAGTTAACCGTGGTTAAGTCATGCTTCTAAAACGGTAGCGTATTAACCGGGTTTAGAATTTTTTGATATCGATCATATCCCAACGTCACGGGGGGAAGCAACTACTTAACGGCGTCAATAAATTCCGTTTTGTCTTTAGCTCTATCTTCTTCTTTTTTTGGGAGTTAAATCCTTTCAATTTGTTCAAAATAAATTAGTTAAAGACTTCAGTTTTGGCTTCATGTGTTGAGAATTTGTAGACCATGTGTTTTCATCCCATGATACTTTGAATTTAAAAGTACTAATTTTGGTTGCACTCGTCTATTATTATTATCTCTCCCAAAATTATCGCCATTCGCCATTCTATTAATACAAAAAGTATTATTAAACTATAAAAGCTGGTATGAGAATTTGAAATCCTGGTATAATATAACTTATTCTGAAGCCCAAAATACTATGGTTGACAATAATGAAAAACACAATTGTACGTTGAACGCATTGATTACTCCATTTCCTCGATTCGATTGTTTGTTTCTTCATATTTTGGCTTTGATTGGTGGTCTTTCTCTTAAAAAATATACAATATTGGATATATATTACCATATATCTACTGGCTATTCAAAAAAAAAAAATCATATACCTACTAAATATATGATATAAGCATGTGGAGAGCGAGAGGATGAAATCCTCATGTGTCTTCGCTGCCTCTTTGGCTCTTGAGTCTGGGGTTTCACATTTTCTTCTGTTTAAGCCAAACAAAACTTTTCACACTTCAATGCATCAGCTGCTACAGGATGCTTCGCAAATACTATATATAGCTGCATGCAGGTATTTTTCATATAATTCTATAGCGACATAGAAGTTGAGTAGTTTTCATTTTAAAAATTTTAAATGATTAATTTATGCGACAACGTTTGACAATGTGGTTCATGCCAACTGTGTGTGGTGGTCACTAGTCATACCTATGCTTCACACTAAAGGAACAGACGGTATCTAATGCATTATGCATGGTCATCCTTTTTTATCACATAATAATTTACCCCAACCACTTTCTATTTCAGGTATTTTATAAAAGTAAGAATTTGATTTTCTTTTTCTTTAGCACTTAGCCTAGTTATTATGGCTACAAATTTTGAACTAGTTAGTCAATTTATGCATTGTGGTGACAAGAAAGTAAGGGTGATTTTTTTTGGGTTATTGGTTTTGGTTTAAAGTTTGATTCGGTTTTTTGGTTTGTTCGTTTTTGAAAATGTACGTCACAGAAGAAGCATAGATAAACCAATACTCCCGAACTATACTATTAAAAAGGTAAGATCAGGTCGATTTTAATCGATAGTAAATACATGAGTGTCATGATTGTTTTTGTTTTCTTTGGGGGTCGAAATGTTAAGATGTCATGATTCTTTATGATCAATTAGTTATAAATTTCTCATACCAAAATTTGTTTTGCGGTTTTTGCATTTAAGGAACAATCAAATCATTTGATTTCTCAAAGTTATACAGAGTTATAACCAGCACGATGGATTCGAGAGTTATATAACCAGCACGATGGATTCGAGAGTTTCGCTCTTTCCAAAAGACTAAGTGGTAATTTAGAAAGTGATAGACGAAGAAGAATAAAGAAAGATATGAAGAAGAGAAATATAAGAAACTAGCAATGAAAGATATGAAGAGGAAAACTATAAGAAACTAGCAATGAAGGATATGAAGAAGAGAACTGTAAGGAACTTAAGCTATATAACATCTGTTCGGACCTTGAAGCAGGCGATAGCTCTCCATAAAAGCAATATTGATCACATAGCAAAGAGTTTCTTACGCCAACAACACTTGAGGACTCTGATGACCAAGAACTTCTACAGAGTATTGAGGAGCTTTTTGTCGGAGTTTGAAGAGAAAACATATACCTGGAGTGGAAGATTTTGCTGTCTCACACACGACGGGTATTGGAGGAATGAGAAAGACTTTCGAAGATTGCGCTGAAAAGTAAGACTCTTGTTAGAGAATCACAAGATTTCGTTCCGAGAAAGATAGGTTCTGATGGATTGTGAGTTTAAAAAAGGAGATGTGGAGGTTACTTGAGGAGAAAGTTACACCTCATAGGCTCTTCATCAAGTGTAAGCAGTAGGTACATTGGTGGAGCAGACGAAGTAGTGGCTTTGAACGAGAATGGCAAGCTCAAGAAGCTTTTTTGGAATTCCTTGAGCTGAATCTCTATCACAGAGCTTTTGCTTGAGCTTTGTGTTTCTGTGGGGAAGCTTGTTCTTTGCTAATAACAATGAAGACAAAGCGAGCCCAAAGATGTAAGAGCTTACTAAATTCGTATATGAGGAAGAAAAAGAAGTCGGCCTTAAGATTGCAAACCCCAACGAATAAATCGACATTACTCCTTCCTCACACTCTCATCTGTATCTTTCTTGTTGGATAAAATCGTTCCTGTAGCCAAATCATTTTTTGCATGTGTCTTTTAGAGACTCACCTAAGAGCGTCTTAATCAAAAATAAAAAGTTCTGTGTTTTGCGGAACAAAAACTGGAAAATACAAGTATATTTTGTGTAGTTAACACAAGTATATTTTGCTTTTATCTGTGTAATGACTAATTAATCATATTAGCACAATTTAATTGGTTTGCATTTTCTTATTAAATAATCTAATTAATTGCTGATTAAAAATATATTAATTTTTAGTGAATATATATCTTTGAACTTTTAATGGACTAAAGTAATTTTTAAAATTTAATCTAAGGAAATTTATGATTGTTTGCATCACTATAATATTCATTGATAGTGGATAATGATAAATGCTATTCATTAATTCATAATTTAATAATTATGGAAATAGTTAAGGCACAAAAGACAAGAAAATATTAGATGGACCAATAAGAATTAAGAAGAAACGGTAAACCTCCTTATAATTGTTAATTTGGTGAATAGCATAAATGTTTCTTGGGATTTGGGCCTATAATATATGACACACCTCCATAGCCTCTGCTTTTCATTTTCCTTATTTAAACTGATTTACTCCGATCTCTCACCTCCACATCTCCCATCTAATCTAAAATCTATTGCCGAGAACGGAGAGATGTTCAGCTCACTTGAAACGACGGCTCCGGCGACGTTGTCACCGCGAGGTATGTCCAAATTTCCTATTGAGATATCATCTCGGTAGCAAAAAATTTGATAGATATGAATCAATCGGGTGATGAAGATCGAGAGATGTGTATGATCTGACATTTCTTTCTTCTTCAATTAATTTTAAAATTAGTTTCTCTTCGCATGATCCACTGTTCAGACAGCACCAGTGATCGTTTCTTCCTTAGTTAATCGTTAATTCGTTATTGATTGGTTGCTGGTAATTTTCTTTGTTGGCTGATATAAAATATTTGGAAGAGAAACGGAAAGAAACGGCTTACTCTATAAAATTGATGACATCAAAAGTTTAAGCGTAGTTGATGTTTAATTGCTAGGTTTATCTCAAACTTGTCGAATGGGGCACTTGACGCGGGGATCTTTTGAGTTTATTACAGCTAATGTTAATGCTTACATCCTTAAATTACCGTGTTTAAAAAATAAGTAATCATAGATAATCCTGCTGCTAAGGTTCCCGATTTCTAATCACTTCTACTTTTGCATTCTTCTACAAGTTTTTGCAAGCTTGTGTGTATAAACTGTGACAAGACTATTGCTTTTGTAAAGGTTGTGGATCCAAAACATATATGTATTTTTGCTTTTTCTTTTGTTCTTAGTTAGCCCTGAGCTTATATGCAGTTTTACTGTATAGTTCGTGGAACAGAATCATCGGAGAAAGGAATGTCAATGACCGGGGACAAACTGATACTGAAAGGATTAAAGTTTTACGGTCACCATGGAGCTATAACTGAAGAGAAGACTTTGGGGCAGATGTTTCTTCTTGACATTGATGCGTGGATGAGTCTTAAAAAGGCTGGTGAATCAGACAACTTAGAAGATACTATCAGCTATGTTGACATTTACAGGTCAATTAGCTCTTACCGATATCTATGACGACTAGGGATAGACAAAACATCATGAATCCGAACTATCAATGTCTTTTAAATCCCATGTAGTTGATTCATTGGTGTGAGAATGATATTGTTTGCAGCCTAGCTAAGGAAATTGTTGAAGGGTCACCAAGAAACCTTCTGGAGGCAGTCGCGGAACATATCGCGTCCACAACGCTTGAAACGTTTCCTCAGATAACCGCTGTTCGAGTGAAGCTATCGAAGCCAAATGTTGCACTTATTAAGAGCACTATCGATTACTTGGGAGTCGAGATTTTCAGACAGCGAAAGCACTAATTTAATGAAACTGAATAAACCTGACAACTTTTTGTCAATAATCCTTGGTCGAGACAACGAGAGTTGTATCCATGGAATTATCATTTTTCTATAATCATAATTATCTCGAAACAAAAAATCATCATATATTTATTCATATCCAAGCAAAACCTTAAAACATTTTGGTCAAAAAAAATCCTTAAAACATGTCAAGTCTTTACAGAATTCCTATTTCCTTTCATTTTTTTATTTATTATTTTGCTCTTTCATAGAGTAGATATCGAGAATTATTCATAAACAAAAGTTGGTCTAGTCTTCAGAATCTTCTCGGTTAATGTCATCGAGAATAACAATGAGAGAGACTATAAAAGCAAAATCAACATTCGGATAAACCGTAACCGAGAAATTACTCTTCCCTATTAATATGCTCTGAGCGGTATGTTTCTTGTGCATCTGAAAATTCCAAAAAACAACAACAACAAAATATTAATTAACACGATCATACTAGTTAGTTCCGGTTTAGAGTTTACATACCATTGGTCCGGACATTGAAAAAAAAAGTTGAATACCTGAGCAACAATGACGTCAGATTTTCCGGCGTAGACAACACAGGACCGATCGATCCAACTTCCTTTGACATGGAAGTCGCATTCCTTCATTTCCTTATTATGAGCCAAAAACACGTCTAGTTTTGGCTTCATCAATTGAATCATCGACGATCGTTTCAATGTGTATACCAGATCGCTTTGGTCTGTACTCTTTCCTCTAAATACTTGCCACCTATCGTGCAAGCTCACCCTCTACAATTTGTTTTTAATATCATAAAAAAATGTTAGATTATGGGTCTTAAACTATAACAATAATTACGGCGAAAGTTTAACGGATGATCAATGACGATGTTAGTTATAAACACATGCAGAAGATGATTGTGTTCTTACGTACATTTTCTCTCAACGTCAAGATTGGAGTATCAGAGGCGTCCAATAAGATCCTTTTGTCGCTAAGGCTGAACAAAGGTTCTTTGACTTTGAAAAGGAGATTTCCGTTGACGTCTGTGACAGCGAAGTTACCATCTGTTATCGTTATCACCTTTCTTACGATTCCCAATTCTATCGGGTACGGTGCGCAAAAATGAGGGCTCACGATCGCCTTTTTTTTTCTTTTCGTTAACCTCTCTTTCTCTCTCTCTCTTTTCTTCTGATTCTTCTATATAAGCTTGAGATTGTGTTCGTTTCTTCGTCATGTAAGGTTTTTTTTTATATAGATAGGATATTCCGCGTAATTAACGTGTGATGATAATGAAAAAAAGATCTACGTGTTTTCAAATTTCAATTTTGGTTAATTGTCTATCTTTGTTTTTGCCAAATTTGCCAGTGTTAATTAAAAATAAAAAGAAAGAAAAGAAATTGTTATGATCGAAAGCAGTAAATGATAAATTAGGGACTGAGATATTTTTAATGTGAAAGTAAACATAAAATATGAATGCAAATATGTGTGGATTAAAGACTAATTAATTAACATAGATTAGAGCTGTATGGCAATGTAATGATCTCTCTTTTTTTTTTCACCAAATTTTATCCTCATCATCTGATATTTTCTCTCTGGAACCTTCTTCTTGATCCACTTTATTTGTATTGCATGTCACATTTGTTTTCTGAATTTTGAACCACAAACTACAATTAAGATAAATGTTTAGTAAAATAGAATCTCACCAATCCAGACTTGGATTTAGATCTATTGGTATAATGTTTCATAATAAGCCAATCAACTTTTGTACTATATGTGTACGTGTTTTCAGCCACTTGTTCACAATGCAACTGATATGTATAACATCGGGTTGAAGTTTATACTCCACAATCACTTTCCTGACGACACCATAGGCTTGTCTCATAGTTGAATATATATGGAAGTGAGCATAGAGAACTACACCATAGGCTTGTCCCATAGTTGAATATATATGGAAGTGAGCATAGAGAAGTGCTCGGAATATGAATAGTTTGAGCATAATATCAGTCTTCTCCAGCTCTGCCAAAATGCCCATAATTATCTTGGGATAATGCTCAGCTGAAGAAGGCTATTTCATACTCCAAGACCTGGATCCGGATCGATATATAGACCTGAATCCCAAATTATCTCAAATAGTTCTGTCTCATTCCATTTTATAATTAAAGTCCGGCATATTATTTAATAAAAACCCAATTAAGAAGACAATTCTCGACCACATACTGTAGTATATGTAAGGAAATTAGTGAGAGAAGGTCAAAAGCTTCTTTATTTTCTCGTGACTAATATACTAAGTTACAACTACAAGAAAAAGAATTAAAGTAATATTTAAAAATTTAAAATAAAATTAAAATATAAAAAAAAAAAATCCATTTGAAGTCGTGGGCTTCAATGTTCATGGCACTTAATTGACACGCCTAAACCAAAGCTTTTCTTTACCCCAAAGAGAAAAGAGAGAAAGCGTTTTCTTAGAGAAAATTTTCCACACATCGTCATCGAATCAAATCGAAAGCGCACTATAGCTTTGAGAAATCATGAGCAACGAGTAGTAAGTGTTTTCTTCTTGCGCATTGTATTCCTTCCGATTTCACTTTCTGTTTATTGGGCTTTTTTTCTGTTTTTTAGCGATTATCTGTTCAAGCTTTTGTTGATCGGTGACTCGTCTGTTGGAAAATCGTGCCTGCTTCTTCGATTCGCTGTGAGTTTGACTTGTTTTGATTCTTAATTGATTCGAGTTTTTAATTGAAACGTTTCGTGTTGAACATGAAATTTTGGATTTGTTTGATTTACAGGATGATGCTTACATTGACAGTTACATCAGTACCATTGGTGTTGACTTCGTGAGTTCCCTTATCATTATGTTCTTATATGCATACATAACCTTAGATGAGCATACATTTCTCCGTCTGTATGTGTACTGAGCACATGTATTCATACTAAATGGTTTTATATGTGATTTGGTTGATTGTTCATCACAAGTTGCTTATCATTGTTGGCTCAAATGGCAGAAAATTAGGACGATTGAGCTGGACGGGAAGACGATTAAGCTGCAGATCGTGAGTTTAAATCTCCCGATGAGTGCATTTTATAACATGTTTTCGAATAATTATGTGTTGAATCATTCGCTGTTTCTGCTCTCTTTAGTGGGATACTGCTGGGCAGGAGCGTTTCAGGACCATCACTAGCAGCTACTACAGAGGAGCTCATGGAATCATCGTGAGAAATCTTTCTTAATATCTGTGTGGATTTTGTCATATTGCTCGGCTCTGTGTAATGGAAACATGTTTGTTAGTGGAAAGAAGAGTCCTGAGTTTTTTAATCTTAAATGTTCGAACCCAGTTTTTTTGCTGATGGGGCTTAATGATGATATTGCAACAGATTGTGTATGACTGTACTGAGATGGAAAGCTTCAACAACGTGAAGCAGTGGTTGAGTGAGATCGATAGATATGCTAATGAAAGTGTATGCAAGCTTCTTATCGGTAACAAAAATGATATGGTTGAAAGTAAAGTTGTTTCCACCGAAACTGGAAAGGTAAGCTCGCATCCACAATTGAACTTCCTCTCGCATTCTTTTTGCTCACAGTAATGATTGTGCTTCTTTCCTATGTGCATCTAGATGAATTGCAAACATTGTAATTTTACCTTTTCTTCCTTTGATCATAACATGGTAGCACTAATCTTTGACCTTGTGATGATACTACGACCATTGAGATTGTTATACCACAACTTAAGGCTATGAATGTATACGATCATTGACCAAAGTCCAATAGTTAGATGATCATTAAAAATTTGCTTGTTTTCAGTACCTTTTTTTTCTCATCAGACAGCCGTGGCTTTCTTATCTTACTTTGTATATATATATAAAAAAAAAACACTTTCAGGCCTTAGCAGATGAGCTTGGAATTCCCTTTCTTGAGACCAGTGCTAAGGATTCTATCAACGTCGAACAGGCATTCTTAACTATTGCTGGCGAGATCAAGAAGAAGTATGTTCACCATCTTTTATCTTTCGTCATATTTTCTGCAATATTTTTCTCTATAGTCCCTAGTGATATAGTGAAGCTGTTCTAAACTATTCTCCGTTATTCTTTGGGTTTTTTCTGCTATGATTCATGAAACGAACCACTCAAGTAAAGTTTTTAAATCTGAAATGCGTTTTTTGGAGGCTTGATGCCTAATGGAAAGAAAACTTACCGCTGTATCAATCTCTTGCAGCCTCCTCGTCAAGCTTATGTACTTGGAGTTTCTGTTATTGTATCGTATGATAGTTGTTTGATCTCATTGTATCTACATACTAGTTCGGTTTCGTTTTATTGAGTCTGATTGATCGTATTATTAACACTTGTAATTTTGGTAGAATGGGGAGTCAGCCGAATGCAAACAAGGCATCTGGAAGTGGAACTGTCCAAATGAAAGGCCAGCCAATCCAACAGAACAATGGCGGCTGCTGCGGTTAGTAGTTAAGCAAGTGTTATCAAAAACTATGTGATACTTTTCTTTTCTTTTATTTGTTTTACTATGTGTTTTGAAAACCAATGGCTGTCTAAAACGACTGTGAACTTTAATATTTCATGTCACTGTGTCCGTATAAGCTATGGTGTTAGTTGCAATATAGTACATCTTGACTTTGACTAATATAATTCGAGTTTGGAACACACGATCTTTAAATATGTGTGTATAGGTCAAATGTTTCATTTTTAGACTGATCATGTTTATCACCATAGGACATGATTTTAAAAATTCGCAGCTTAAGTCCATAGACTGAGAACAAATTTTATTAAAGTTCAATGCAAAGGAGATAAAAGGTAAGATCTCAAGAATGTGAATGAAGATGAAATCAGATACTTGAGAGATCCGAGCCCAACTCAAATTCTTCCAAACATAATTTCTAGATTACATCAACTTAAAACTCACACCCACATGGGTTTCAAAAGTCCCCAAATGCAATAAAATTACTAACACTTTTTAAGTATAATCAGTGTCTACATTTTCTTTATAGTAGTTAAGTCGATTAAAACATCTATTCATGCATCTACACACATTGAAACTAAAGTTCTATTCATGCACATTCTTTTCTGATTTATATATAGAAAATTAAAGTAATAGTTTTTGCTTCTGTTAAAGTTTTATGAAATCATTTGTTCAATCACATTAATTAGAATGCATCTTTTGTAAGAAATCATTCAAAAAAAGTAAGTCAAAATCTTTCAAATTAAAAAGTTTTTGTGGTTTAACACAACGAAATGATGAATTAGGATCAAAGTATATATCAATTTAAAATATATCTCATGACAAAGTCACTTAAAAACGGACATTAGATTATATTTTGTTGTGAAAAAAAAAAACAAAAGAAAAAACAAAAGAGATCATTCATATATTAGTCAATTGACAACGACATTTAACCGACCTCGTCCTCTAAAGTCTAACAAAAAAAACTCAATCCGTTTGGAATGGGCGTGCAACTTTAAGCATTTTGGGAATGAAACGACTCTCTCTTTTTGCTCTTTCCCATATTTTGTTTGTATTTTCCCGAGAAAATGAGAGGAAGTATCTCTAGTTGAGAACACAACTCCACGTTCTTTGCTTGCCTCGTAGGTTACGCATCAGCAGCTAGCTGGGTTTTGTCTGGCAAAACTCAATCTCCAAGCTTTCTTATAGCTTCCGTACGTTTGAGGCTTTCTCTTCTTCCCACACGAAGCATCGTGATCTGGAAGTTGTTGTTGATTTCCGATTCCCCCTTTCCTGGCTTCTTATCCAGTTTCTCTGTTTTACTTTTTGGTTGACTGAACTCGAATTTGAGTTGCAGAAATTCTGGGTTTAAAATTATCAATCTTCTGAGTTTTGATTCTCTTGGATGTCTGATTTGAGGATCAGATTTGTTTTCTAAAGGTTGTCCACGGATTCAATTTGAGATGCGAGTATGCAGAAGAAACGAGAGATTTGTGAATACAGAGAGAGACTTAACAAGACCTTGACGTCTCCTGAGCTCACTAATGAGCAAACTCTGAAAACCCTCATCAGAAAACAGCTAAATGAAGGTTTTTTTTCTTTACAATGAAATCTCTCTTAGCTGCTTTACTCTTGCCTTGCTTTAACGTTTTCTCATGTTTTTTTTTCTTTTCACAGAGTGTGATGTGGATATATTGGATCAAAGAGTAGCTGATTTATCTAGTATACTTGAGAAGCTTAGGAGTGTATCAACAAAGGATCAAGAACCTTCTAAATCAAGCAACGAGGAGGGGTCTTATGGTGATTGGAAAGTATGTTGCCTTTTGTTAAATTTGGACATCTTTTGTTATTGATGATTTATTTCTTTGTGGTTCTTTAACTTACCTAAAAACAGAATTGTCACAATGTTACAAAAGTTTTCTCTTATCCACAGGTGAAACATGATCATGAAGATTGTCGTGTTATGTACCGTGAAGGACTTGAAGGAAGTCCATTTCACACGTTGCTTGTTGAAGGTTACATGGAAGGGCCTATCCAAGACTGTAAGTTCTCTTAAGAGTTTTTAACTGCTAGAAAAAAAAGGTTTTCAATTTGATTCTAAACTGCGTTTATGCAGGTTTATGTGTATCATGGGAAACATCACTCTATGAGAAATGGTGAGTATCATTTTGGTTATGAACATCTAGAGAAATTGCAAAACAATGTGCGGTTTTTCGCTTCTCTCAGATGGAAATTAACAGTGTTTTTTGGTTTTATATTTTCTATGTCTCAGGTGGCCAAAGTCTTCATTTCCGGCATTCAGGATCTTACAAACTAAATGCTTACAGAAGTTTCGGATCAATGAACAGATATGTTTAGTGAGGTCTGTTTCAAACACTTGTTTGTGTTCTCATTTCTATGTATTACATTTTCCTGAAGCTGCTAATCTGAATCTGAAACTTTGGATTAATATTTTTCCGGAAGAAAGGACGAAAGTGCCGTGGCCAATGACAGACAGAGAAGCTATTTTGAAGTTTTTCTTATTCGAATACTTTAAAGACGGTTTAGTCATCATCCTACTAAACTCGGTAATACCAAAGTTAAGAGTTTTATCTTAATCCAGTTCTTAGTCATTTTGACATCAATCCTAAACTGTTATCTATTAGTATCATCTTTAGATCTCAGCATCAGAAGTAGAGAGCATCGACAAGAACGGTATTTCTAAAGCAGAGAATGCAGTGAGGGTTGATTTAGTAGGTGGAGTTGCAATACAGAAGGTGTCTCCAGAGAGGAGTTACTTAAGGTGCGTGTGAGTGAGTGAGTGATAAACATTTTGAATAACATTATAAAACCAGAAACTTGAAATGTCTTTGGTTTTTTTGTTTTCAAACTGTGAAACTTTTGTAGATACATATCGGAATTCGATATAAAGCTGGACTTGGTCCCTCCATCTCTAATAAATTTTATGTCGAGGCAGCTCCTCGGCAACGGTTTCAGACTTTTCAAGAAGGTCAATTTTCTGTTTATTTAGTTCACAATAAACTGAATTTTGGTTGCTAAAGTAGACAAGCTTGTGTGATGTTTACTTGAATGTGTACAGACTATTGGTTCGGTGGCGAAATCCGATGATTACAACAGAGTTTTAGCTGATCCATTATATACTCAGATACGTCAAGCTCTGTATTCTACTGATAAATCTGATGAAAATGTGCTCCATAGCCAAGAAGGAAGAGAATTCAATGAAGAAGAACCTAAGTTGGAAGCTGATGAGACTCGAAATCACGGAAATGAACCTTGCAAAAGAGATGTTGCTGAGATTGAGGAAGAAGAATGTGATGATGAAGAAGAAGATAAAAGTGTTTCTTCTTCCTCTTCTTCTTCTTTTTCGGTAGAGGATGAAAATGTCATAGGTAAGACTCAAAAGAACAATGGTAAAACACGATTCTGCATAAGTCCAGAGGTGAAGCAAGCTTTAGGGACATTAGAGAGAGTGATATCAATGGTTAGAAAATCCAGAACAGATAACAACACGTCAACCTCTTCGGAAGAAGAAGAAGAAGAAGCATCACCACCATCATCATCACCAAAACAGCTTTCAGAGAGCACTGCGATTGTTTCAAGTAGCAAAGTTTGTATTCAAGATCCTAAAACTGAAGAAGTTCTTGATGAAGCATCCTTCACTCATTATCACAACAACAACATCAATAGGTAAAAGATTAAAGATTATTCTCAAGAAAGTGATTTGCTTGCATGCGATTAAAGGGTTTAACCTTTTCCGAGTTGTTTATAGGCGAAATGGATCGAGTTCTTTTGCAAGAGAAGGCAACAAAATAGCTCCTGCATCACCTGAGATCGATCTTACTACAAACTCTGATGAAGAGGTCACAAGGATAACAATCTCACAAGCCACAACTCTTTTCAGCCAAACAACAGAGATTAGTGACGACAAACCGAGCGGTTTAAATGGCGGCAAGAGCTCGATATTGCAGAGAAAACGTAAACCGGGCTGTTTCGGATTCAGGTCATGGCTGAGAAGGACTTGAAATTGGGAGATTTGGTAATGCCAAATCTTTGAAGTTGCAAAGAGCTTATAACAATTACTTTATACAAGGAATCATCAATTGTTTTTATGTACTTTTGGTTAGTGTAAGATTTGCAACAAATGTTTCGAGTTTCAACAAATATAGTGATGTAACATTAATAGTAACTAGAATGCACGGGAATATTTTTTATTGTTTAACGAATTTTGTAATATAATTTGTGTTTTTGATTTTAGATATAATTATTTTTATAAATATATTTTTAATAAGTGAAAATATTGATTTTTGTGTTTAGATATATTTTTATAGTAATAAAATTAATTATAATTATAAAAATATAATATTAAACCGTCCGTTAATATTAATTCAAAATGAACTATTATAAAAACATAATTTTAACATTTTCGTTCATATTACCGTATAATATAAATATTTGTTAAAAGTTTGAGATGTATTAAAAGTATTATTTAGCATTATAGTTTTCTAAAATTTAATGAACGAAGGGAGTGTACAACTGGTTTTTCAAACCACATTATAGAGTGTATGCAATAATTTTTAATTTTTTATGTTTTTATTTTGTATGAAAAATATATTTTCGATATACATGTATAATTCAAAATTAGTGATTTTAGTTACCAAAATATTTTTAATCCGATTTTTATATATATTTTTAGTTCTATAAATTTTTAAAAATATATTTTTAATATTTAAATTATACATTTGAATTTTACCTATTATTTTATTATTAATTTGTAAATAAATCATAATCGTAAATATATTATATAAGCAACATAAATATCATATCATTTACATCATTATAAATATTTTATATTTCAAATATGATTATTATTTTTCATATGTGAATTATTTTTTTTTCAAAAATTCTAGATATTTTTGATAAAAATGTTTAATAGTATAAAAATTATTTAAATTAGAATCTTTAAGTCAAATCTAAATTAATATCTGATTTATTATTTTTAATCAAATCAAATCTAAATTACCTATATTTAAGGAACTCTAAAAATATTTAAATTAATAACTAATTTTCGAAATTAAATATAAATTATTTTTAAAATTATTTTTAAATACTTAAAAAAAATAGGGGTGTTTGGAAGCAAGTACTAAATGTGCTTCTGTTTTAATATAATAGACTAGATTCTAACCCCGTGCATCTGCACAAGAATATTTTTTATTGTTTAACGAATTTTGTAATATAATTTGTGTTTTTGAGTTTAGATATAATTATTTTTATAAATATATTTTTTAATAATGATTTTTGTGTTTAGAAAAATTTTATAGTATTAAAATTTATTATGATTATAAAAATATAATTTTAACCCGTCCGCTAATATTAATTCAAAATGAACTATTATAAAAACTTAATTCTAACTTTTCTGTTTATATTATCGTAGAATATAAATATTTGTTAAAAGTTTGAGATGTATTAACAATATTATTTAGCATTATAGTTTTCTAAAATTTAATCAACGAAGGGAGTTTACAACTGGTTTTTCAAACCACATTATAGTGTATGCAATAATTTTTAAGTTTTTATGTTTTTATTTTGTATGAAAAATATATTTTCGATATACATGTATAATTCAAAATTAGTGATTTTAGTTACCAAAATATTTTTAACCCGGTTTTATATATATTTTTAGTTCTATAAATTTTAAAAAATATATTTTTAATATTTAAATTATATATTTGAATTTTACCTATTATTTTATTAATAATTTGTAAATAAATCATAATCGTAAATATATTATATAAGCAACATAAATATCATCTCATTTACATCATTATAAATATTTTATATTTCAAATATGAACCATTATTTATATGTGAATTATTTTTTTTCAAAAATTCTAGATATTTTTGATAAAAATGTTTAATAGTATAGAAATTATTTAAATTAGAATCTTTAAATCAAATCTAAATTAATATCTGATTTATTATTTTTAATCAAATCAAATAAAATCTAAATTACCTATATTTAAGGAACTCTAAAAATATTTAAATTAATAACTAATTTTCGAAATTAAATATAAATAATTATTAAAATTATTTTTAAACACTTAAAAAAAATTAAGAGTGTTTGGAAGCAAGTACTAAATGTGCTTTTGATTTAATATAATAGATGATTTTAAAAAGTCAATATAATACAAAAGTGATGAAAGTACGTAAGAAAATGAATGTGTTATGGAAGAATTGTTACTAGACTTTCAATTTTAAAACATCGAATTTTAAATCGTTAAATCTGAACGAACCGGCTCGGTTCGTGCATAAACCGATAGAATCCGATAAAAAACTTATGAGTAAATGAGTCTAATGACTAATGGGCTGGACCCGCGTAAAAAAAAAGAAAAAAAGAGAGAGAGGAATAAACCCTAAAGAAGGCTCATTTCTAGTTTCCTCCTCATCTTCCTCTTCTTCGCCGTCTTCTTCTTCTTCTTCTTCTTCTTCTTCACCGGTAGGTTATTTTTCTCGCCAATTTGGATATATCTGATTTATTCGCAGTCGAAACTCTTACTTCATAAAAACTCGGTTTTCACTCAAGCGTTTTCTCTTCTGAATATTTGAACCAGGAAGCTGATTATGGAAGCTTCGGCTGATAAAACTACGCAAGCGATTTCTGAATTATCCATGGATTCCTCTAACTCTTCGATTGCTGAGCCTGGTGCTAGTGATGGAGCTGGACCTCGGAGTAAAAAGTACGTTTTCCTTTTACTCTCGAATTTTGTGAATCTTCGTATGGAATTTGATAGACATCGAATCTGATTGTGGGCGGATGGCATTTTCGTGAAAATGCTGCAGTGCTCTGAAGAAGGAACTGAAGATGAAGCAGAGAGAGGAAGAGAGGAAACTCAAGGAAGAGGAAAAGGCCAAACAAGTGAGCCATTCTCTTTTCGCTTTTCTTCTGATTCGTAACTTTTACGTTATATTCTAGGGAAATGATCATAGATTGAGAACTGGTTGGGTACTTGCATATGATTTGATCCGGAAGAGAAATTCGAAAAACAAAACTCTGAGGTTTTTATTTGATTGATGTAGGCTCCTAAGGCCCAGAGCCAGAAGTCAGTGGCTGCAGATGATGAGGATATGGATCCGACGGTATATAATCTGTTCTATAATTTCTCATTATCTTATATGTAATGTTGTTATAAGTGTGTGTATTAATCAAGTGCTCTTTTTTGTTTTTTTGCTTGTGTGATCTTTTGCAGCAATACTTTGAGAACAGACTGAAATATCTTGCGGCCGAGAAGGCTAAGGGAGAGAATCCATATCCTCACAAGTTTTCTGTGTCAATGTCCATTCCTGAATATATTGAGAAGTATGGTAGCTTAAACAATGGGGATCATGTTGAAGACGCTGAAGTTTCTCTAGCTGGTAAGTTAAACCGCTAAATGCCATTGTGTAAGTTTTAATAAGCCACTTGCCCTTACGCTGAAACGGACGTTAATCCTTTTTTATTTAATTTTAACTTTGCTAGGCCGGATAATGAACAAGCGATCTTCTTCGTCCAAGCTCTTCTTCTATGATCTACACGGTGATGAATACAAGGTCCAAGTTATGGCTGATGCAAGGTGAATGCTTTGTTTACCAGATTCTCTTCTTTGTCAACTTAATGCTCTTGAATAGAATTACTTAGTGTATATTGCATTTTCTTGTCTCAGTAAGTCAGGATTGGATGAAGCTGAGTTTTCAAAGCTCCATGCGCATGTTAAGCGTGGTGATATTGTTGGTGTCACTGGGTTTCCAGGTTTGTGCTGCCACTATGATTTTCTATTATTCATCCTTTTAGCCCATCATTCATTTTCACTGTTCACATTACTCTAATTTCAGGAAAAACTAAGAGGGGAGAGTTGAGTATCTTCCCCCGATCGTTTATTGTTCTGTCCCATTGCCTACACATGATGCCAAGAAAGGCTGAGAATGCTGATTCAAATGTAAAGCAACTTCACTGCGGTTGTTATAATACTTTAGAGTCACCTTGTTTTACACTAACCTGTTTCACTTTTTTTTTTAATACGCAGAAACCTGAAAACCGGGTTCCAGGTAAACCGAGAAATCCACGAAAGGCTGAGAATGCTGATTCAAATGTAAAGCAACTTCACTGCGGTTGTTATAATACCTTAGAGTCACCTTGTTTTACACTAACCTGTTTCACTTTTTTTTTATTACGCAGAAACCTGAAAACTGGGTTCCAGGTGAACTGAGGAATCCTGACGTATATGTTCTGAAAGATCAGGTAACATCAATTTTTCAAAGGGCTATAAAGAATTGTTGTAGCCTCTTACACTACTGAATGTCATGTAAAGATTTTTTTTGCTGGATAACTTCCTGTCGGTGTTTTAGATTCTAGTTTTTATTTTATTTTTTCTGTCAGGAAACTCGATATCGCCAGCGTCATCTTGATCTAATGTTGAACATGGAGGTTCCCAAGATATTCAAAACCCGATCTAAAATCACTAAATACGTCCGCCAATTCCTTGACAACAAGAACTTTTTGGAGGTTTCTATGTTTCTCATTTTCTCACAAAATTTCCTTCTTATTATTCTGCAACTGGCTCAAGTTTTCTGTTCTCTCGTTTGGTCCTTAAATTTTCTTTAGGTTGAGACACCTATGATGAACATGATTGCTGGTGGAGCAGCGGCCCGACCGTTTGTCACATATCACAATGATCTTAATATGAAGCTGTTCATGCGTATCGCACCGGAACTCTATCTTAAGCAACTTATTGTTGGTGGCATGAACCGTGTTTATGAGATTGGAAAGCAATTCAGAAACGAGGGTATTGACCTGACCCACAATCCGGAGTTCACCACATGCGAGTTCTATATGGCTTACGCAGACTACAATGACCTGATGACAATGACTGAGGATATGTTGAGTGGCATGGTCAAGGAATTAACAGGTGGTTACAAAATCAAGTATCATGCTAATGGGTATAATAAGGAGCCAATCGAAATCGACTTCACTCCTCCATTCAGGTTTGAGGCAATATCTTCATTGATTAAACAACAACCTTCAGGGTAAAGCTTATATGTGGTAACAATCTGCTTTAACTTTTGTTTTTGTAGGAGGATTGAGATGATAGGAGAGTTGGAGAAGGTGGCTAACCTCAATATACCGAAAGACTTGGCTAGCGAAGAAGCAAACAAGTATCTGATTGATGCTTGTGCGAGGTTTGATGTGAAATGCCCTCCTCCTCAGACAACAGCCCGTCTGTTAGATAAAGTAAAATCTTCCGTCTCCCTCCTTTGACTGTGTAGGACATATAGTATAAAGTATTAAATGTGAGAGTTGTCGCTTATTGCAGCTTGTTGGAGAATTTCTGGAAGTGACATGTGTAAACCCAACTTTCATCATCAACCATCCGGAGATCATGAGTCCCTTGGCAAAATGGCATAGATCGAACAGTGCTTTGACTGAGAGATTCGAGCTGTTCATCAACAAACATGAAGTAAGTAAAAGCTGATGGTGAATATGATGATTTCATCAATAGTTGTATTTTGAGTAACACATATTTATAAACTGGATCGCAGCTCTGCAACGCCTACACCGAGTTGAACGATCCTGTGGTTCAGCGGCAGCGTTTTGCTGATCAGCTCAGGGATCGACAATCTGGAGACGATGAAGCGATGGCTTTAGATGAGACTTTCTGTAATGCTTTGGAATATGGATTGCCTCCTACAGGTGGTTGGGGATTGGGGATAGACAGACTTACTATGCTCCTTACTGACTCACAGAACATCAAGGTCACACTCTCTTACCTCAAATAGTTTATTTCTGTGTTTTGATTTAATCTTTCTGGCTAGACTCATGATTTGAAATTGTGGTCTGCAGGAGGTTATTCTCTTCCCGGCGATGAGGCCACAGGACGAGCCAGCAGCCGCCGCTAAAGGTACGATCTAACTGTTAATTTAGTCATTTATTCTACGTTAGTTTTATACTTTTTGGTCGCATTTTTAGCTGTTTTTTGTTTGTTTTGTTTTGTTTTGGCAGCTCCTTTGCAAGCAGGGAACGAAGGAAACTAGAGCACAGTTTTCATCTCTTTTGTCATACTAAAGCTTTTAAAGTTTGGTAGTCAAGTTTGCTCTCAATTTACTTTTAAATTGCAATGTACGAACAACCATATTTTTTACAAACAAAGCAACCAGTTATTGTCTAAAACCTTTTTAAAAACTTTTTGGAAATCGTGATTGTTTTTGATCATGATTTCGCTCTAATATTGAAGAGTCGTAAGTATTTTTTTTTAACAGTTAATAATATCCATGTATTTGTCGACCAATAAAAGACCAGTCTAAAAAAACAAATAAAGAACGGAAACTAAGAGTACGAATAGAGTCAAGGAGCATGTCATTTCAAGTGTTGTTGTGGGCTCTCTTATCTTTTGTCACCATTATTCAGCATTATCATTATGAACTGCGGTGCCAACAAAATTTCTTGTCCGCTCCATTATGTATAATCATGTTCAAGTGCGCATTGGTTTTTCTTTTTGTTAACAAAATATTATTTAGAAAAGTTGTGCAAAAAGACATTTATTTCGACCACTTGAAATATAAATAAAAAAAAAATCAAAATCTGCTAATTATAAGTTCATAACACACTCAAATTTTCCTTCCAATAATTAAAATCTGATGGAAAAATATACGTGACCGTCAACATTCCACTTATTCTGTGATTTTACATTAACCATATTTTGCTTGTTCTGCAACATTACTTAATCAACATACAGACTTTAGGCCCTCTGATTTTAAAACAAGTTATTGTCTAAGTGGTTGAAATGGTATCCTGTTTTTAATAACCCATGTTTAGAGTTTCAGCTACTGTATATACTAACTAAGATCGAAGGGTGACAAAAAAAAGTCATCGATTGAAAAAACAAAGTATATATTTTGATGAATGATGATCACATAGAAAAAGTCAGATAGCTTTAAGCTTTGTGTTGTAATTGGGTCTCGAATCATAATAATATCTCACAAGACAGCCATAAGCCAACTCATCTCCTCTCTCCTACACATGTTTCTTTATCCCTGCTCTACCAAATACCTTTCGTGTTCTATTTGCTTAACAATCAAATAAAAAGTCGTACCTTTCACTATTATGCCATGTAATGATATACTATTATGTACCCAACCTATATCTAATGATATAATGATGATGATAATGATACCATTCAAATGGGAATAACCTACCAAACAATCCACAAATAAAAGAAAAGATGAGATCCTTGCTAGTGAAGAAAAAGTGTTTAACAAAAAAGAGTGAAGAAAAAGTGGTGGGTTCTCAAGTCTTTTCTTTTCTTTTCCACTATGATTCATTTTTCATACACCAAATCAATTTAAAAAATTGAGTTTATATATCTAATTACAATTTTTATAACCCAAAAATCAAACCCCCTCCCAAAAAATAATATAACTTTTTATAATATAAAGAAAACTCAACAAACCCTCCTTTCATATTCCATTGAGGAATAATTTAAACATTGATGTTTCTCTCTAGTTTTTTTGTTCTTTCTCTTCTTTCCAATCTTCATTCTTCTATAAAGAACCTGTAAAAGTGCGACAGCTAAGAATACTCTTGATATATAATCGATAATTTATACCGATCAATGACCAAGAAATTATTACCGCGAATCCTTACCTTTTGTATGTGTTTACAGATACACTTGAGAGATTTGTCTTTAATAATCTCTTCGGGTTTGTGAATTCATTAGCATTTGCTTATATATGAGTCCTTGCCAATAGCTCCAAGCATTCTACATGCTACTTCCAGCAACTTCCCTGTTGATTAATTAAATAAGAAATTTTAATTATTAGGTCATGATCACAATCAATTAATTCCAATCACAATCTCCTGTCACCTAATTAAAATATTTCTGGAATTAGACTTTAGAAAAAGCTAAAACCCCAATAATTTAACAAATATTAGTTTGCAAACGTGAGAAGATGCTTTAGGTAATGTGAAGAAGCTTCTAATGATTCTTTCTTCTGTTTGACATTTTCCAATATCCTCACCATTCCTTTACTTTTAGTACATGACTTAATACTTTGAGCCTTAATTATGTACTAAAATTTAGAAATTCGTGTGAAATTCGATCACAAGAGCTACTTCTTATATCCTCAAGAACGACCATAGTCATGTTCCGTTTCATTCTCATTAGAAATTCGGGACGAAAATTGAGCTTGAACATGACACGATTTCGAGCCTAATTAGTCACAATGCTAATGTTGTAAAAAAACTCGATCAATCTACATTAGATCAATTCACCAATAACTAATTATTTCCATCACTATGACTATGCGAAATCGATTCACCAAAACAGGAATCTATAAACCATAAACACACACAACACATTCAATCAAATAAAAAGATCAATAAAACATACCTCTTCTTGGCTGAACAACTTTCTTAACCGAACTAGTCGGTTTTTTAACCGTCTCTTCCTCTTCTTCCGGGAACAAAACACCATCAATCCCCTGAACCGAAATCCGACCATCCGTATAAATATCCGGATCAAACAAGTACGCAGATCGGTCACCGGAACCAAACTTAACCGAACCATCAGCTTCCTTAGCCGCAACCTTGTGAGGAAAACGCAGCGTTTCATACTTCACCTTCCCAAATCTCCTAACCGAATTATACATACTCTCCTCCGTCTGATACTCCGGTATAATGTGGTAATACACGATTTGCTCCGGAGCTCCGGGCTCACTAAGCTGATCCGTCGTCAATTTCGCCATAGCTTCGTCGTTCGGAGCTAACACAGTGAGGACGTAACCTTCCGACACTAATCGACCCATCTCCGTCGCGAGTGACGTCAGATTCACGAGAATATCCGCCATCTCGTTGTATCCACCGTAATGTAACAATGTGTGGATGAAATCTTTGACCTGAGCCTCGCCGTTGAAGTGGTGTCGTGGACCTCCTGGTCCCGGAGCTGGTGCCGGAGCTAGCGACGGACCTGGAGCCATGGCGGATTGGATCGGGAGAACCGGTGGAGATCCGGCGGGTACTGCGACGGAAGCGGCGGCGGATTTCTTGAGACGGTTTGTTCTCGGGTCAATTTCCGGAGCTCCTTCGGGTAATACGGCGGAGATTGATCGGAGGCTTCTCCTTCGATTGAAATCTTCTTGGACGGAGCGGGGGATTAAGAGTCGTTCGATTCCGTGGATCAATCCGTCGGGTCGGGTTAAATCATCGGGTCGGGTAATAACGGCGGAATTCACAAGTCTGATTCCGTTTCCTTTGGTTTTGCTCAAATGCAGCACTTGGTCGTGCCCAAGCGTGGCGTGTTTGACCCGACCTGAGTTCTCTTCGGGCCATTGGTTTGACCCGACCCGATTGGGGATAATGTGGGACAAGAGTAGCGTCTGGAGAGATTTGAGGTTACCTGGTTGGAGCAAGAACCGTTTGAAATCCGGGTCAAGGTCCCGCTCTAGAGCTTCGTTGCGAGGGGCAAAAATGGTAATATTGTGACGACCGACGGCGTCTTCGAGCGTTTGGAGGAGGAGAGCTTTCTCGACGAGCTCGGCGAGCTCAGTGTAACGAGAGTCGAGGAGAGCGACAAGGACAGAGTTTGAGTTTATTTGACCCGACCCGTTTAAGCTGTGGTGACCCGGTTCGAGATTCTGTGGCAAAGCGGATGCAGTGAGGAGGAAGGAGAAGAAGAAGAAAGTTACGGCGGAGCAACCATAGATGCAGCGATCCATGGTGCTGTAGAAGACTGAGATAATCTCACGAAGAAGGAATTATAAAGAGAATGTTCTTTTGTTTTTTTAATGTGTGGAGAATTTACTTCTTCTTCTCTGATTTCTTGAAGCGTCGGCGATCGGAAAGTGGAAGTGAGAGACAGACAAGGAGAAGAAAGAGAGATATGTGATGTGAGTTTGGCTGGTCTCTGGTCTGTGTTGTGTATCAAAACAGGTTTGGGTTTTCGGACAGGCTGGTGGTAGGGACCACACGGTGTCTGATTTTTTTAACTATTTTAGCTGACTTTAGCTTTCTTTATGTTTCAACTCGGCTCAGCTCGGCTTCCATTATTCGCTTTTCCGGCTTAATTTTTTGTATAATCATTGAATAATACACACCCCCTTTCTTTTTGTCTTTTATGTTTTAATCAAACTATATTTAATAAACAAAAATAATAAAATTTCAGAACAAACAAGAACTATATTGAATTTTGTATGAATTTTATATCAGAACAAACAAGTTCTGCTTATACTAAATCCTTCAGAGATATTCTATATTAAAACATTAAAAGAATTTGATACTCAAATTTAATATATTTGCAACTGTATTTCGGAATCATAGTAAAAATGAGTAAATTTGAATAAAGAGTTATGAAGAAAGCTATTGAAAAATTATTCTAACAACTGAAATAATAAAAGGTAAAGTATATATTAAGAATCATAGTAAAATAGAGTAATTATGCCTTGAATTTAACATTGAGGGAACTATTTATATGTTGTAACTGTTTTTATTGATTATTAAAATAGTAAAGAGTATAATATGGTAGAGAGTGAAAGTGATAGTCTTTGAACTTTTCCTTAAGTCCTAAATTATTAATATAATATGGACTAGGACAACGGGTGCTTTCAAGATGATAATAGAGTAAAAGGAGAGTTACTTAGTCATCTTCTATAGTTAATGATGTGGGTAATACTTAAATTGAAAGTGATTAAGAAATGCAACCAAACTTAAAAGAAAAAAATAAAAGGCATGTGAAGCTAGTAAGAAGAAGCCGAACAAGAGGGAAGAACACGTGGCTTGAATTGAAGCTGTCGGTGTATGACCTAAAACAACCATCATTTACCTTTATTTATTACACCTTTTTTGGGTTGCTACGCTAAGTTCGTGAATCGTGTAATGTCCCACCTCAATTCCACTTACCTGTTTATATCACGCGCTTCAACTTGGCGCGTCTTCTCGCGTTCAATTAAATATACAGCCCAACGACGGCGTTTTTACGCTTATGGTTACAGCTTTGTAAATTGTTGTCATCAATCCTAAACGATATTCATTGTTCCCGCCTGATTTTAAAAGACAGCCTATAAGGCCCAATTGAGTTAAAACCCATCATATTAAAGTTTTGTTTATCTTATTGGTTGGTTCTCGAGTATTATATCAACGGGCCTAACTCGTTACTCTCTATTTTCCGGGATCAAAATTCCCATACCTGATAGGCTGATACACATAAGGTCCAGCTCTCGAACGATTTGATAACACTATCAAAACTTTTTTTGATCAGATAGATTCATGTTAGATTACGAAAAAAGAAACACAATTCTTTTTTTTTAACACTAAAAGAAATACAATTCAATATATATATTTAATAATTTTGTTTTCTTGAATAGTCTTATATAATTTTGTATACATCAAATAGTCGCCATACTCCTCTTCTTCTCTTAAATATTCACGATTTCATCTTTTCTTTCATCAAATAGATGATCTGCTTGTGAACATGTATTTGTTCCATTACACTTACGTATCCATTGTTTTTAATACTGTAAGGACTTGAATTTTTGTACCCTAGATGAATTGCATTTTGTCAGCAAAAAAATTGTAACTTACAACTGCTGAGTTTATCTCTATCGATGTTTGTACCACTAGATGAATTGCATTTTGTTGACAGTTTTTAATTTTTTACTTTTCAGTTTTCAGGTAAGATTTAAATATTCAAATTTGACTAACAAGATAATGTGAGGTCATAATCGAATTAGTTAACACTTAAAAGTTGCCGAAAGAGCCGAAAGAGAACGAAACATTAGTATAAAAAGCCGGCATGAATTTTATATTAAGGAAAAACATCCAATACTTTTTAATTTAAATATTAAGGAGTATTATCTTCTGACAGTTTAACTCTCAAACATTTCTTTTCAATACAAGACGCACGATCTCATGTAGGATAAGAGTGTAGAGGCATTCAAGTGTGATCTCCATGTTAATTTATCATTTTCTTTTGTTTCAATTTATCCTAAACAAACTTCAGCTGTATGTACATTAGCCCACAAAGATTTTAATTGCACACTCTAGGCGTATACAATGAAATAATTGATCCAACAGGAAGAGAAAAAAAAAAATCCATGTTAAAATGAATGAATGATTGAAGAGTGAAGACGGTTTGGTTGTTCAGTGTTGTCAAAACAAAAATACTTCCATGTTTTAGTATTTAATTTCAAAAGCATCTACTGAATTTGTTTAGGAAATAGGAATCCCTTAATTTACATTCAAAAACATCAAAAATATAAACACAGTTGCATGAGATTCACCAGATGATAGGAGAAAATGAAGAAAAGTCACATCAAAGCTCAATTAGTGAAGTCTAGTAGAAGACAATTGAAACACAACAAAGCAGAGAAGAGAGAGAGAGAGAGAGAAAGAGAGGGAGAGATGAAAAAGGAAAGAAGAGTAATTAGAGACGCAGAAGAAGCTGGTAGTGATAGCAACACCTGAATTAATGCTAAACACCTCTGCCAAGTGAGTTTTCTGGTCCCCACACTCTAACCTCACATCACCTACAATTTAAAACTCTTTTGGACAAGGACAGTTCCCACGACAGACTTGCACTTTGTTTCTAACCTAATAGTCAAAAACAAAACCAAATTACCCTTTGACCCTTGTTTTAATTACTCTCGTTTTTGAATCCACGTCTCACTAATTAATCTTTGTGTGTTAGGACATCTAAATTAAAACCTCATTTCGATTATATTATGTCCGGTTTTCGTATGGTTTCTATCCCAAACATATTTTAGTTTTGGAGTATTCTTAGAATTAATCTAACAAACCCGGTTCCACATCAAATTCGAATATTGGTATGGTTAGACTTGATTTTTTTTAATCGGTTGAACTAATAGCCGTCAAGATCAACTCCATCATAATCAATATCTAGTTGGCAAGATGTTTTCATCTTCCAAATGATGATATTCAGGAGTTGCGTAATTTTGTATCCATCTCATGTCATGTCATTATGTCACTTATCGACTTCCAAAAACACATTATCACTCGCGATTCCAATTTTTGTGAATTTTCATATTTGTTGATGATGATCACAAAATCCCATAGCACTGAAAAGAAATCTCACATCAAAGATTGATAGAAAGTTTGTGACAAATTGTAAGAAACACAAAGAAAGGCAAGACTCACACTTTGATTTGCACACAATCAAGAAATAAAAAGAAAAATCTATTAACAAGATTTTTTTTATTTAATAAGCCTAATCAATGCCGAACGGCTCTCGGTGTCGCCGCCGCCACCACCGTAGCTCCTCCTCCTCCTCCTCCTCCGCCTCTATTAACAGTCGTGTTCCTGAATACTTCAGTAAACGATGGCCTCGGCGACGACGAAAGAGACTTCGAAACTCTCGGAGACGAGACTGATTCTCTCTGCGACGGACTTCGCCAGAATCCGGCGCCGTAAAACCTATTCCACATCTCTTTCTCTAATGCCAACACAGCCTCGTCGTCTTCATCGGTCTCCTCGTCCGTTGTCATCAGCCCAGCGGCTGATTTTCCGATGTATTTCAGATCCAAGAATTCGTCTTCGTCGTCGTCTTCCTCCGAGACGTCGTTGCTATCCAATGGATGAATCGCGAATTCCGAGTTCTGAAACACTCTCTGGATCCTCTCGTTTTTTTTCCCGTCCGTCGGGAGCGGCGGAAGGATTCCGTTTTTGACGAGCTGTTTACGGCGGCGATTGCGGAGAGCGCGGCGGCAGAGTCCACGGGGGACTTTGTAGATGGCGAGGACGAGAAGGTTGACGAGTCCGCAGGGACAGCAGCACCAAACGGCGGCGCAACTCGCCGTCGTGCCACCGCAAAACTCGGCGGGAGTGGATCCGCCGCAAGTGGCTCTTGGGGAAGGAGAGGAGAGACTTCTCTGGAGCAGAGGCTGTCTCCGGTGGCTACGAGACGGAGAAGACGATGGAGTGTCTGATGGTTTCGTCTGCCTCGAGATCTGTTTCGGATCGTAACGTAACGTCGTGTTCATAGTTCGGGTTTCGCTGGAGAAATTACCCCAAAAAAAAACAAAAAACAAAAATTGCAGATTACAGATCAGAATCAGTTCTCTTCTTCTTCTTCTTCTTCTTGTTGCTCCAATTGCATCACAGGATCGAATTGAAATCTGAAATTGCGGGAATTGGATCTCGAAACTCGCAAAGAAGAAAATGGCTACCCCACAGAATCTCTCCGGTGGTGGCGACGGCGAAGTCGAAGAAACGGTGGTGGGGGCAACACGAGAAGAAAGCCCAAAGAGAAAACGGAGAAAGTCGAGTGACTTGTAACAACAACAAATACCAAACCGATAAATTAGGCGCGAGAAGTTTTGGATCCAATCGTTTGGACTTCTCAACACGGAATTTTCCCGGTAGAATTATTATAAAAAAAAGGGAAAATCTTTTCTCGGGAAAATTGAAGGGTTTGATTTTCGGTGAGAGGTCGACCGAAATGGAGGGAGAGATGGAGAAGGAAAGGATATTTTTTTTTTTTTTTGTGAGAGGATGATTTTAAAATTGTGTTTTTAATTGAATATGTTCGTGTGAAGGTTGAAGAAGAAGAGGAAGGTGTGAAACTGTGAATGAAAGATTTCTGTGGTTTATATATATACAAATAAGGTCCAGCAAATTATTTATTATATTCACATATTAGTTGTAAAATACAAAATTTGACCACAAAGAAAATATATATCCAGAATTCTGATAAGTCTTGTGAATTTGTAATTAGTTCATTTCCTATCTAGATACCCAAAATATGTTATGATACAAAAAAATTATAGATAGATATGAAAAAGTTTTCAGATTCTTGTGTCGTTGATATATCAGAAAGATTGAAATAATGAGCGAAAGCATCTCCTTGCTCTATTCGAATCAAAAATGACATTTGTTGTCGAAGAAATAGTGATAATGATTGGGATTAGGATATCTATCATCATATATACGCGTAATGTGTATTAAAATCTGACAATATCTGCAATAATCTATTAGACGTCATCTTCCCACGGTTGTTAGATGTTGATTGGTTTGTTTGTTTGTTTTGGAGTACATACTTTTATTTTTTATCGTTATTTTCGTCAACGAAATATTTTAATCTAAAAACAAAACAACAAATCCAAGTGTGGCGTACCACTATCAATTGAAGAATTATAAAGAAGTATATACTAATATTATTTTAGATAAACTTTTCGTATTTTTTGGGGACTGGTTCGTGCCCTGATTCCCTTGAGGCACAAAGTTAAAAAGGTCAATGCAAGTAGTACTCATCTTGAAAATATTCGTATTTGAACAAAAAAAGAAAAAGGAAATGATGGACTTTTCTTAATAATTTTTCGACAGCAAAAACAAAAAAAAATGCAATAAAAAGGTGGGGAAAATGGACTAAGAATTTTGGAATTGGAATCATAGCCCACAATACGACGGTGCAGAAACAAAAATGATAATGTATTGGGCCTTTGGTAAATCCCAGAACTTATTTTAGAAGATGCCTAGATAAATACCAGATGTAGCATGCATCTACATCAGTAGTTCAGTACATAGCATAAACCTAAAATTATATTTTTATTTATTTTGAACATTGCATTTACAAGTTCACTGAAGAATTCCCATTGATTTACAGCTACACTCTGCCACGATCTATTTACGTAAAGCCTTAAAACAGAATATCAATTATAGTAAGAGATAATGTCCATTAAACTTTGAAATTACATTCCGAAAGATGTAAAAGTAGATAATGCGCTACTAATAACTCCAACACACAAGAGACGAGGAGAATCAATCCATAAGTGGCAAAGGTAAAATACATTAAAACGGACTATAAATTATAAATTAAGAAACAGCGTACAGTTAAGAAATTATGCTTCTATAGTGGTCGTGGACCGGGCTTGGATTAGAAGATCCCTCACGACCCCAAGAATTGCTACAATGCCTAGAATAAAGAGAATTCTCACTTTTTTTCCTCTCCACAATGCAATCAGATATACAACGAGTATTGATAATCTAGAGACTAGCTAGAGGTACTTGAAACGATCGTATCTATATATGTGTACTTGTGTAAATGGAATCAAATATTTTAGATTAGTCATGTTAATATTGAGTAATGCCAAAAATCAGCTGGTATTAAAAAAACAAAAGTTTAGATATATTATGCCGCGCGCGTATTTCAGGTTGAATAACCACTACTATCATCATCAACGGATCATAAGAAGATGATTTTCAAAACCCGTCATTGTGTGATAATGAATAACGATTATGACGACACATATCATGGTCACAACCCAAGCCATCATTTTTGCATAATTACAACCATTTTATCTCATCATCGAATGTTGATGATCATCAAGAAACTCCTAAACAAGAGCATTCCCAGAAAAAGAGAAAACCGAAGAGGTGCGATCTGCTCTCTGGCGAGTGGGTCTCAAACCCCGAAGCTCCATACTATACAAGCACGACAAGAGATTTTTTTTAACACTAGGGATAACTTCCGAATTATAACCAAGATTTATTCGGTTTAGCTCGGCAACTTAATTCGGTTTCATATTTGTCATTCGATTGCAAATCAAACCAAATACAAATAACCACATATACAAGTCTTAATTTTTGTGTTCGGTTCAATTATGTTTGATTGTGTTCAGTTTCTACGAAATTTATTTAGTTTTTAAGTCTTGTTCAACCATTCATTTTTTTTTAAGAAAAAAAAAACAGTTTCGTTGATTCAGATATAATTTCAGTTTGGTTTGAGTCGAATGTTCACCTCCTAATTAATAGAATCATCTATTTGAGTTTCTTTTGTTGGAACAATGAGATAGAGTTAGAAGATATGAATCTAGAGACACACAACATTCAACTCGATGAATTTCGCATTGTGAAAAGAGACAAAAACAAAATAATGGATAAGTTTGAGATTACTAGATGCATGTAACAAATGTTATTGTATAAGCGGGCAGGCCTGAAAAAAAATCACAGATTTTGGGTCTCGATTAAGGCCTGAATCAAAGGTTAGGCCTAATCAGGTTCTTGATGCTATTTGCCTGTATCATCTGCTTTTAAAAAAACATTTCGCGTTTTTGTTTTTTGGTAACATCTAGTACTACTACTAGTGTATTTCTCGAGTTGATGGGTACAAAATAGGTCGGTTCTTCGAGATTGAAATGATTTTAATGTCAAGGGTTATCAGCATAAAATAATAATATATTAAAAAAACACGCCAATTATACAAGTTGCAAAAGCATGTGTATGAAGGTGGGTTAGAACAATTTTTTAAGAAACCCTAAAATTTTAGAAAGAAATACGATTCAAAAAAAAAAAAAAACGAGTACAAGTTAAGCTAAATTGTCATATGGTGATGAAATGTTCCTTTTTGGACGGTCTCTTACGACCAATCCGAGGTGAATTTTGATGTCCTTTTTATGACCAAGCTTCGTTTTATGAGAAGACTTACGTTCCGGTCACATTGATCTTCTCCGTTTAGGAATTAGTCACGCACTACATTTTGTTGGAATTTATCACCAGAACATTGTTTTATGAATGGTCGTGTACTATACCCTTATATATATATATATATATATATATATATATATTGCAAACGCATTGCTAATTATGCGGTAGAATATAAGGGACAGTAAGTCGTCACTATTTCAGTATTAATTTCCTTGTTTATTTTATGATGGTTTTGGGGATATTTCAAAATTTCAACAGTGTACTGCAAATTTTTTTTTCTCTCAATGAAAATTTCGACGCAGTTTCGTCTACTGTGATTTCGCACCGTACCAATGTCATATTGTATTCGGCATATTCTAGCTGGATACTACTATACTTTCTCAGTTTACAAAATTTAACCATGAAATTCTTAATTTGAGAAAAAAGAATTTGCCATGAAGTTAAACTCAATTTGTCGATCACATGTCGTAAAGTTAAAGGGTCAAATATAGATAGCAGTTAAAAGACTAATATAATTTACAATATTTAACGATAGATTTTTGAGAAGTTTATTTTTCAATCCGTTAGTGACATGATGATAAATTTAACGAAATGAGTGATCAACGAAGAAACAATCAAATATTAATTTATGGTTCATGTTCAGAAAAAACTTCAGAAGTTATATTCATATTTACTATTTATTTTTAATATTAGTATTTTAAATCCTGAAGTTTTCTGTTTTGGTATATAATAATTTGTGGACCGGACCAGACGTGATATTGGGTGGCCGAGAGGTTGCAGCAGGTGTTCAGGTATGCAAACTTATCAAAGGGAATATTTAATTTGTACATCACTACTTACATATACTTCTTTTGCGCTTTGATATGGAATTACAAAATGCCATTTTGAAATTTTTAAAAAATATATTTTAAGATAAAAGTGAATCATTAAATCTAGTGCGACAGAAAAATGTTCTGTTATAGTGATAAGTTATCTTGTCACGTTTAAGAATGTGAAAAATGGAAAAACAAGAATATGATATGCGAAGTACGGATTGGTGCAGAACTCAGAATGAAATCTCGTTCATGCATTCATGTAATATTCTAGGAATAATGCTTAGATTTGTGCCGACAAAATGAGAAATAAATGGTGTGTTTTAGAAATTCGAAAGTTAGAATAAAAAAGAATGGACGAAACGACTAATGTTCAAAAATAGATCTTGCACTTAAATTCATCTAACATCTATTTAAATTACCAAAACAATGGTTTTATAAAGATTGACTCGTCTATTTAATAATTTCAGAAATCTCACGCTTCTTCTACATGCCTACCAATTCTCAAATTTATTTACAAATATCTAGGATAATTGCCATAATAATATTCATAATGCCATTGATTTTATCACCTTTTCTATCTAAGCCATTGTTATCACTTATCACCTTGTTTAAGGGAACTTTAGATACAGGAATAGCAGTATCAATTTTAATTAAAAAATAGATTAATAATCACATTTTTTCGGAATAATCTATGTGAATCATAGAGCTAATCGTGTTTGATCGTATACAAAACTCTATAGAAAACATTCGTGTGATATGCACAACGTATAACTATCACTTATCAGCCATATGAATTTTTTTTTGTCAGTTGTCATTATCTAATCTTCATAATACACATTAGGAGCACTAAGTTTGACCAAAACTGAGAGAAAATTCACATGAAAGCATCTTAAATTTTAGAACATTAAATATTTTCTCACAAAAAAGTGGTCTGAATATTTTCTTTTTATCAACTACACACATAACTGCTGTAAAGTTAGAAGGAAAGCATTCTCAACCTCTGATTTAGAGAGCTTCTCTGCTGAGCTCTAGTGGGTTCGATCCACTTGGTCCTTTTTTTCTGACCATTACCGTGTTAGTAGTGGAGCTCGTAAATAAAAAATTAAAACAATATTTAGTCTTATATTCGACCTACATAATATCAATTTGTACATATATATTCTACCTAGCTAGATGAATAGCCATCCATCAATTTAACTATCTGAAGTACGAAAAGTACTGACCATCACTTTTTATATTTTCAATTTTATATCATTAAAAATCAAGACATCCAGATAAAATATTGGTTTAGATGCAAGCCTAGTCAGCAATGAAAAATCTGTCGTTTCACAAAACAAGCTTTCGTCTACCTATAAATATAAGCCTTGACTATCCCACTTAAGCACCACTCATCACACCCCAAAAGTTTTACGAATATAAGGCAATTTCTCACGTTGTAACTTCTTTGAGATTCTCAATGGAGATGAACTTGAATGCTCAAGAGAAGAAAGCAGGGTTCTTACAAAGGGTTAAGGCTTTCCTTAGCAAACTCAAAGATGGTGTCACCAAGCGCATAAGAAATATTCAAAAGTTTGGGAAAGATGATCCAAGACGGATCATCCATTCCATAAAAGTGGGATTTTCTCTTACATTAGTATCAATGTTGTACTATGTACGGCCACTCTATAATAGCTTCGGGGTTTCGGGTATGTGGGCAATACTAACTGTAGTCGTAGTCTCCGAATTCACTGTTGGTAAGTCTACTAAACCAAATGAATCCTAGTACTGTGACAAAGTAAATTGAAAAAGTATACATTGAGTATTTTGCTAAAACAAAAGCTAACTAAAAAACATTTTATCTTATAGGTGGGACACTTTCCAAAGGTCTAAACAGAGGTTTTGCAACATTAATAGCTGGTGCCTTAGGGGTTGGTGCAGTACACCTTGCTCGATTCTGTGGACACAAAGGAGAACCGATTGTTCTTGGGATCTTAGTGTTCTCACTGGGCGCAGCTGCAACATTTTCGCGGTTTTTTCCAAGGATTAAACAGAGATATGACTATGGTGCTTTGATATTCATACTCACATTTACTATGGTTGCCGTTTCGGGATACCGTACAGATGAAATATTGGTTATGGCGTATCAAAGAATATCCACTATTCTTATTGGTGGAACAATATGCATCCTTGTGTCCATCTTTGTTTGTCCTGTATGGGCAGGCGAAGATCTCCACAAGATGATTGCTAACAACATTAACAAACTTGCTAATTACCTAGAAGGTGATTTACATAATCCAACATTTTGATCTGCTTTCTGCTAACTAAATAATGTACAAAATATCCTATATATATATAGATCTTCAACTTATGCATGCATACATGTTTTATACAAAAAGGTTTCGAGGGGGAATATTTTGCATTACCGGAGAAGATTTCAAAGGAGACAAACTCGTGTGTTCGAGAATACAAAAGCATTCTTACATCAAAAAGCACTGAAGATACTTTGGTACATATATATATATATATAGAGAGAGAGAGAGAGAGAAAGAGAAAGAACCATATATAATAAACATTCTTGTACATTATAACTAATTAATGATCGGAACTTTTTTTTTTGTTTTAATTGCAGGCGAATCTTGCGAGATGGGAACCGGGACACGGCCGATTCAGGTTACGGCATCCATGGAAAAATTACATGAAGATTGCAGGACTCGTTCGCCAATGCGCCTTCCATTTCGAGATTCTCAATGGCTATATTCTCTCTGACGTTAAGGTTCGTCGTCGGGAATCACATTTTTTTTAGTTTGTTATACAAAATCATTTACTTATTACATTAAAAAACTGAATTGAAAAGTGAACTGATTTGTTTTATTTATTTGTCATTAGTCACCCGATCGAATCAGTTCGTAGAAAGAAAAAAAAAAGTACGTAGAAGATACCTTTCTTTCTAATTCTTTTGGTAAATATAATAAGATTTTTTTATTTTTTTGGAACATTAAGAAGATGTGGCTGACGTAATTTTTGTAAAATAGTGTAGAGTTTTGGTAAACGTGTGTATATTTGTTATGTCGTATGCCGTTATTAAATAATTTATTCTCTTTTCTTCGCCCTCCACCCGCAATATGACACACACATGCCATTAATAAGCTTGTATGATAACTAGGTGTTTTATTATAACCTATCAAGATTGCGTATGAAATGTCAACGCCCTAAACAGGTATTTTAAAAAAAATATATATAAAGGCCTTAAATGACTAAAATGCTAATAATACGCATATTTGCAAAAATGCCTAATAAGTATTTAACAAATAACTAATGGTTCGACGAAACAAAATATTAATAAATTGCATGTTACTTTTACTTGTGATGCAAGCAGGCACCGGAAGACTTCATAAGCAAGATTCAAGAGCCATGCTCGATTATGAGCAGAGAAGCTGGTGAAGCGCTAAAAGCCATAGCCAATTCAATCAAAACAATGAATAACGATAGTGTCTGTGTGAATGCACACATTGAAAACTCCAAAAAAGCGATAGAAAATGTAAAGTTTGCATTCAAATCGTCTTCTACGGAGACAGAGAAAGATCTATTAGAATTCATTCCCGGAGTCACAATGGCATCAATCTTGGTCGAGATAGTGAATAGCGTCGAGAAGATCTCTGAGGCTGTGGAAGAATTCTTCGGCCTGGCACACTTCAAAGAGACGTTGGATCCAAAACTATCACCGGAATTAGAACAACAACATCATCATCATCTAATTCACAGGGGGAGTGTAAAGCCGGTTCTAGAGGGTGACAACGAGGAAGAATACAGTAGCTCTTCTCATGTTCTTGTCATTGTCCATGATGAACAGCCACCAACAACTAACGAGAAGACAAATTTGGGAGCAGAAAAGACGAGAGATAATGTCGTGTAAATATGTTTTTCATTCAAGACTTCATGAAATCAAAATAAATTATAAATAGTAAAACCGCAAAAAGTAAGGATCTTTACTCTGAGGACTTACGGTAACTGAGAAACGGGTTTGGATTTTAAGGCTTAAGCATGAAGTTAAATATTTTCATCGATTCATTGTACAGTACTAATATAAAACTATGCATTAGAAAACTTCAGTTGGAGGAGAATCTGATTTTCAGTGTGAAAACAAATCCATTTTGAGAGCATCGAACAGCACGCTATTTGTGTGACTAATGTAAGATTATGTTTCTAAAGAATCTAAACTTTCTACTCGCACAATGCGAAAAACCAAAAGATGCAAACTCAAAAGATTCGAAACTAACTGAATTCAGTTATTTCACATGTCACTGTAATACGCTTTGTATTAGCATTTAGCACTCTACAAAAATAGCCAACACAAAATGACATACCTACTACCTTTCTATTAACAAACGACATTCAACAACTATAATGAATAATAAACGTAAGGGTTTGGTTTAACAAGTCAAAAATAGATATGTGGAGAAAAAGAAATCTACCAGCCAAAGATTGGCTTGTGAACTTGAGGTGGAACAAGATTCAGATCCTTGCAATGTTGCTTATCATAGTCTTTTGTTCTTGGTGTTGCTCCACTGCATAGTCTCAAGAAATCGTTTCCTGTGAGAACATAGTGTGTGAATGCCAATCCTCCATCGATTACCTCGTTAATGCTTGGAACCGATCTCGATTTTCTCATCCTTCTTCTTCCTCCATCTCCATCATTTAAGATCTTATCGAGATCCGAATACTCCATGAATCTCTGTGTCGCTGCTTCCCAAGAAAGATTGTACATTTGCTCAGGAGTGAGCGGTAACGGCTCTTTCGACATCGCTTCTTTCACTTTCGACACAAAGTCTTCGGATGTTTTGTAAGTTAGACAGTTTGGGAATGTTCTAAAAAACTCGTTCGAAGGATGATCTGCACACACCACGAATTTCCCCATGGCCAGTGCTTCTGCGGTTGCTGTGCATAGAACATCGCTGATGCTAGGGTTTATGAACACTTTGTACCTTCATTAAGACGAGGGAGAAACAATCATGAGTTACACATTAGAAAAATCTAAAGAACAAACCCACATTTTTTCAGAACTTACGTGTGAAGAGAATCGTCCGCGTGGTCCCTTCCTTTGAGGAAATTGAGATTCAAATCGAGTTTCTGTGCTGCACGCTGGACCTCGATTGCATCTTCACCGTTTCCATACACATCTAAATTGAAGCTCCCCAGGTCGCTTTTGTGTTTAGCCATGAGGTCTATTAGTTCTCTGTATCCTTTAGCCCACACCATTTTGCCTAAGAAATATGCGCCTTTTGAAAAAGCTTGTTCCCCACGGGATCTTTCTTCAGCAATTTTCTCTCCAATCATAAGGAACTTGGGATTCACACCATGGACATTGCACACAACAGATTTTGGCAAATCTTGTGTTGCCCCAGAGAGGCGAAGAACCTTTCATGAGCGGAGAGAATATGTATCAGCTCATGTACTATTATTATTAAAGAGGATTCAAGGAACAGAACAAAAGCTTGAAAAAAGAGATGTTAGAAAATTCACCTTGTCGCAATATGCTCGTGTGACCCAATTGTTTACATGGTTCACAAAAAATGCTTGAAGCGCACCATGTTTTTCCCTCTTGATGTACTCTAAGTAGTTTGTGTGGACAATTCCAACAACATGGTTGAATTTATCGGTCCAACGCTTGCCGTGATGATACCAGTTGAGATGTTCGGGCTCTTCAAGAATAGCGATGTCAGCATCTTTTGACGGTATGAACTGAGAGGTGTCACCAGCTGGGAATATGCTGCGCCTTTCTTTTGAAAACTGTAAGAAACCAGAAAACTCAGTCATTCTCAAGTAACACTAGAAACACATATTGGTAGTAATAAAAAAAAAAGATTAGGATCCAATATGATCAGCTTACCTTTCCCGGGTAAAACGAGATTTTAAAATCAGCCTTGAAACCAATCCTTTCCTCCAACCATTTACGTATGTAACTCTCCTGTTCTTCAGGTGAACTGAAGGTGAGATTGTTTGGATAAACTAGTTCTTGATCAGATTCACAAAGCCAAGGAACCACGAGTGTAACACTCTGTTTTGCAGATTTTGCCAAATAGGCAGCTCGGAATAGCGGATTTACAGCTGTTCCAGTCATCCAAGGAAGACTAGCTGTTGTAACGATTGCCACGTGTCTTTTGCTTTCTGACGTCTCAGGCTTCAGAAAATCAGTCCAAAAGCCACCATCATAATGGTGTCCTGTGCTCTGAAGAACACTGGCTATCCTCATATCCAAATCATCAACATGGTTATCATGTTCCATTAAATCGGCTGCTTGTGCAGATGGCAGACGCCAAAGGTGTTGACTCTTGCATTTGCAAAGGTTTTCTACTATTCGGTCGCACATGTCTGAAAGACAATTTCAGTGGAGCCAAATCAGGGACTTAGTTTCTCATGCAACCACCAAAACAAGCAACCCTCCAAACAAAGATCCTCTAATATTCACCACTAAATGAAGAGAAAAATGCAATACGTGCTTACCTTTTCTTACACCAATCTGATCAAGAAAGGGTTCAGACTGCCTAACCAAACATGCCAAAAGTTCAGGTACATCCAAAGGGGGCACATCCTGCACCAAAAGTTAAAAGAGGCCACGTCAAACTCCCAATTTAACACTGAACTAATGTCTACCTAAAACATATGAGGTAACAAGAAAAACCCAACAGGTTAACATGTTATTGTAAACAAAATCCAGAAAACAGATGAGTGAACAATCTCAAATATTATGGGTACAAGTCTTGTTAGTGCACAGAACACAATCAAATATAAACAGAGTTCCTACTTCAAATACCAACCTTGGCCTCATCAGTTTCCTTGTAAATTGATTTCTGCAAATATAACAGAAGACAAAACACTATTAGAAAGTTTGCAAAATACCATAAGAAACTCGATCAAAAACATTCCAAAAACAAACACATCATGTCAAGCATTTGACGATGAGTTGCTATAAAATTGAGAGTAAAGTACAAGAGAAGCGACTTCTGTAGTAAGCTAGAAACTTCTGATTCTCTAAAACCTCAGCTGATTGCAAAATTTGACTAAGTTTCTAATGAAATTAATCAAACAATTGAAGACAGTTCCCAAAACTACGGAGATTAAACATGTACGAGACTTACAAAGCTGGTTTTGAGCTTCTCCACAAATTCGCTGTTCTTGAATCCACTCAATATTTCTAATGAGCTCCGTTTCTCAAACTCTTTAAATCTAGTTTTCAAAGACCTAATCGGTTCCCAATCTCCGAAATGAGCTTCTCCCTCTCTCTCAGGCTCCGCGAAAAACTCTGTAAACCTAACCCTATCACTATTACGCCGTCTCCTCATCCTACCCATCTCTAAAACGCCCTGACGCTCATCCAGATCCATCTCAGACACAATCGCGTTCTTAATCGCCGATAGATCGATTCCCAGCTTCGCCCTCGCTGGTCCCCACCTCTCCATGACCTTCCGGCTAATTTCCGGCGCCGAATAAACCCTACGGAACTCCGATATCTTCGGCTGAAGCTTCTTCATGATTCCAATTTCACTGGAGAAGGACGACGCCGATGGCGGCCCAACGGAAAACGCAGACCTCGCCGAATTATTAAGGAAATTCTCGATCTCACGGTCGAACGTCGATGCTAGATTCTTAACAGAGTTAGCTCGATCCCTCATCAGCTGCAAATCCGCATCCGCTGAGTCCCATACCTCCCTCCATCCTTTCGACAAGAACGATAACGCGTTCGTCGAGGACATCGTCATCGACAGAGACGAAGAAGAAGACGCAATCCCGGTATTCGCCGGAGGATTTTCACTCTCATTTACCATAACTTGAGGGTTTTTCGTTTCGTCACGACGATTTCGTGAAAGTGTTGGGGGTTTCTATCTGTTGAGAATTGGGGAAGAAGGAAGAGAAGAAGAAGAAGAGGAGAGAATAACAAAAGGTAAGGAACTGACGGCTGAGATTAATTTGGATGAGTTTATGAATTTTCTCTTTCTCTGTATTATTCTGGAAGGATATAACACGTGGAAATTAAACAAGTCGGACGATGGCAGCTTATGAAGCCTTGACCCGAGGCTGACCTGGCATAAGTCCCACTGATGAATGACGTGGCGTTCAGTAATTGGAGGACCGGATTATCCGATTGTGTCGGATTCACTTAGGAATATGCTGGATTCTAAAGAATCCGGTCCTACGGGGCATGGGCAGAGACAATGACATCACAAAAGAAAAAAAAAAAACATAGGAAAATGATATCAGTGGACTTATTTGGGAGCTTGATGAAAGCCCATTTAAGGCTCAAAATGATCGCCGACGTAACATACAGAATGAACCAACGTACGCGCCACTTGGAACTTTTTGACTGGTTGTCAGAGACTCAGAAAATCAACGGTCAGATGCTCCTCGAAGTGAAATCAGGCTTTCTCCCGGTAACATTTCGGTTCAATTAAACCGAACTTAACATCTTTCATTAGTTAAACAGTACTAAAACATTCTGGTTTACAATCAAGGGCCTTGTGCATACTATATTGCAGTTCAGACTTCAGTGTATTGATATACACTTTGTTTCGGTTTGACTACTTTTGAGAATTTCGGTTTGTATTCAGTTCACGTTTTTGTAGTATGATCTAGAGACATATATATTTAATCCAATCAAATTAACTATATATTTTAAAAGAAATTAAAGTTTTAATCCAAATGCATTAGCCCCATAATCAATATACAACAACAGCAAAGAAAGTACTTGATGACACGGGGGAGATAATCATGATTTCAAATTGATAAGACTTAGCTTTTTGTCTATATCGTATGAAAAGCCAATCCAATCGCATAAACTACAACACCACGCAACGAAAATCGCCTAACAATTTTTGTAATTAATCAACTCAAAACTAGACGAAATTCGAACACATGGAACACCGAGTTCTATATACATATAATGTTCATTTCGGTAACAACAAACACTACAAGAAAACATGCTGAATTCTTATGAATTTTCCTACTAGAAAATGTTTTTTACCATTTTCCTACAAATTTATGATAAAAATTAGAAATAGTAGGAAATTGATAAGAAATTTCCTATGATAAAAATCGTCGAAAAACGGTCAAAATTTTCTTACCAATATTCAACCAAAAAAATATTCGTAGGAAATCTGATCAGAAAATGGTAGAAAATCGATAAAAAATTTTACTGTGATAATGGTAGGAAATTCGTCGAAAATTTCTGACCATTTTTCTACAAATAGAATATGTAGAAAATTACCTATCAATTTCTTACTAAGCAAATATTTTATTATTTAAATATCCTATCAATTTCCTACCAAAATCAGTCAAAACAATAAATGGGAAAATTCTCACATCGACAAACCAAAGTGGAAGACACATTGAATATGCTCTATAAATAGTGACATATCTTAACTAGAAAAAATACTAAGTGAATTAATATAATTTAGCATTTAGAAGTTCCATATTTAGTTAAAATTAATTTTTAATTAGTTTTTAATTGGGCTGATTAATTTAGATTTAATTTTTATAATTTATTTAATAATTAAAATTATTTAATTTTAGAATTAATTGAATTAAAACTGTTTTTATATATCTAGTAAAAAATTGGTAGGAATATGGTAGGAAAATGTTTGTAGGAAAACGGTTGAATTTTTTCATAGGAAAATGGAAGGAAAGTAATAGCAAATATCCTACGATATTCTGACCAATTTTTCCGATGAAATTTTCCGACCAAAAGTTTCGTAGGAAATTTTCTATCATTTTCTGACCATTTATAATTTCCGACGGCATAGAACCTACCAAAATTTTTCGTCGGAAATTGGTAGGAAATGCCTGTTTCCTACCATTTTTTGATGATATTTTTTGTAGGAATACCTGCTCTTTTTTCTTGTAGTGAAAGTAAACAATAACCAAGCCGGAGTTTCAATGAACCAACTCAGTTAAAATAAGTGGAGATGCTGCAACAACTCAGAACTTGGAAAATATATGGAGATGCTGCAGTTATACCAGATGGAGATGATAACAGAATGTTTCAACCACTAACCTCGATGATTGTTCCTCTGGTCATGACAAATGTACATTGGGCCGTTAGGGTTCTTCTTTATTCCAATGATATCAAGATGTATTTTAGCTCAGTGTATGTAACGCGTGAGCCTTGGTAATACGCAACTCAGATGGTCGAATGGAACGCTCGCTCTCATACTTTGGTGTTTCCTAGTGAAACCAGGTCCAGCAAATGTAGCTTTTGTTACCATCCTCTTCCATTGATTTGCTGCAATTCACATCCGTTTGTTACTATTCATCATTGAAACTAATCTGGATCCAAACAAAACTCATTTCTAGCATCTATATTAGTGGATGAAAAACAATCTAAAAACTCAAGGCATGATGTGAGATCAATAGAGCATCTGAAAGGGAAAGAACCAGTAGCCTATGATGATATATCAATGAAAGACAAATCTGATTTAAAAGCAATTCAAGCATCTATATCACTACACACGGCCAAGAAACGAAATATTTGGCCGAAGATGTCAAAGAAAATTCTTGCTTTTCCTCTTCCCCGAGTGGATAACTCTAAACATTTCATCTTCAGTCAGTGGCGGAACCATGGCTGCTTAGGATCGATCAAATGGTGAGTGAAAAGCGAGGGAAGGGAAAGATAGGGTTTTGTTGGAGTGCTCTACACTCTAGACTGGTCGGCTCGGGTAAATATGTAATTTTGTAATATATTATTTATCTTAAATAAATGTTGTTTTGTTGGACATACAGTTGAATGAAACTTACACATTACATTTTTTAAGATAAATAATATATTGTAATATATTGATACCAGTTGAGATGAAATTATAATTTCATTCATTGTAATATATTGTAATATAATTTCATTCATACCGTGATCATACCGATATCAATTACAATTAATTAGTGCCCTCTTAAAAGTATTTTTTGTTCCTAATATTACAGCACAATGTTAAGAGCAATTGTTGTAATTATTAATCAACGTAACAAGACAAAGAAAATGATGGACAAGTGGTTGTTATCCTTTTGGCAACTAGTGTTAGGTTACTTACGTCCTCTTTTCTATCTATTATGGGAGACTACGTGGATAAATAAAACTTTTTTTTTGTTTTTCTTTGAAATGAAACTTTTTTTATATTTCAGTCTCTATGAATTATTAATCCATACATGATACATGTATTACAATACATTTGATCATTTAATACTTAAGCTAGATTATATTGTACTCTAAATTCTTATCACTAAATTAACAAATAGTTGGTGGTGAAGATCATCAACCCATGTGATAGCTCCAAAGATCTACACTTTTTATGTATCTCTAAGTTTAGTGCCCAAATCATTTTGCATCACATATTGATTAGAACAAAAAAAATTACTTAGTCTATAACGACTGATTTGATCGGTCGACTAAGTCATAGAAAATCAATGCTAGAAATGACTAAGTGTGCAACGATTTTGCAAGACCACATAACGATGTTGAACTACGATATACATTTAATCATTTTAATTTATTTAAGTTATCACATTTTTAATAAAAATAATAATTTGTTGGTTTTCGTATTTATTTGTGTTTACGTTCACTCCTTATAGTTATACATGTTATGGGAAATGAAATATGTTATATCTCTAAAAATGTGTATCTTTAATATATATATATATATATATATATATTTATTTATATCATGTGTAAATGAAAAAACAAAATCAAGCGTTTAAAACATTTGAGTCCATATGTATTTTTAATTCAAATCAAAGCATTCAACCATTGTTATTGAAGTTTTTATAAAGTTTCAACTTTTCGAATGAGGAAGCTGAAAGTGAAATATTTGGAGCCGATGAGAAAATCTTCGACCACACATAAAGTCATCTTTCTAGAGAAAACATGCACCGACTATATCAATCATAGTCCAATTAACGATCAGCATTTCTAGAAATACAGAAAATATATCCAATCATACATAATTAACATGATATTCAAACAATTAACAAGATATAAATTTCTATATACCAAATACATAACTTTATATTAAAAAATAATACATAACGTTTACACGATGAAAATGTCATGATGTTGCTTTTATTTTGGGTCTTAATAAAAAAAGCCTTTATAACACTACTATTAGTTCGATATTAATAAGAAAAGAATGTCTTTATTTGCATATCACTCTCCTCCTATAAAGCTGACATACAAATTATACAATTAGGCAATTGGCCCATTATTACACATCATATCAAATAGATAATAAAAAAAAATCTCTAAACAACTTCTCTCCACTTTCGCCTCACCACCACCACCACCATGACCTCTAAAGACTGTGGCTCCCACACTCACTCTCGCCGGAAACTAATCCGGCGAATAATATGGTCAATAATCTTCATCCTCTTCGTAATCTTCCTAACAATCCTCCTCATTTGGGCAATTCTCCAACCTTCAAAGCCACGTTTCCTCCTCCAAGACGCCACCGTCTACGCCTTCAACGTCTCCGGCAATCCACCCAACCTCCTCACCTCCAACTTTCAAATCACTCTCTCTTCCCGGAACCCTAACGACAAGATCGGCGTTTACTACGACCGTCTTGACGTCTACGCTACTTACCGGAGCCAGCAGATCACTTTCCGAACATCAATCCCTCCGACATATCAGGGACACAAAGAAGTCAACATCTGGTCGCCGTTTGTCTACGGAACCTCCGTTCCCGTCGCTCCTTTTAACGCCGTTGGTCTCGATAACGATCAAGATAACGGCGCCGTTATGTTGATTATTCGTGCTGAAGGTAGAGTGAGGTGGAAAGTTGGGACTTTTATTACCGGGAAGTATCATCTTTACGTGAGGTGTCCGGCGTATATTAACTTCGGTAATAAAGCTGCCGGAGTTATTGTTGGAGATAACGCCGTTAAGTATACGCTTACCAATAGCTGTAGTGTTAGTGTTTGAAACGGCGACGGAGCGAAAACACAAATCAGGTAACTAACGGCTCCGTTAAATATTATAGTCTCTTCTTCTTAATGTGAATTGTACTTTTTGCTTATACGATAGCAAATATTACAGATTCGTGATGATGTCCAAAAAAAGAAAAAATTATAGATTCGTGATGTTGTTGTAACGAGATTTAAGAATTTAAATATGCATACTTTATTATTGTTACATTCTAAAATCTATTTTAAGTTGCTATTTTCATAAAATATATTTCCGGTGAGTAAGATGCATCTTGTGATCCTGTCAAATCGACTTTTGCTTGTATCTTTTTTTGATGATTTTTTTTAGTAGTCGGTAAAGTTGGACGGCGACAGAAATTAAAATTTAATCGAATAGATCATAACTCGTTAATGTTTTGTGGACGTTGTGTTACGGTGTCATTGTCCATATATATGTCTCCATCTTTTTCTTAAATTAATTCAAGATCCATTTTCCTATATCTGTACAATATTCCACAACGTATAAGAAAGTTCAAAAAAGAAAAATTGTGTGGATTGGCTTTATTTTAAGTCATCTTTATGGAATTGCAGAATTTGTTGGTCTATATATTAATGATGTAAATTGCTTAATATATGACTTTCTTGCCATACAGAGCACTTCCTACAAAAAAAATTGCGTCACATTCAAATAAAGTTAGTTTACATGACGTTACTAAGGGGTTATCGTGAGTATTCTTGGATCTTGAAATGAGAAAATCAGGATCCGGTACCGACTCTTACAATTTACAAGAATTTAGCTAACAATTTTCTTATATTCTTTTTCCAAATTATAAGTTTAATTAATAGTCACTTAGACTGGATATTTTGTATTTACCTGCCTCCACGATTCAAGAGACTATGTGACGTAGGATCATCGCATGGCTTCTCATCAAGACTCAACAGCTCTGGACGCATCCGAGAAGACTAATTTCGTGCTATGTCTTAATTTAAATTTAAAACATGGTCCTTATAATTGACCAAAGAAAGGGGAATATGGTCCCTTGAAAATTATTATTAAACAGTTTAGTAAAATTGATCTTAGATACGTTTGTGATCAGCAAACGTTGACGAAGACAGCCAGTAACTCACGGTACGTCGGGATGGAGTTATGTAGTATAAATTAAATTAAACCACACAGTCTTTCTTACTTTATAAAAAAAATTATATCAATATTAATCTTTTTGATATTTTTTTTGTTTTATTTGACAGACTAAACTCATCAAAGTTCTTCGGTGGGTTTTTAGTTTTTACTTATCCAAGCGGTTCTGGACAATCGATATGGTGGTGTTTGTTAAAGTTGTCTGTTTCAATCAAGAGAATGTCTACTTTAATATGAGGATTGTACAATCCAGTTTCTTAAATTTATACCTCGGATTTGACGCACATGACATGATATATTTATCGATTAAAATTGAGAAACCTAACCTTGGTGTTGCTTTTATATATAAAAAAGTGGATTATGAACGTGGTATGTGGGCTGTTCACTCACAGACACTAGCTACAATGTATGAACAAGACTCTGTCAACAGAAATAATTTTATAATAAAATGGCCTTTTTCACCTAACTTGGAAATAACTCATAACATTGAAAATTCCAGATAGATGATCAATAGGACAAATGCATACAATTTGGAGTTAATTAATATTGAGATTAGGACTTCGTGAATACATATAGTTAGCGTCTTAATGTTCATCTACTATTGGGCTTAGTCTATTTGTGTTGGGCCTAATTGTTGTTATGACCTATTGTCTTAGCCCTCTATAGCAACATAAGTTCTTATGCAACTCTGCACTGTTTACTTTATTCCTTATTAACAAACAAACTTGATAACAACGTCTATACTTAAACCTATTTTCTTGGAACTACACTTTTAAAAAAAAAAATCTTATAAATAGATTGCATTGTTTAATCGTCAAACAAACGGCTAGTTATCTCCTTAGTTTTGAAATGCTTGCCAATTGTTGAAAAAGCTTTGACCCACATTTCAAAGGCTACCTTTTTTATTGTAACAAAAAGTAACGGCACCTTTTTTTTCAAAAACTTAACCCTTGCTGGTTTAAGATTTAACCGGTCTTAGATTTATTTAGTATATTTAAGTTACTAATAATTTTCATCGCCAATAGTCTTGTCTTCAATCAGTAGCAGCAAAATTGCAGATTTGGGTTTCACAGTAAAGACAAAAAAAGTAAACAAAAAATTTAACCAAATCAGGCCACAATTTAATAAATAGCAACAAAAATAAATATACACGAGTAATCACGTCTTTTTGAATTCGTTTCCTTATAAAAAGACTCGTTACGTTACTCTACTTTTGACTTCAAAACACAATCTATTTCCTTTCTAATTACACACATTATATATCTACCCTCCTCTTCTTCTTCTTCACTGAACGATTCGTAGTCTTAGATATCTGTTTTCATTTCTCTCTGAGACATATCGTCGAACAGATGGGAGACAGACAGCCATACCTGAACGGCGGATACTACGGGCCATCGATTCCTCCGCCGGCGAAGACCAAACGCCGATACAACACGCCGGGATTCGGATGCTGCTGCTTCAGCTGCATCGGTAGCTGTTTACGCTGCTGCGGTTGCTGCATCCTAAGCCTGATCTGCAACATCCTCATTGCCGTCGCCGTAATCCTCGGCATCGCCGCCTTCGTTCTCTGGCTCATCTTCCGTCCCAACGCCGTCAAATTCTACGTCACCGACGCAAATCTGAACCGATTCAGCCTCGATTCGAACAACAACAGCAATCTCCACTACGATCTCGATCTCAATTTCACAATCCGTAACCCCAATCAACGAATCGGAGTCTACTACGATGAGATCCAGGTCAGTGGATATTACGGCGACCAGCGATTCGGCTCCGTAGGCATATCGCCGTTCTATCAAGGACACAAAAACACGACGGTGATTGGGACCAAAATCGAGGGACAGAATCTGATGGTGCTCGGCGACGGAGCGCGAGCGGATGTGAAGGAGGATGAGAAAGCCGGAGTTTACCGGATCGATGCGAAGCTGCGGATGAGTGTTAGGTTCAAGTTTTGGGTGATAAAGTTGTGGAAATTCAAACCGAAGATTAAGTGTGATGATCTCAAGATCCCTCTCGTTTCCTCTAATTCATCCAGCGGGTTTAAGTTTCAAACTATCAAGTGTGACTTTGACTTATCTTAGTCAACTCCCAGTTTTTTTATGAATTGTTCTCATGTTTTTTTGTTTTTTTTTTTGTTTCGTTCTTCTAGTATTTGGCTTAAGATTGTAGAACTTGATTAATCCATATGGCTTATGTGGGGTGTTTATGTTGATGGAGCTAAAGATATATTCTTGCTTGAGTTTTTTGTATTTATTCACATTGCTAATCCACGTTTTAGAGAATTGCGGAATCAAGATCCGCCATTAATACAGTATATGGCAAATGCCTATATGGAAGATAAATTATGGCAACCAACTAATTTGAAAACCGAACCGTTTCATCAGCAACTCACTTTTGAATATATAGATTACACCAAAACTATCAAACTCAAGGTTAAAGTGTTCCGAATAGATAGATATAGCCAAGCTCACACGCAGGAATAAAATATCTTATTTTACAAAATTAAGTTTGATGAATCACTGTTTATCCGGAATTATATATTTAAATATACTTCTTGACAAAAACAAAAAAAAATCTTAGTTAGATAATATACATATGGTTATACAAAAGTCATTCATATTCAGGTGAGATATATGATTTCTTTCCATTTTGACGAATTCGTATAAACAATTAATAAAAACGAATTGGATTGCTATTATTCATGCAAATATCAAACTAAATCTAAATGACAGAGTTTTGCACATATTTCGATATTCTGCAGTTGAAAACGATTAACACAAACTATTCCAAGTTATTTGAACATTCCCCTAATTCCAAATATGCCGAGACTCTTTCTCGAAACCTCACACAACTTTCAATAATTGGAGCTCCCAGTGTTAAACCATCGAGTAAGACCAATGGAAAACGAAAAGCTTAGCCAAAGATATCAAGGAAATTCATGGTTTTCCTCTCCCCGAATCTGATAACTCTAAACAATTCTATCTTCAACAATATAACAAACTTCAGTTTCAAAAGAAAATAAAAAAACAATATAACAAACCTGAAAATGAGAAAAGTTTTTTTCTTTTTTAAGAAAGAAGGAGAATCAATTAGAAAATAAATGTTACTTTTGTCAGACGAACCCCTATTTTCCAGCTTATTCCTATTTACTTTCCTTAATGGTGTTGTTAAGAACGTATGTAGAGGAAACAAAGAAATTGATACATGCAAGATGCATTGCCTCAGACCAATATTCAGCATTGTCCATATTCACTCAAAACAATACTTAAGTCAAGAAAATGTGTTTGGTGAACATGCATGAGCGTTTTACGAAATAGCACATGCTCGATTCTTAGTTTGAGTTGGTTCATACCATTTTTTGCTAGTTTTATATTTAGAACAAAACTAGCTTCCACTGAGCTTGAAATCTATGAACAGCCGCAGTTTATCTGAGATAACAACATAAATTTATGAAAGGGAGGGTACTAGTTATTGTTTAATTTTGTTTCATAAAATTAAAAGTATGATAACGATATCTTATAGTTATAAGATTTAAACTGATCTAGTAGTTCGAGATATAAATTTTACAGTGATTAGATGTGTATCTACATTATAATGAACATTTTATCATCCTGTTCATGCGACAAAATCACTAGATAGTGGATTAATTGATAAAGACGGAAATCAACATGAAAGACGAGGATGTATCGCATCGCACACGACACTTATCTTTCAATTTATATTTTTGGATTTTGAGAATCTGCAAACTAAACTGAACCGATTTCAAGGATTGACTGAGTAGTAGATATATGGTAGTGTTGCGAATTTTGGTTTGTGTTCAATTTACGTTTTTCGAGTATGATCTAACGATATATTCAATCTAACCAAATTAACTATTTTTAAAAAAATTGCTTCGTTTTTCTGATTAAAAAAGCCAATCCACATGCATTAGCTCCATAATCAATATACATAACAATGGCTAAAGTAAGCACTTGAGGACACGCGGGAGAGAATTAGGATTTCAAATTGATAACAATTTGCTTTTTGTCTGTATCGTATGAAAAGCCAATCTAAACGCCTAATCCAAGAGGTCTGGAACCTGAGCCCAACCTTTAACAGTATCGACACCAGCCAAATCTAGGAGCTGAAAAGAGACCTTAAAGCCCTTAAACGAATCATCTGCCTCCCTCCTTCGGGGGTTGGAGCCGGTCCAATCTACCCATGAATTTTGTGGAACATCTGGACAGCAAGGAATAACAGAGTGTTCAATGGAAAAAAATTCACGCCGCTGGAAACAATTACAAATGCGATAAAAAGAGGACGTGAATGGCATCTAGCACAACCGGGTTCATCATCGATACCTGCCACCACAAGAAGATCAGGACAAATCCAGGCTCAACGCAATTCCATCTGTTGCTTCTCCGATGGCGCGTGGAATGAAGACTCTCTAGTGGCATGGATTTTCAAAGACGAGAGTGGGAAAGTCTTTAAACAGACAGCGAAGCCAGAATTCCCGACTGGATCGGCGTTAGCGGCTGAGGCCCTGGCCGTCAGATCAGCGCTCCAGGACGCAATAAATCTGGGTCTTCAAAGGCTACACCTTGCTTCGGATGCTGCGGGGTTGATTCAAACAATCAACCAAAAGCAGAGTATTTCGGAAATACATGGCATTCTCCATGATATCCAAAATCTCACCTCTTGTTTTTCGGAAATTTCTCTCTCCTTTGTGCCTCGCGAAGCCAATTATTTGGCTGATAAACTTGCAAAATGTAGTCTAAGAGTGTTCTCTGAGACCAATTTGCCAAACCGGTCGGTTTAGGCTTAATGAAACACCTTTGAACAAAAAAAAAAAACGCCTAAACTACAACACAACTTAAAACTAGAAGAAATTCGAACACAAGGAAGGAACACCGAGTTCCTTAAAAATATTATGTTCATTACGGCAACAACAAAGTAAAAAAATAATCAAACCGGAGTTTCAATGAACCAACTCAATCAAAATAAGTTTGCTTCTAACATCAAAACAAAAACCAAAACAGAACCATCACATATACAACATGTGTATCAGATCGAGAGTTTAACAATGTCATCAATTGATCTTCACGACTCAAACCTACGTACGTAGTCCTATTTTTAACAAACATACGAGGTCTTGGTAAAATGCAAATTGCCGAAAAAAACTACGACAAAGTTGTAACCAAAAAGAAATAACAATTCCGACAAAATCCGTAAATAATTACTAAACTGTTCCACACCTAATTATATCTACACCATTGAAATTATGCAAAATTTTTAAGACATCTGAGAGCTTTGTAAATTGAAACAACAGCCCCTGCTGCTGCTGACGACGTCATACACATCGATGACGTCATCCATATCCCGACCAGAAGATGGCGAAGGAGTGAAGTACGGAGGAGAATCACACGGCGTCAAGAACGGGGTTGGCTCGCCGGAATAATTCACCGGAGGAATATCAAGCCGGAGTTCGCCGTCGTTATCCGCAGAGACCACATCGTCATCGTCGTCATCTTCCATTTCCAAATCATCTTCTTGGATCGTGAACAAAAGCCTTGACACTCGCCACTTGTCCGCCGCGGCTACATCCTCCTCCTCCGCCGTCGCAACGACATCATTCTCCTCCATCTGCACAGAAACATTTCCAGTTGGCTCAATACGAGATTGGTTCTTCTTCTTCTTGCAACACATGAAGAATTGGAGCAGAACCTCTTTACTTGCCGGAGACGGCGAGGGTCGACAGAAGATGTAAGAAAGCTCGGCGAGGAAGATGAGGAGGAAGAGGAGTAAGACGGCGAGGAGTACGGCGCCGGAGTTGGTGAGGGCATGCATCATCGTTAAGAAGAGAAAGGGTGATCGATCATAAGTGTGAAAAAAACAAAAAATATGTTACCGGGTCATAGTGTAGTTTAAGCGAGAGAGTTAACCGGAATTTACCGGTTACCGGTTGCTGCGAAGGAGGTGGGTTGATGGTGATGATGATTAATGATATTGGAACTTGTGGGCAGGGGACACATGAAGAACTTTTTACAGGTAGCATGCTGCTTTTTTAATGTTGTATCATTATTGCTATAGTTTTTTTACAGGTTTTCAGTCGTGGGATCTGTGTTTGAAAATGTGTTCATAAATTTTGTTTCTTAATGTATAGTATATAATATGCTCTGTGCTGCCAAGATTACAGAATGAGTGGTGAGTGCTATTCTCACTTTGTATTTACTTTACATTCTTCATTGTAATGTTGTCTGAACTGTTCTTGTTTTTCATATGAAACATGATTTTATGTGTATGTTTAATGATAACACAGCAGTTCATAAACGGATCTCTAAACATATGTATATCATGTTCTCTAGCTTAAGAAAATGGTAAAACGACTGCTAAAAGAATGCGTGCTGTAACATTGTATGTTGCCTGGACTTTTCATGATTTTTTAGCATTAATATGAAATATGCAAATGATTTATTAGTACAAATGTGTTGAAAAAGTAAAAAAGGGTAATAAAGAAACTGATTTATTCGTTTTGCAGTATGTATGCATAGTTGTATGTATGGAATATGACATGAGAATAAAATGTGTAGGCGTATCACAATAATGAAAAAGTTGAAAAAATAAAAGACTTCCCTCCATTAACGGAACAGTAAGGTTTATAGATTTCAGGAGAATGTGAGATTCAAACACAGCATTGTTTAGCGTAAAAGAAAAAAAAAACTCTGCTCACATATAATAAAGATGGTACCATTTGCTATCTTAGTAGCGCTTCTAAATAGCTGAGAAGTATTCTTTGCTGAGCTTGGGGTCAGGTTTCATTGACTTCTCCCCTGGTTTCCATCCTGCAGGGCAGACTTCATCGGGGTTTTCCTGGATGTATTGTAAGGCCTGCAACATCAAGAACGCATCATGCAAATGATAATCGGGTTAATGAAAGAAAGCACGGTTTTTGAGTAACTGGTTATTCGTATACCTGGAGGGTTCTCATTGTCTCATCAACGCTTCGGCCAATACCAAGATTGTTGATGGTGGAATGTTGGATCACTCCTTCCTTGTCGATTATGAAGAGCCCTCTCAGTGCTATTCCCTGTTTTCACCACACAAAAGTTATTAATTCCCAAACACCTTATAAAGTTACACATATAGTCAAGATTGAGAGGCTATCAATCTACCTGATCATGGATGAGCACTCCGAATGACTTTGAGATCGATTTAGTGACATCTGAAATAAGGGGATAGTTTAGATCACCAAGCCCTCCAGATTTCCTGTCTGTTTGCACCCACGCAAGGTGCGAAAACTACGTAGACACCAGCACAAAGCAGCAAGGATGAGTCAAGCAATTGCAAACAGATAAGAATATTGGAAAATATGATGATAACTGTATAACTTATATACTTACCACACTATCGACAGAGACACCTAATATTTCTGTGTTCAACTTCTCAAACTCTGCATGCCGGTCACTGAAGGCAGTAATCTCTACAAGCCAAAATATACCAAAAAAATGATTAGGACTCAGTGAACCTCAGATATTCGATTTCGATATAATTCTCAAACAATATTAACCTGTAGGGCAGACGAAAGTGAAGTCCAATGGGTAAAAAAAGAGAATCACATACTTCTTCCCAATGTAATCAGAGAGCTTAACCTGAAAACCACAAATTCAACAATTACCAATTAGATTCGAAAACAATAAGACACATACTCACTAATACTACTCATTTAGCTTCAAAACCTAAGCTTATGTCTCAGATATGTTTGACATTGTTGTAAGAAACTAATCAGGATGGAAAAAGGAAGGTTCTTTAGACAAGGTACCTTGATGAATTCCTGATCGAACACAGCCTCCGCCTCAAAATCAGGCGCCTTGTTTCCGACAAGTGGAAGATCATCCTATAATCATATACAAGGAAGAAAAATCGTTAACGCAACAGATTCTAAGGAGCAAGATAACTCAAATAAAAAAGCCAGAGAACCTATGTGCTGCCAAAACTACATAGAACACATATCGATCAGTCATGGAGTGTATCCTAAATGGCTAAATGTCACTTAATTTCACTAAACCAAAGAATTTTAAATCCATTTTCCTAAAGAACAAACTTGACAACCCTATGAACAAAACTAAAATTCTTAGAGAAAAATGTCACTAAATTTCTGGACTTTTAGTGAAATCTGCAGATAAGATGGTCAAAGAACCTAAACATAGAGCTAATTAGCAGGAACCAAGCAGGAACAGAATGAAGTCGTATAAAAGGCAAATGAATTCTGATTCCAATCACATCGAACGAAGAAAGTATCGGCATTGCGATGACTTACGGCCTGGGCTTTGACAGCAAAGCTCCTGCGAGAATTGGAGCGAATTGAGCTAAGGAAAGAGCGTCGAGCAGACCCGGAGCGGAGAGAAGCAGATGCGGAAGGAGAGGATAGGGTTCGAAGGAAAGAGACGGAGGAGGATTGAGTAAGCGAAGACTTGGCTGGAAAAACCCTAGTGGAGGAGATGAGAGTGGTTGAAGAAGCTACAGACGCCATTGAAAATACACTTTGTGACTCTCTCTCAAAGCGACGAAAAACTTATCTTTGTCAACGACCTCTCTTTGTAGTGGAAGTATATGAGGTGGAGATAAGCCTAAAGACCTCAAACACTCTAAACGACGTCGTATTCTCCAAAACGATGTCACATTGGCTGGCTTTGTAAATGTCAAAATTACGAGAGAGAAAAACAAATTTGTATTTCTAATGTTTAAATGCTGATTAAAAAAATATGCGATTCGGTCTTCTTCTACCTTCGGTAATTCCGTCTCTCCGCTGCTTTCTTCCTCCGATCGGCGGTTCGAACATCCGAATTGCCTACTCCAGCTGTTTTTTCAGGTGCATTTTTGTTAGCTTTTGTCCTCACATGGTTTACTGTAAAAAGGCTTTTTGAGTGTTTTCGACTTGCTTCTTTTAGTGTACGAAGTTCTGATTTCTCACGTTTTTTCTCTCTAATTTACTCTGTTTCTCAGTTTCGTCTTTAAGTGATTCTCTCGGGTACCGTCGCTCATTGATTCTCTTCTCGCCAGTTCTCGGAGGTTGAATCGCGTGACCGCAGATATGGAGAGTGAAAAGGCATTGATGAACAAAGCTAAAAGACCTGTTACTTCCAGATTGTGCAGAGTTTCTGGGTATTAAATCTGTCTTTTTTTCTAAATTATTTGAATTTTGTTGGACTGGATTTTGATTACAAAATTACACCTTTGTTTTGGGATTTGTGTGATCAAGTTTGATGACGGAGATAATGGAAATTCAAGCTGAGAATCCCACATTGCATGTATTGTTTATTCCGGGAAATCCAGGTTTCATAGTGTTATTGGAGTATTATTCTCAATGCACATTTATACTAAGATATAAAAATTCTGTATTATGTTTATATACGTTGGCTTGTAATCTTCAGGTGTTGTGTCATTTTACAATGACTTTTTGGAATCTCTACACGAGTTTCTTGACGGCAATGCATCTATAACGGGTATGGCCGCTCCGGTTTCGAGTTTGGTTTCTTTGATTCTATGAGTTTCATTGCTTACTTCTGCTCTCTAATGGTGTAATGATTTGTTTTTGTTTTTGCGTAGCTATTGGGCAAATATCTCACACGAGCAAGGTACTATAACTTTGCTTCAGATTTTACAGTGTGTACAGTTTGATGGCTGAATTTGTTCTATTCATATCTTCTTAGTTTGTGTTTCCAAAGCTTGATAATTTGATTCGTGCTTTCGTGTTACTTGAGGATTTACATTCTTTTGTTTTGCTTTTAAGGACTGGGAGTCTGGAAGGCTATTTTCGTTGCAACAACAAATCGATCATAAGGTAACAAAAATATGACAATGTTCCTTCTCAAGTTGAAAATAAATCATTTTTCTTTCACTTAAGTTAAGAACCTTATCATCATAATCTGTTGAGCAAGTTCTTGTATTGTTCATCCCATGAAGTTATGATCTCAATCGGTTAGCTATCATACAGATTGAGTTTATCAGACAGGAGTTGGAGAGCGTGAAAGTTCCAATAGTATTGGTAAGACTAATTGTTTCCTCTAAATAGTATATACAATGGGGTTAACATTACATATTTCCATTGACAGACACCCATTGTATCTGCTCTTGCTAGGTTGGGCACTCTATTGGGTCTTATATATCCCTTGAGATTTTAGGCAAGTGCTCGGAAAAGGTATAGACTGATTCCCTCTGAGTGTGTACACTTCTTCTATCACAGTTTCTCTCTGTGCTATGTGATATCTTATATTCTCTGGTTTGCTTTGCAGGTTGTATATTGCATTGGCCTATATCCATTTTTGACTCTGAACCAACAGTCGACAAAGCAATCATTAATTGGAAAACTTGCAGCGTGAGCTTTTCTTCTCAATATCTTATGAATCCTCGATATGAAAGAAACAATCAACTATTCTCAATGTTATGAAATTGTTAGAATTCAGGTCTTCTGTTCTGTCGACTACAGCAAGTTTTCTGATTGCATCACTAAGACTTTTACCTATGTGGGCTGCGCGGCGCCTTGTATCCAACTCCATTGGAGCTTCATGGTCTGATACTGCTGTTCAAGCTACTTGCACTCACTTGAGGCAGGTATTGTCTTGTTCTCATTTTCCCAATTTCCCTGTTTAGGGAGGGTTTCACTCTGAAGCCTAGTGTATTGAATCCTTGAAGATAACCATTGCATCTTTTTTTTCCTCCATATTTCAAGTTCTTGCAACCTACTAAATTCTCGGACGAGTGATATCTCTTATTTTTCTTCCCGTGCAGTATCACACCATGCGCAATGTTCTCTATATGGCTATGACAGAGTTTAGAGAGGTAATCGTATTTTGACAGTGTGTCCTATGGAGTTTAGAGAGTTTAGATTGATATCGTTTGCAAAGTACAAGAAAACAAAAACAAAATGAAATCAGATATCGTTTACTAAGCTGTAGAACGTGATTAAGATTTCACTATCATTGATCTCCAACAAAGCATTTTAGGTGACACCATTGTTTCACTATTTTTGTATATAAGCTCGCAGCAGAGCCAGATTGGGATTTCATGAGAGAAAACCAGAGCAAGCTTGCGTTTTTATTTGGCATTGATGATCATTGGGGTCCACTGCAACTCTTTGAAGAGGTTAATTAGTTTTCCTTTCTCAAATTACAATGGAACTGCATTTTCTGACACGTGACGGAGAGAGTCTCTCATAGAATCTCCATTGTCCAGATTTCAAAGCAGGCTCCGGGTACTTCCATATCTATCGAGAGGGAAGGTCACACGCACGGGTTCTGCTGCACGGTGGCTGGCTCGGTGTGGGTTGCGCAGCACGTAGCTACTCTGATCAAGAACCGGTTTTCGCATCTACAGTAACTGTAAAATTTCCCTGTCTCTTCCTTGAACCCAGTAAACTTGTCTGTGGATTTGCATTCTCAATCTCAACCATCAAAAGCGTTTTAGTTTTAATTGTCTTGCAGCTGTTCACCAGTTCTTGATTTTGTTTCTTAAACAATCACAAAAAAAAATACAGAGGAATGTTTAGTCTAGTAGACAATTTCCTCATCAATGCAACCATTTTCATGTCTAATTACAAACAATTGTATGAGATTATTCAACTCAAGTTCCTACGAATTATTTTGTACTATAACAACTAATGGGCGGCGATAGGAGGCGGTGCAAGTTGGTCAGTCCCAAACAATTCTACTTCTTTCAATCACAAACGCAAAACATGTCCATAATTGCAACCGCAACAGTTGCATTAAATGGAATCTAAATCCAATAAATCGCGAGTAGTGATGATTATGGAAGGGGTAGGTTACGTATGAGGAGAAACTTATAATTGAATACATTAAATAAAATTAGCTGAGCCGGTTAGAGGAAATTGTTTACTTTCCTATTTGAAATTCGTATATTTGTTAACTTTGTAAAAAAAAAAAAAAAGAGATGATATTCTGTTAATAACAGAAATTGAGGCTTTTAAGGATGAGATTGCTTGGATATGAAGGTTGCAACAGAAGGGGAAAATAGGGTGCACGATATTAATAAAGAAAATGAAGAGATAACCCAAAAATGAAGAAGAATGTACTTTATCACCATTTTCATTATAGATTTGAGAAAAAACAAATTAGATATTAATTTTTTTTACGGCAATTATATACTATTTAATTAAAGGTGGAATTGAATTCATATTTATCGTCTTACGTAACGCTCATTATTCTCAACTGCCTCAATTACTGTCGCATTTATATTTGATTTAATGATTTCATCACTTTGAATCTATTGAAGCTCTCTGAACCACCCCTCTTTAATTTTAACCAAGTTTCACCTCTTAGCAGTTTTTTTTTTTTGGTAAGGGTTCACCTCTTAGCAGTTAGCAATAGCATTATGGAAAAAAGATAGATTTGCTATATTACTATTTAGTTTTCATCATTTTACTTTTTCCATTTCCAGGTCTGTTTCAAGTTTTTTTATTCTCTCTGACTAGAAGAATTCGCTATTTGGGGAAAAAAATTTTAGTTATTTCTTATAGTCCTTTTTTTTGCGGGAAACACAAAAATCAGCTTTTGCTTGTCATTAGCTACAAATCAGTTTCTTAGTTTTTTCGAATGAAAATGCATATTCTTATTAGGGTTGCCAAATCCAATTTTCGTTTCCTTTTGACGTTTTAGATTATTCGATGGTTATGTTTTGACGTAGGGAACCGATTGAAAACACATTCACTTCAACGAACGATATGTCTTAATAGATAATAGAGATTTGAACTATCACCTCTTGGTGAGGTGATTATCTGTAACCATATCCAAACTAATTTCTTTCTATGTACCTGCTTTGTTAAACAGTCCATGTAAATCTCTAACGTATATTTTACTTGTTATTATTTCAAAGGTTATCAAGAAACATATGAATTTACTCTTTTACATCTCCGAAGAACAAAGGTTGAGAAACATATGGAGACACGAAGTGCGAAATTTTTTGGTCTTCAGAAACAAAATTCTCATACCCTTTCTGCATAATCCGAAGGAACTTTTAGACATGTTCGAGAAACAGAGAACCCGAAACAGAGTACTGTAATTTCACAAATTACCGTAATTTCACCGGAGAAGCCGAATTAAAAGAGTCCCGGAGTAAACAAATATGATGGAGACAACCAACAATACATGTTTCCTCATATTGAGCATGATCATTAGCTCTAAGAAAAATCATATTTCATTAAAAGCAAAGTTTGTGCTAGACGCGCTTCACTTCAAGTCTGGTCTAAGTGGAGCGTGATTAGCACTACTCTTAAGACAAAACAATTACAAGAAGAAGCAAAAGAAAAGACAGAAACAAGTGCGGTTGGATCAGTTTATAGGTTTGGAATTTCTCAGTTATATAAAAAAAAAAAAAAGCAAAAGATGGGGTTTGATTTTAATTCAGTTCCAGCGGCTCTTATTGCGTTTAGCTGTGGCGGTGGGAGCGGTTGTAGCGGTGGAGGCGTTTTGGTGGAGGAAATCAAGAAGAACGGTGCTTTTACATTTTGGGCATTTTGGGTCATCTTGAGAGAGCATAACGTACATAAGGCAACGAGGGCAACCCACAAGAACCATTGAGGTTGTTGTCTCCATCTCCTCCTGGTTCGATTCAGACGAAACGCATGAGCTCGGTGAAGTTGTGTTGGATCGGGTCGGAGATCGAACCAGGCTCATCTGGCTGGCTTGAGATGGAGGTGGAGAAAGATTCAGCTTCAGCTCGAGCTTTGGCCAGTTACTGTTCCTCCTGCTCATCGATCTCTCTCCCTTTGGGGATTGAGAAAGATTTTGGTTATGTTGAGAAGTCTTCTTGTTGGCTCTGGTTAGGCCATTTTATAAAATAAACACCCTTAAAGTTGTTTGGAGAGAGAGAGAGAGAGAGAGAGTGAATTTCATTAAGGCTTAATTTAATTATGATAGGTGATATGTATGGGAGTATTATGATATTTAGATAGGCTAGTCTTTAACTGCCAACAATTATTTTTGCTTAACCGGCTGAATAAAAAAAAAAATTCTTCTCTAGATGGCAATTAAAGTTGAAAATTCAATATTTTAATAGTCTCTTATTTCTTGACTAAATAAATAAAAATACATTGCATACTTGCAGTCGTAAATCAAGTAATATATATATATGTTATATCTATACCGTATAGCGCATACGAACATGTAAAGGTGTCTTAGTCGAAGCAGAAAGAGAAGTAAATGTATATTAATGTTAATCACAGGATTACAAAATCTTTTAGAGAAACTTACTGTACAAAATTAAAAATGGCGACGTCAAACTTAATTCTTATGACTGCAATATCACGTAGCTTCACACCAAAAGCAAGCTATTAATATTTTCTATGTGAGTTAATTTCCCATGTGAAGTTATTAAATGATTTTTTTTTTGGAAGAAGGATTTTGTAAAACCAAATATATGTTTTCCCTATTAAAACAATAGTATACGTTAGATAGTATAGATATCTTCCGAACTACTAGTATAATAAAAGCTGGCAAGCTTACAATTAATTTCATTTAATTGAAACAATGACCATGCTTGGCTGGATTTACAATTAATGTTAGCCGATAAGTATGAATGACTAACCGATATTCGGATTTGGTGTCTTATAGTAGTATATGTTACAATAGCTGTTGGAATGCATGAAATTATGATGTAAAAACTTTATATTACCGTTTCTTTTTGTCGACAAAAATATGCACGTTAAACCAGCTCTCGTGTTAAAAAATATGTTGGGGGAATCTCAAATCATTTTTTTTTTTTGAGAAATGGATCTCAGATCATATTAACCATAATCGACGAATATTACGACGCTAATTAGAGAGAGTAAGGACTTTGATTATAAATATCAGATATAATATGCATTGTTTATCTATTTGAATTTTTTAGTTTCTCTAAGTTTTCACAGCTACATATATATACTATGTATTATGTATTCTTTAAATAAAAACTATCCTAATCAATTTCATATTTCAGAGTTTTCTTCAAAGTTTGCTGTTTATTCGGGGATATAATTATCTCCAAATTTCCAATCATCGAGGAGTATGTGTTTTGTTACATTTTCCTTACAGTTTTTTTTTTAATGTTAGCTAAAACTTCTAAAATGCTTTCGTGAATCGTGAGCATGTATGTTGCCACTTGACCAACCAAACGATGTAGAGGTGGACTGCTCTACAGTAAGACACGCCACAAGGCCCACAATGCAGGAGGGCGAAAACCGGCGCAATTGTAAACGTCCATTGAATTTGATGATACACATCACATCTCGATTCCTATTATGATGAACCTAATTAATCGAAACATGAACCAAACTCAAGATTATTTGGATTTTACTCATATAAAATAGAAATCCGTTTAGAAATTTAAACTCGAAATTTTACGTTCGACTTTTGCTTTCTAAATTTGTGGTCGACGTCAAACTTGAGAGTCTTTACATTATTTTATTTCATTGTAGATTAATTAAATGGTGGTAAACTCTCCATTTATTTAAATATTAATTAAAGTTCGACCCTATTTGAACGTGGCTAGACACGTGGATTAATAATAAATACTGCTAATTTAATTAAATGCATATTAATGATTCAGTTTCGTTGACTAAAGTCCCTTTATAGATACGTGAATCTTTAGAATTATTATAAACGACATGGGCAGTAACACACGATTAGCTGACTTTAGACATTTTTGTGTAATGGCTGAGTTTAGACCTCTACTATTATGAAATGAGAAGTTCCTGACAAAAAAAAGACATATTTGTTTAATTAGTAGTTATTTACTTATTATCTATGTCATAATGCCAAAGATGAAATTATAATTGTCACAAAGAAAATGAATGTTTCTTAAACCGAGTAGAGAAGTTAACCGGGCTAATTTTGAAAATGTTTATTGAGTTTGGTAGTTGTATTGATTTTAAAACTCAATCGTATAGTTGTCTTCTGTGGGGTTTTTTCACTTGATCATTGTAGTGGAACTAAACACTTATCTACGATTCTTTGAAACCGTTTATTAAATCTTAGATAGTCACCCAATTCAAAAATTGATGATTAGTGATTTCATTCCAGGTTTACAATTGGCCAAAAGAAAATTGGATACATATTATTTATTTCTACGTAGTCCTATACTATATATATTTATTTCTATTAATTATTTTGAATTCATACAAACAATGATGCGTAGAAAATGGTTGAGCAAGGATCATAAAGACAGAAAGTCAGAAACGATAACAACGGATCTGTTTCATGTGGTATAAAATAGCAAATCTACTGTATACATTACTACATATATATTTCAAAAGTCAAAAGATGTGATGAAGTTAACAATTAAGTAATATACATACATTTACTATATTTTATGTACGTATGGTTTTAGTTTTATCGATTAAATGCTTTGGGTTTAAATAAAAAAGTCTCGGTTCAAACAATGCAAAGAAGTGACAAATTTCAGAGAGAGTAGTTGTACAAATTTGTAATTTTCTATTGAGAAATGAATTAGACAAATAGAGGACTTACAACAACGAAAATCATCATTAGTTTCAAAGAACCAACATAACATTATATGGGTAGAAAGTTGTGTACTCGTAAAATAATACCACACACGAGAGTGATAAATCGCGTGATGTTTTGATAAATCACATTAGGACATGATGTTTTGACAAAATTTTCAATCACTGTAAAACTTGATGTAAAAACGTATATTTTTTTTTTTACTTGAATAAAAATTTAATATTCAATTAAAAATATACCTCACGAGAGTGATAAATGGCGTGAACAAACTATTTATAATGGGTTTTCAAGTAATTAATAACTACCAATGGAGTCTCGCGTTAGCTGAAATTAAACGATGTGAGCTATTCATTGATAAATGTCCAAGTTATTGAAAACCAAATGTAGTGTACAATGGTCAAGAGTCAAGACAAGAGCACGACGAACATCAATCTAAACCACACAAAAGGACCATCCTCTATCAATTAGGAACCAGGAATCATTCTTTGGTATCCTAGTATCTGACCATATAAAAACATTAATAAACAAATTTAAAAAATTCACAGTTCAATCGATCCAGGAGAAAAAAAAAAAAGCACAAACAAAATTTGCAGATAGAAGAATATGTGAAGAAACTGGACATTAAGATTAAGCCCAACCAAATATCCCGGGCCCATTAATTGTGTTATTAATATTATTTGACAGAATTTGGAAGACACAGCGGTAAAAAGAAAAAGGATGGTGTTTTTTATGTCGTATCCGCCGACACGACGGCAGTTGATGGTGTCTGTTGGGTTTTTTACGGCGGGTGTTTCTCTTTTCGTCGCCGGAGCGTATCTCTCACTCGCCAATATTGGACCGCAACAAGCTCGTGTTAAGGATCGGAACCAATTCGTTAAGGATCGAATCAGGAAATGGCTCGACGATTAGAGCTCAAAAATCCCCAGTGTGTTTCTCTCTGTAATTCCAGATTTTGAAGAGAAGGGTTCTTCAAGGGTTTAGGGTTTAAGCAATCTAAACCTCGTTTTGGAAGATAATTCGTGATGTTATATAAAATTCGAGCTATTACATATTTGGATCATTTTTCAGTCCAAAATTCAAGTTTTGTTTTTGGCACTTACATATGAAGAATCACTCTTTGACAAAACGAGCGAACAGAGAACATGTAGATCATTAGTAAAGATGTAAAAATCTTTAGATTCTAACGTCTCTGCTCCCAAAATGTGAATAAATTTGCTGGCTTTAGCTCATTACCATCTTGATTTTCTAGCATTCTGGTTTTCGCCTTTGGCAGCATCCGATAACCGCGACTTGGAAACTGATCCACCGCGGAAGTTACTTAGTCTCGGACCCGAGATGAGATGATCTTTTGAAGAAGACTTGTTTACTTTATAAGCTTGTGTTTCATCTAAATACCCTTTAGGCTCAACCTCGATAGATCTTCCCCAATCCAATCCTCCATCTCCACTTTTTTGAAGCTTCTCGCTCTGTACAACCCAATCTACACAATCCGATATGCTTCTTTGTAATGAAAGGCTTTTCCTTGGTGTTGACTTTCTCCCTCTGTTGTCTTCACCGTAAGGCCATTTATAGCTCTTGTTGTCTATGTTCAGTTCTATGGAATGAAGATCGCTTTCACCTGAATCTTCTTCGTTCCCATCCTCAACTTCTCCGTCTTCAACGTTATACGAACCAAAACCAATGTGATGATGGTTCAAGTACTCTCCAGCTTCTTCGTTGTGTAACTGAGTCTGAGGCGGTTCACGGGTCTTCTCTTTGCATCTTTTTGCTTTGAGGTAAGTTTGCAGCTGGTTCCTTAGCTTATCCACGGCTGCGTTTTTCTCCTCGAGCTGGTGCTTAGCCTCCGAGAGTTTCATCTGCACTCTCTCCTCGCGCAATGCATCAGCTAACTGCAACATCTCTCTTTCCTTTTCGACTTCTTCTTTGACTTTGAAAGATTCTCTCTTCATTTCCTCAACTTCGGCTTTGTCTTCGCTTATGTCTCTTGCTAGTTCATCACAAACTTTCTCTACCATCACTCTCGCTCGCTTCTCGTTCTCGATTTCTTTCACTGCTTTCATCAGAGCTGATTTCGTTTCAGCCAGTTCTTTGCCCAATTTTTTGTTCAAGCTCTCGAACCGTCTCCTCAGCTTCCTCTCCACTTCGAGCTCACCAGCAACAGATTCGATTGCAGCCTCGACAACTTCTTGCTCGTTGCTTTTCCACGCCGCTTTCTCTTCAGCAAAACGCTTCATCAAGTAGCTAATGTCATTGTTTTCAGGTTTATGTTCGTGGATTAACTGATTGACCTGTAAGCGAGCTCTTTCGAGCTCAGAATGCAAAGCAGAGACGAGGGACATGCTAGAAGATGGGCGGTCATCTTGACCCCACATTCTGTTAATGATTTTGAGAAGCTCTTTTGAAGTTGTGAGAGCGTTACTACAATCCTTCAACCGTGTTTTGACTCCCACAGTTGACCCAGTAGGTGTCTCCACCCGTGATCGAGTCTCAATCTACATTGAAAAAACCATGTGGAATCTTATTTTACATGGCTTTCTTGCAAGCAAATGGATAATGGAGGCAAAAAAACTAATTATAACAGATTCAGCATCTCCTGTTGCTTATAGCCTTGCGTATAATAAATATGTGCATAACAAAACATAGATTTGTATCTTTCCAAAGTGAATGCGAAACTAATGGCCTGTGGAGCCAATAATGCTCATTCATGCACTTTCATCCAGAAGCATTTGACATGAAACAGCTCAATCAAATACCGAATTTGGTCTGACAAAAGCATGAAAGCTGCAGATAGAATGGTTTCTCCATAATTCTGAAAGAAAGATCCCCAAAGGTAAGAAATCAACTTACATCCATGAAGCTGCCATTGCTGATAGGATCCCTAGCCCCCACATTGCAGTCTCCAAGCCTAAGCTTCTGCATATTAGAGGATGCTCTTCTCTGGCGACTTCCAGTCCCTGATCTTTCCATCCTCTACAAAATCAAAAAGTTTCTCAGCTTCCCTTATCACCTAAACACCAAAGTAAAGAAAGGAGGAAAGCCGGATTCGCATTGTCCATTGCCATATTTAGCATTATATAAATCTTTCATAGGTCTCAATTATGAAGAATCTAGGCCTACATTATTCCCAATAAATCAACCTCTAATAACCAACCAACTACCTCCATATGATGGAATGAAAAAACTAGTCGAACTGCTCAATTATGCAAAACTAATAGGCACCAACTTATAAAGGAAAACATGCCCTTTCATACGAGCTTAAATGTGTTTATTTTCAGCACATGACAAAAGATTCCGAGGATCAAAAGTTTTCTATTCTTCTCTAACCCCACTTCTTAACATCAATCAGAAGCTGAATGAAAAAAATATTCTCCCTTTGATGAATAAAATACTCATAGAGGTTGCCAACAATTCACAACTTTGACCAAATTCAGACCTCAGAATCACACAAAGATTATATCATTTGATCAGTTGAAGAGAAAGTTGAGATCTTTTAACCTCCACGTATCAATTATATACTATTGTTTTTATTCTTCTTCACGAAATGCAGAAGAGTGAGAATCTAATAGCAAGCACCCAAGGTCAGTTTCTCTCTCCTTTGATCAGTCAGAATTAAAGCACATGGCGCCAGCAAGAACTTCAAATCACAGCACATTCCTTTTCGAATTTTTCCCCACCAATCAAAAAAATCAAATTTTTTTTATAACTTTACCTCAGAGACTGGACTATGCGACGGATCGGAGAGGTGAGGAGGTAGAGAACCAGAATGAGCCGATCTCGGCGGAGGAAGCGGCGCGATTCTCTCCTTTCTAGCTTTTCTATTAGCTGGCGGCGCCTCCTCCTTCATCATCCTCGGCGAAGGCATCTCGTTCATCTCCCACAGAGTTGCCGCTAACTTCCTCGCCGAAACCGGAGCAGCTGGTAACTTTCCGGTTTTGCTGCCGCACTGCGACGGCGCGTATCCCGGAGAAGCAGCGTGTAAGGCCCCGGAAGCTCGTAAAGACGATGCCGGAGACGGAGATCGGCCCATGAGCCTCCATGTAGGAACAGGAGTAGTGGATCCTCCTCTTTTCCCAACCACAATCGCTCTCTTAAACCGATAACCTTCCCTGAGAACAGAAGAAGTCGACGATGTCGGCGATGAGCAACCACGCTTCCTGATTTTCCCAAGGAGAAGCAGATTCTCCACGCTTTGATTCTGCCTCGGCATTTCAAAGGCACAATCGTAGATCTCTTACCTAGAAACCTGGAGCTTTGAATCAAAAAAAGCAGATGAAGAAAAAATCAGCGATCTGTAAAGAAGCACAAGTATCGAGAACAAAGAGCACTTACAGAGCTTCAAAGCATTTCTGCGACTTCTCTTTATGCTCAGAAGAAGGAAAAAGATAAAGTGAAGAAGACAATTGGGGAATTTCCAAGGAATTGGCTGTTGCTGTGTTTAGAGGTTTTGATCGATCACTAGTGCAGACTACAGAGTGTATGTTAAGTGTAAAAGGGAAAGAAGAAGAAGGAGTAATGATCTTCTGTTATGAGGAACACTGGAACGTATGCACGTGGTTTGATCTGGATGGTTAGACTTTCATTCAATTATAAGTCAATGAAAGTTGTCTCATGATTTACATTTTACAGGGTGTATCATTGTGAACCGATTTAAACCGAAACGAGATAATTGAATCGAAACCGAAATTCAGGTGGTTGTCTTTTTTTTTGACGGCTCGAACAACTATTTGCGGTTAAAACAAATATATATAATATTTCATTGTTTGTTGATGATAATTATGTGAACCGAAACTGGTGGGCATCAAAATTTTAAAAAGGCCGGGAAAAAAGATTTATGTGAACCGAAATTTTTGTTAAACTAGAACAGAAAAGGAAAACTTCGATCACGATTTGGTAAAGACATGTCAGAACAAAATCCAAAAAAAAAGAAAAAGAATGTAAATTTTTTACGAATCAAACCAAACCGAATCCCATTCCTATCCGATTGGGGAAGAGAAAATCTGACGAAGACAAGTAGTTAGCATAAAAGGTTAGGTTTTCCTCATAGAGAGTACGATTTTTTTTTTAATGCTCGTGAACCTGGATTTCAGTAAAGCTTTTTCTTTCTTTCTTCTTGCTGCTGTTAAAGTCTCTGTCTTTTTTAAAAAAAAAAAATCGCGAGGGTTTTGTCTAAATTTCGGTGAATTGATCTGGTTACCAACTGAATCGAAAGTAAAACATTCTCATAGGCTTACAGAATTTTTGTGATCGTGAAACTATTCTGTCTCCTTCTGTTGCTGCTGCTTTCAAAGTTTCTGTCTTTTTTATATTCGCTAGGGCTATGTTCTGATTATCAGTTAGTTGATCTGGTTACCAACTAAATCGAAAGCAAAAATTCTGTTTATATTATAAAGCGAGGCTAAATCAGAGCGAGCAGAGGAGATATCGAAATGAGCCGTATTTGTGAGTTGAGTGACGATTTGCTGGTGAAGATACTGTCATTGGTGAAGACAAAAGATGCGGTGGCCACGAGTCTTTTATCAAAACGATGGCGTTCTCTGTGGAAACTGGTTCCAAGGCTTGAGTATATATGTTGAATCAAAGGATACGAGAGGCTCAGAGTTTATTGACAAGTTTCTGATGCTAAGCAAGGCTCCAGTTCTAGAAACTTTGCATATCAAAGTTGGGTACAAATGTGCACAAGGAGAACATGAAAGATGGGTTAATACTGCAGTGGCTCGACATGTGCATGATCTTGAGCTTCTTCATTACCGTTTCCCGTTTCGATCCCATGCCGTTTCCTAGTAGCTTGTTCACATGTAAAGGTCACATGCCGTTTTTTTTTGTTGGTATGTTCAGTTAAACTGCGGCATGTTCAGAGATTTCGAAGCTCAGTGGGAGCAACCGTGTTGTGTTCCTGAATGTTTTGTGTCGGGTCTCGAAACAGTTGAGTGGATTGGGTACCAAGGAACAGAAGCAGAGAAAGAAGCGGCGATTTACATGTTAAAGAAGGCAAACCACCTAAAGAAGATGACATTATCCCGACAAAACTCCAATCTGAGGGAGAAATACCGTGCACTGATAGATTTGGAGTCCAGGCTGGGCTGTTGTAGCACATGTCTGCTTGAGTTTGTGCCCTTGGACCACCATTGATATTTTTCCGTGGATGTTGGTTTCTTTCTCCTCTTAATTTATCAATTGATCTTTATGCATGTTTCTGTTTCTCTCAAAGTTTCTAGTATAAACTAAAGATTTTAGTCAGGCCCAACTTGGATATTCAAGCATACTAAATAACTATAGAATTGGTTGCCCAACTTTTAGGCTTCGGACTCTTATGGCAGTGTTCGAACTTCAAACTTCTAACATTTAATTTCCTTAGTACTTGGTAATTCAATTTACCAAATTCAGATCGTTTGTTTCAACAAGATGTTGTTATTGGGTTACTCGTCTAAGTCTATCTATTAGAATAGCAACTAGTACAAGTATTTACAATTAGGTTTGCAGTTATAATAGTTTACAACAAAATTGCACCAATGCCTTGTAGATGGATGAATTTATGGTCTAACCCTTATCAATCCGCGCCTTCTATCATAACTGTATCAACATTTTCTTACAAATTGAGGGAACAGAAAAAAGCATTTTTCTTTAGAAGAAACTTGGCTCTAACATCTTTATGCTATAATACATTACTGGCAAATAATCTGGATGCCGACAAGTCGTCTATGGAAATGAGATTAAACTGATAGGATCTTTTACATTCTTTTTTGTTTAAAATTAATAATTTTCCTCTTTTTCTTTTGTTTTCTCTTACAAATACATCATTTTTTTTTTTGCTAAAGATCATTTCGTTGGTAGTATCTTCATTTGATTCATTTATATCATTATAAAACAAAAAAAAAAGAACCAACCCGATGTAATTTAGATTACCTAACTCATACTTTTTATGCAAAGCTATAAATCATATCAAAATATTTTCAAAAAAAAATCGTAGTATAATTGTAGTGACCTCTATATGCATATTGATATATATAATATAGACGTGTCGAGCTTTGCGTTTTTTTTCCGTCTTTTTCTCACCATTTCGTTTTATAATTAAATAGTTATCTTTTCAATAAAATGAAAGGATGCAATTTTTATAAATGAATAAAGTACCAATGAAGATAATAATCCAAAGCGTGAGGGTGGCTTTCGGATAAATACAGAAGCTGTCTCCATTTTCTTTGGAAATTTTGGGATCATGGGCGTTGTGGGACCCAACTTCTCTCAGCCTGCTACTGCCACGGTGTGGGCCCAAATTAAAAGCCCACTCTTGTTTTATTTCTTAACCATCTCACGTGAAAACCACACAAAAAATAATACAGTCTTTAGTTAAAGAAACCTTTATTTATTTCAAAGTAAGTGGCATATATTGTCCGTTGTTTAACAATTTTTCCAAAGGGATTCTAAATTAATTTTATCAGAATTTGTCCGCTAATGATGTTCCAAACAAAACATGTTCGCTCTCGTTGACGGAGAGGTACGAGTCAACAAATCAAATTTATTTGGAGCTAGAGTTAGACTATAGCTCGAATATTTATTTATTTATTGTTTATTTATTCTTCACGATAAATCAATACTTTCTTACACCATAGATTTATAACATGATTCTTTCGTTTTCTTTTCAAGATTTAAAAGTTAAATACAATTTTCGATAACATATATTTGATCTCAAACTTATAAACGACATCAACACCAAATATACGTATCTGATTACTATCAAAACCATCTCAAACTATTTCCAAATCAGAAACATCGTTCCAATGTTTTCATTGCTCATGCTGAAAAAGCATCATGGATACAAAATTGTGTTGTCATCTTCGTTGGTTTTTTAGAAGGCAGTAAAATTCATCGTCACTTTAATTAATTTTACGGATCTAACATTATAAAAGAATAACTAAGAAAAATTAAGGAAAATTTCTTCATAAAAAAAAAATACTTAAGAGGAAAAAGGCAAAAGGGGGTTAAATTTAAAGTGGGGCCTTTTACATATAATAGAAGTGGGGCCTGAATCTTTGATGCTATGAAGAACTCAGAAGAAGAGATAGAGAGAGAGAGAGAGCGGCGTGCAAATGTTTTGTTTCCATTGTCCTCCCACAGTCTCCATCTCTTTTCTTCATCTTCCTTATTTATCAACTTTCCAAACCGCCAAACTTAGCCGTACCTTTTAGTTTACTTATCTTCTTACCAAATAATAACGTTTTATGTACTTTTTTATACGTACGTAAAAGTTTTTACAAAATAGTTTGTCTTCTCCAATATTCCACACTCTTTAAACTTATCCTCCAAGTTGGATAAAATGTTGAATTATATATCATTGTTGCTAAGATTATATATATTGTAGGTTTTGGAATTTTTGTTTATAGCGAATAACTATAGTTCTAATAAGCAATACTCAATAGTGCAGCATGATCAATAATATGAATGTGGTTGACAAATCAATGTAGTAAGTGTGATGTCAACAAAAAAATCAATGTAGCTAGTAAGTGCAGTCGAGATATTAGATTTAGAGAAAGTTCTCTACATGTAATCACTCAAAACTTACGTGAATAAACTATAATGTTATCAATATTATTATATTGTTTATATTCCAGTTTATTCTATTGGTGTGTTCTATGGGAATTTATTAGTTACTTGTGATTTTCCCTATATACAATTGAGAAATTAATATTGTCGGTCTAAGTCTAAAATATCGGCTGCGTAACTTTGAGGGTTTTTTAAATCTGAACAATGCAGATAATTTTTAATAAAAAAAAACAAATATGTAAAGGAAATACAGTATGTGGTCCTTTCACTCCGGTCATTTACAGTTTCGGTTTCATAGAATATACAACAAATAGCTTTGGTCCCCTACTTTGGAGAAATGAAAATTTAATATACGCATTATATATATATATATATATCAGGTTTTTACTGAATTTTCACAGGTAAATACGTAAATTCTAATCAAATATTATTATTATCACACCAGTCCCCAAAATATCGACCTGATTGTTGATATTCTTGCATTTTACGTTATGTTTGTTTTATAAATAAAATGTTTCAAATTTTGGCTGTGGAGTTCAAGTTCAAACCTAATATTTAATTTTGAAACATTTTATTTATAAAACAAACATAATGTGAAATGCGAGAATATCAACAATCAGGTCGATATTTTTATGAACTTGAACTCCACAGCCAAAATTTTCTAACAATGTTTTTATAAAAATCTCGTTGATTATGTTAAAACGTTTCCCTTATGATGATTTATCCTAGCTCGCAGCAACTTCATAACAACATTAACATAACGAGGTTATGCATGTCTATTTTTACCAAGAGCATATAGAGTTTTACCATAAGTAGTGGTATACGTCGTACGTAATAGATTTATTTAATTTCTTTCCAGAACCTAGAGATTATTACAATGGTGGCTAGCTGATTTATTGAGACGACATTAATTAATGGTT